ACCCTAACCCTAACCCTAACCCTAACCCTAACCCTAACCCTAACCCTAACCCTAACCCTAAAGTCTCATCCTTCAAGATTCTACATCCGAGCCAATTTTGCGCCTCGTTTTCGTGTTCGATTTTTATTCCTGCATGGGAATTTGGGGCTCGATGCTGCGACGGTGTCACGCGTGCCAGTTCATCTCCCATCTATGCCACTCCGGCCCAGACTCGTTGGCTTGCGCTTCGAGTTGTCTTGGACGACGTTGGGATGCCGTATGAACCACCTGGGGATGCTGGGACGTTGCCTTAAAAGAAGCTTCTGTTTTGCTCAACACGTGCGACCATCGGCTCATCGAAAGAAGCGCCTTTGCTTGGCGAAAGCTCTTTCTTCGTCCCCATTTCGCGTGGGGCAACATTGTTGCTCTGCGCACGTCGGGACCCCGCGCCAAGACAGATTTTGAACTCGCAGTTTCACACGTGCGACATCGGCTAACCTTGTCCCGAACAGCGCTTCGACGCTCCCGAACTGCGCTTCCGCGCTTTTGCTTGGCGCTCGAGCCAATGCGGGGTTGGTCGTGCCTTTCCCGACCGCCTCCTTCGAGCTCTTCTTCCTCACCGCAACCAACCATCTCACGGCACATCGACCGCAATCACCTCTTGCCTGTGACGACGATGGCTCGGACTGCGTGTACGGATCCTGCAGCCTTCGACAATGGCGGCGAGAAGCCGATCAAGGTCTGTGGCTATGGCCTCGATCTTCGGTGTCAAGTCGACAACGAGCAGGCCTTTGGCAGCGCCGTCTATCCCGAAAGACTCTCTAATCGACTCACCGTCCGCGAGGTCGCAATGATCCGAGTCATGGAAGCGCTCACGGACAAGCTGGACTGGCAGCGCAAGGTCAATGACGCCGCCATCGTCGCAAAGTGGAAGGCCGAAGCACTGGAGCAGGAGCCTCATCTTTCTGCGCAGGCCTTTGACTGGTGCATCCTCGAGCTGCGCGACAAATCGCTGTACTTCCAGCGGACCGGACTCATCCATGCACTCGACTCGGAGAACCGATGCGTCAAGTCGGACGTCCTTCTTTCCGGCGAGTTCCTCGCCGATCTCCGCCAAGCTGTGAGGCCGCTCCTCGACATCGATCCTGCCAGAAAAGACTGGCATCCTCGATCCAACGACCAAGTGCTCAATGTCGTTCACCCCTCGCTATACCCGCTGGTCTACGGACGCACAAACGTCTTGCCGGAAGGCAGCGTGGGCGTCGAGGACTGCGTCGACGCATGCGGCCGCGGTACACCCTTTCCGGAGCAGAGCAAACCAGCACCTCCAGCAAACACCTGGCCGAGGTCTGAAGAGCACGAAACCGCCGAATTCTACTCGTACCGCTTCCAGTGGCTTCCTTGCGACGTCGACTTTGCTGGTGATTCCGGCACCGACGTTAGGATCCGCTCGTACATCAACAACCTCGAGCCAAGATGCAACCGTCAGCTCTACGGGCTGATCGAAAGAGCCATCTCGGCCTCGATCGAGCCGTGGAATCAGGTGCTTCTGCGCGGACGTTTCGGCCGTGTGCCGCTGCGCATTCAATGCCACAGCGTCGACTGCGAACCAGACGATGAGCCGCAATGGTTGCGGGGCCTGCTCGATGACGAAGACGAAGACGAAGACTCCGTTGCCTATCGCGAGTCTCTTGCCAAAGTGCAAGAGTACTTTTATCTCCCTGACGATCCGGAGATGGAGCGTCTAGAGGGACCGTGTCAATCTGTGGAAGACGCCATCGAGGAAGCCGGAGGTCTGTACGGCGCTGCGCTCATGAAGTACAGGCGCACACGCCACGTCATCCACCCGGAACCTGGTGACAAGGAGGCTTACTTGCGCTGGCGTCCTCTCGACGAAAGCACCCATGGCGCGAAGGCGCACGCGAAGAAGCGTCAGAAACGCGATCCCATGGCCGACGGCTACTACGATGTCAACCTCGAGCAAGAATTCCGCAATCGCGGCCTCCAGGTGATCATCAAGCTGGCCAGCATCGAGCTGAGCCCAGAGAAACCAGAGTACGCCGGTGGAAGCTGGCACGTCGAGGGCATGATGAACGAGCACATTGTCGCCACTTCGATCATCTACTACGATGTCGACAACGTGACGGAATCTCGCATCAGCTTCCGACACAACGCCGAGCTTGATGAAGTGGAGACGGAGCACGAGCAGGACGACCACTCGCCCCTTTGCATCGTCTTTGGCACCGACTCGCTGCGAGAAGAGCCTAGGGTCCAGGAGCTGGGTAGCATCGCCACGCCGCAAGGCCGTCTGCTCGCATTCCCCAACACGCTGCAGCACCGTGTTGAACCTTTCGAGCTTGCAGACAAGTCCAAGCCGGGTCACCGTCGATTCCTGGTGCTCTGGCTGGTGGACCCAAACTACCGCCTTGCCTCGACGCGCAACGTTCCGCCGCAGCAACGCGAGTGGTGGGAGAGCGCTCTGGACAACCCTAGCGCCGGTTCCGCCATCCGATCGCGGTTGCCCGCCGAGATCAAAGAGTCGATCATGGAGCACGTCGACTGGTTCATGGGTCTCGATGAGGCCAAGGCTCTTCGACTCGAGCTGATGGACGAGCGCACCAAGAAAGAGCAGGCTTCAGAGTCGCAAATGGGCACCTACAACTTTTGCGAGCACTAGCGTTTCTCTTTGATGACCCAAGGCACCACATTCGAAGCATTCCATCTCTCATAGCAAGCATGTCATACGCAGGTCAGGGACTGTGAGGTACTGCCCCTAAATATGGTGTGGGGATACACTTCACTGAGACTTTTTGGCCAGTGCAAACCCGAGGGCGAACTTTGTTACATGCGGGTAAGAGAGAGGCGACTGTGGTTGTACATTCAATGTCCAGTCACGCTGCTCTGGGAAGCTTGCCTCGCACGCCGTGGATATATAAGCCTACGGTGATCAGAGCGGTGACTGCAGCGGAGGACCACATGACGAGCCGTGCAAAGGCGCCCCAGCTAGACCATGCATCGTGGAATCCATACCAGAGCAGCAATGCTGAAGCGCCCCCGTTGCTGACGATGCCAACATGGATTGGGCCGATGGAACGTCTATTGTCGAGTGATGCAAGTAACCCGTGGTAGTATCCGACGCAGAGAGATAGATAGGCCCAGCCGAGCAACCGGACGAAGATGTAAGACTCCTGCTTGGGGAAGCCCAGTGTTTCCAACGCGACTGGAGGGAGTAGAATCAGAGGGAAGCACCAAAAGCCGACCGTTGCTAGGATCTTGAAGACAAAGACCTTTGAGAGATCGTTCATGCCTTGGCTCATGATGATGTGGTTGGGCCGGCAATTCCCCGACTGATACTGTGATGGTTGCTTGTCACGATCTAGCTGCGACGGTCATGGCTCAGATGGCACCACGGGCTTCACATATTGCCGAACCGCAATTACGTCATGATCCATTGCGCACACCCAAGACCTTCGAAGAAAATTGGCGGTAATATCAAAGGACAGGCAGCTGCAACTACTGTCAGTAACACCATCAGCATTTCCGAGGCGGTGCCGTCTTGCTCCGAGGCTCGATCAGATCAAGTTGGGGAGTCATCATCCGCACGTCATCAGGCTCGAGATCGATGACCTCTTTACCGATTTCTTCATGGGATATAGGGACGGGCATGCTGTACAGTGAGGTTGCCTATCGCAGGGTCCGGCCTGGCGGGAGACGGACTTGCACGCTTAAGCGCGCTTCTTGAGAGTGGGACGAAGGGCTTGCAAAGCGTTGAGGCGCTCTGCAAGGGTGGGGTGCGAGTAGTGATAGGCGGAGAAGAGGGGATCGTGGTGCATGGTGGACAGGTTGTGGACGTGAAGCTTGATGAGAGCCTTGCCGAGCAGGTCGACGTACTCCTCCTTCTGGTTAGGGTCGACCTTGGCCGCTGCGTTGCTCTCTTCGGCGTTGAACTCGGCCGCTGCGGAGAGCTCCGACGGCGTGGGCCCGGGGCGCGAAAGGGTGGCGGCAAAGTGGTCGGCGGCATACTCCATGCGACGGATGGCGGAGTTGAGGAGGAACTTGATGAGCGCGTCGGTGGGATTTAGGACGAGCTGGAAGAGTTCGAGGCCGATGATGATGGGAAGGTAGTTGAGGATCTGGGATGAGGGCGTTCCGGCGGCCTTCTCCAAGAGCGAAGGGCCGACCTGGAAGCCAAAGGAGCGATACAGCGAGACGTTGTTGATGAAGAGCGTAAAGAGGCTCATGGTGAACCAGATCTGCACCTGGGAAAGGACGAGGAGCTTGGTCGGGTCGTTGTTGGCGTAGTGGCCGAGCTCGTGCGCCAGAACAGCCTCGATCTCGTCGGAAGAGGACTTTTCGATGAGCGTGTCAAAGATGACGATGTGCTTGTTGCCGCCTGGGATGACGCCGAAGAAGTAGGCATTGGAGTGGGAGGAGCGCTTGCTGCCGTCGATGACGTAGATGTGCTTGAGCGGGAACTTGAGCGACGAGGCGAGCGCCACGACTCGATCGCGGAGAGCACCTTGCGGAAGCGGCGTGAGCTTGTTGAAGAGAGGCTGGATGACGGTGGGATAGAGCACCATGGCGATGATCTGGAAGGAGAAGAGGAAGAGGACCACGTAGGATACAAAGGAGGAGCCGGCCCATCGAATGATCCAGAGGAGGGCCGAGATGAGGGGCACGCCGATGACAAAGCCGAGCGACCATTCCTTGAGCGTGTCGGTGACAAAGGTGCGGAGGGTCATCTTGTTGAATCCGTGCCTCTCCTCGATGACAAAGTTGCGATAGAGGGTGAGGGGCATGGCGGGGACTTCTCGGAGCACAAACATGATGACCATCCAGACGATCGAACGCGGGATCTCGGCATCGCTCTGACCGAGAGAGGTGAGGATGGTGCCTGCCAGAGTCCAGCTCCAGGCGTAGATGTCGTAGTGAACGAGAGCGACGCTGAGCAGCTGGGAGACGGCCGAAGAAAAGAAGCCGAAGCGAGCCTTGTCCCTGCCGTAGACCTGGGATTTCTTGAAGGTGGCGAGGTCTACGTGGCTCGCCAGTGTGGCGGGCGGTGTCTCGAGGCGATAGAGGCGATATTGACGGAGCGAGAGGAAAGTCTCAAAGGCGTAGACGAGCCAGAGAAGCGCCAGGACGAGCTTCTTCCACTCGATGCTCGGGTCATCGAGGGAAGACTGGATGAGCGTGATCGTGTGCTGGACTGAGGCGAGCATCTTTGCTGGCGCGATTGTGGTCAGAAGCCGCTGTGGAGAGTCACAGTGGGCAATCTCTTGAGATGGGATGGCTTGCGACTGTTGTTCAAGTGAAGGAAGCACGGTGACCTTGTGATTGCGGTCTTGGCGCGAAGACTGGCTCCGACGAGAAGAAAGGGATGCTCGCCCGCTCGCACGGCACGCATGCCTCGCGCATGCAGCCGTGAGGAGCGGCGGGGCGGAGCGCAGCGCGACATGTCTCAGCGGCCGGTATGCACGCGCGCAATTTTCGACTGCCTGTCAGATCCGAGTTGCGGGATGGCCGTCGTCCTCACGCGACAGTCGTGCATCCCTCCCGGCCCACTCAGAATGGCGCTCATAGCCTATGATCACACAAGATACGAACGTCCAACAGTCTCACATTACGGTCCGGGTTCACCTCAGAAATTGCGGTGACGGCAAAACATGTTGAAGATCATTAGCTTGCCGGATGCACACTAATCTGCAGCGGGCGAAGGGCCGCTGGTTGCTTTGGCGCCCGATGGTACCGTGTGTGGTGCACGGGAAGCGGCGGCAGAGGGGCTCGGCATGAGTCCGCGCGCAGGCAAGGCGGTTTTCTTGGCCGCAGGGGATCCACCGGTCGAATTGGCTGGCCCGGAGGAAGATCCGTTGGAGGCAAGAGCACGCGCGTGTGGCGTGGCAGTGGAAGTGCTTCTCTGCGTTGCGCATGCTCGCCCGTCGGGGTCGTCTTTGACCTGATGCGGTTTGGCATGCTGCTGAATGGTCAACGACGAAAAGTCGTTCCTGCGAGGATCGAGCTGGCCGGTACCGGCCGTAGCATCCGCGTTCTTGGATCGGTCCCAGACTGGCAGCGAGTGATTGGAGATGAGTTTGCGAAGCACGCCCGAGGCTTCCCGGCCCAGCTCCCATCGCGAGGCCCGCACTTCCCGCTCCACCATCTCCAGAACGGCGCGTGTATAGCATTTGCAATCCACAAATGCGATGTCGTCCGCCGTCTTCGTCGACATGCGCTCGAGAAAGTCGACGCCTTCGGGCTTCTGCGCGGCTCCGCCCGCCTGTCCCACTGACGCCTCGCCGTTGGCCGAATCTCCGGCCATAGGAGTGCGTTCCGCCGACACTTGGCCGTGAAACGCGCCTGGAGAGTGTGCGACGGATGTGCCAAACGTCGAGTTCCCATTGCGGTGTGCCGAGCCCGGTCGCGTGCTCGGTGCGGTGCTGCTAGCCCCTGCACGTCCGAGACCGGCAGCCGCGTCGGCTGCAGTGGCTCCGTTGCGCGGAATCGTCAGCGCATGTCCGTACGCCCACACGACAAGGGCGCACAGATACTGACACCACCGGTGGTGGAGCACCTCGTCCAGACCTGACTCGTGATCCAAAGCCTTCCGGCCCGCAGCACCGCTGATGGCGTTGGCATTGCTCTCCCGGTCTCGCAGGCCAGGAGGAGGGGCTGCGGCGTCGCGGCTTTCCTCTGTTGAGGGTGCAGCGCCAACGCCGCGGGTCTGGATGGTGCCATACGACTCGGTGCCGGTGCCAAGCAAGGACGTACGGAGGAAGTTGACGGCGTACCACACGGCTGTGCGGCCATCGGAAGTCCGAGCCCACTCCTTGACCGAGCGTCGGGATGCGTTGAAAGTGGCTCGGTCGATGAAGCGGCCCAGCACCGAGGGAAGACCCGCATAGATCTGAATGTCGATGATGTCAGCAAACAAGGCGATCTGGGCGGCCGTCACCAAGCTGGGAGTCGCCCTGTGAATGAGACGAGCGCTAGACTCTTCGTCCGCCTTGATATAGGCGATGTCCATACGGGCTTGAAGCGACGAGTACGCTGCCGAGAGACGGTCCTTCCAGTTGCCGATACCCGCCTCGTTGGTCCTGCTACCGCCGGGCGAGGTTTCCGCGCCCAAAAGCACATTCTGCTTCCACTGAAGATCGTAGGCGATGCTCATGAGGCCGTGCAAGAGCACGAATCGCGGGAAGGCGTCGAGTTCTTGCGGCGTCTTTGCAGGGCTGAGACACGCCTTCAAGGCGGGGATGAACAGGCCCGGCGGCTTGTATCCGGTACGTTTGCGATGCCTGTACCACGCGTCGGGCGTGGTCTTGCTCCATTCCTCGTCGCTACACGGCAGCTGCAGTTGGATCTGGAATGCAGACAAGGAGGGAATGTGTCGGAAGATGGTGGCATGCTGTGCGTCGAGCATGAACTCGAACAGGGCGATGCGTTTCTTCTCCTCCTCTCTCGCCCAGCTTCGCCAGGACTCTTCAGAGTCATCAAAGTGGGTGTGGCCTTGCGTGCTTGCGTTGAAGACGGCGTTGCGGCGGGCGAGAGTGATGATGAAGTTGTGGAAGAGGTGCGCCATCTCGTGCTGAGGACGCGTGCTCATCACCTTGCCAAAGCTCTCGGTGAGCACCAGCGCCTGGAGCATGGGCAGCGTGGCGCGGGCGGGGCGGAAGTCCTCGAGACTGACCACGGCACCCCATATCTTCTGGGCGATGCGGACGGCGAGCTCGTGCGCGGGGAGGCCCGCAAAGTGCGCGCCGATGACGACGATGGCGCTCAGGAGCATGGGGTCGGTGGTGCTGGCGGCAAAGGTGGGCTCGTGGATGAGCGGATAGAGCCGGTTGAACTTGACAAAGAAGAGGTAGATGTAGCACCTGAGCGCCGACGGGGTGAAGAGGGGCGAGTTGGGCAGCTCGCTGACGGACTGCAAGAAGATGAGGAGACGATGGTGGGCGACGGGATCCAGATGGAACGTGATTCGGCTCGGGATGTCTGCTTGGAGGCTGGCAAAGTAGGCGAGGTCTTCGAGCGCGTTGGGAGTCTCTGCCTCGCTGCCGGACATGAGGACGCCGTCGGAGCTCATACCGCGGCCGAAGCTGGACGCGTCGCCGGCTCCAGCGGCGGAAGCGGCGCCGTTCTGCGAGCCGTGCATGTTGCCGAGGAAGCCACCGAGACCGTCCGAGCTGCTGGGAGAGAATGCGGACGCCTGCGAGTGCGGGCCGCGCGCGTTGCTGCCGCTGGTGGCAGGACGTCCGATACTGCCTCCCCAATTGGAGCCGCCAAAGGGATCGACGCCGTCAAAGAGCCAGCCATAGTCGGCGGTATGGTCGACGTTGGGTGGCGCAAATGGAAAGATGTCCTGGTTGGGAAGAGGCAGAGAGGAGGGGGGTCGCGCGGATGCAGGGACGGCCGAGGTGGTGTCGAGATCAGCCAGGGGCATCGGCATGTCTCGAGCTGCGTCTGGCGCAGCATCGGTCCAGGCAGTCAAGTAGGATGCGGAGGGAGGTGGTGCGTAGCTGCCGGCGGTGGGATCGCTGGATAATGCATCGGCTGGCGTCGGCATCCATCGGAATGAAGCATTTGGCTGCGTTGATGCGACAGCGTCAGCGCCAACAATGGGATCGGCACGGAGATTTTGATGGCCATGCTCGGCGGTCCATAAGGCGTCGTCGCGATAAGTAGAGGAGGCGTAGGGAGTCGGTTGCGCGAGTGAAGAGGCGGCGCCGGCATATTCGCTTGCAGATTGCCTAGCTAGGTCGGAAGTCGGTAGGGAAAGAGGTCGATAGCCAGTAGCGGAGGTGGAGTAAGCAGCCGAGGGCCGCTGCGCCGGAGGCGACATGGGCGGGTTGGAGGACCACGAGGCGGTGGGCGCGTTCTGCGCCGATGCGTGCGCCGGAGGCAATGCAGGCGGCGAGGCTAAAGGACCGGAAGCGAAAGAGGGCCAAGCGGACGAGCTTGCAGGGTCGGCGAGGTTGGACGGCGGCGGAGCCAGAGACTGAGAAGGGTCGTCCCGATAGCGAGACTGAATCGAGGGCCTCGAGCCCACGTGTGACGCGGACGGATCGTTGCCGCCGTGTCGGAAACGATCCTGTTCGTCTTCGTCTTCATCATCGTCGTCATCGTCCGAATCCATGTCGCGGGGGCGATCGGAAGCGGAGGTAGATTTGCGGCGCTTGTGGGACGATGGCCCCGACTTGGAGGGCGAGAGGGACGAGCCGGAGGCGTCTTCTGCATCATCGTCGTTGCCATCCTTGTGACGGTTGGACCATCTGCCGAGCGTCTTGCCGCGGAGAGCATGGCGTTCAAGATGACGGACGAGGAGATCCTGACGAACAAATGTGCGATCGCACTGGTTGCAACAGAGGACGCGCGCTTGGTCGTGGTTGAGCTTGTGGCGCAGAAGATGGTCGGGACGGGAGTAGCTCTTTGTGCATCCGGGTTGGTCGCACGTGTAGCGCATCTCGGACGACGACGAGTCCTTGCGCACCATGGTGAACAGAGTGGTACGGTTGCTTGAGCAGCCGCGCGGAAAAGGGATGATGTGAAGCTAGACCGACTGTGTTGGAGGCTCGCTGGTGGGACCGAGAGCGTTTTTCGATGCGCCGAGAAAGGAATCCGACGCCAATGTGAAAGAGCGCCGCTAGACACGGATGACTGCACAATGGCGGGGGGTCCGTTGAAAGGGGCGACGACGGATGACGCGAATGAAAGAGGCGTCTGTGGTCGAATCACAATGTGACTTGCATTTGCAGCGACGCAGCTGAGGTCGTGAAGCGAGAGCGGAGCCTCTGCTGCGAGTCTGACGCGCGGGTGCGATTTAGATTAGGCTCGGCCTTCACCTAGTCGACGAACGGACGTGTGTGGGACCCGAGGAACGGGGACGGGGACGAGCCTCGAGATCAGTATGCAGCGCACGGAGCGAGGCCGACCGGCGTGACGCAAAGGAGCCAAAGCGAAACAAGCCGTGACAAAGAAAGAGGGCGCGCTCAGCAGCGGTGATGAATGGTCAGAGCGGAAGGGAGCGTGAGAGAGCGAAGAAGGCGGCAACAGCCGTCGGCACGTCCGACCCAGCGGCGCGTAAGGGCAGACGAGGCGGAGGAAGCGGAGGGAAATGGTTGCGGAGCGAGGTGGATGGTGGTGGCCGACGACGACGGGCGGCAGTAGCGAGTTCTGCGTAGTTCAGACTTGCAATGTTGAGCCGGGCGGGGACGGCTAGCCTAGGCAGGCCATACACTTTTAGGCGCAATGTCTGTTTTGTGCTGCAATCCAAAGGAGTAGGGTCGGATTGGAGCCCATCAGCGGACTCGGAGCAACGGCGTGGGCCTCGCTCTATTGGCCTGCGGTGAGCTTCGAGGAGGCCCACCTTGACTCGACGCTGCTCCGCGGGTGCAGGCATCGGGGTGGGGCAACTGCGAGCGCAGCTCTGATTCGGCTCGGTTCAATTTGGCTCTGGCGAGGTTTGCGACGCGGCTCAGACGGCGCGCTTCTTCGCCCTTTCTGCTTCGGAGATCGGGTAAAATAGGCATGCCTGCCGAATCGTCTGCCTCAAGGCAGGGTCCAGCGGGTGGGGCGGCGCGTGGAATGCGCTGCTGCAGATGATGCTTGCTCCTCTCGCCGCGCCGCATCGCATCGCATCAGATCGGGCGCTTTAGTGTTTTGCGAGACCAATCAGGCTGATACAGATGCAACGAATCGACCGATCGGACCCTGCCGACGTAGGTTCGACTTGGATTGGATGAGAACGACTCGGACCATGCTGCCAAGCCCGGTGTCTCTGTGCTTCCGAGCCAAGCTGAGCTTTCCAGTCAAGCTGCGAGCGGCTTGGTCGACGTTGATGCTCAGCCTGGGTTCGCTTCCCGACCCAACCAGGGCATCTCCACACTCTCGCTCGGGCCCTTGAAAGTTGGATTTTTTTTTTTCCTCTAGAAATTGTTTTTGTCCCTGGCGGGAGAGATCCAAGCGCGAGACTGTCAACGTGCCCGCTTGGCCTCATGTGCACAGCTGCAGCTGGATCATTTTTTGGTGCACGGATGCGAATCAGTCAGGCTCGAGTGCCCACATGCCTGCCTGTCCGCTGCCTTTTTGGGCGCGTTTTGCAAGCAGCCGAGCGATTGCTCCGCCAGAATCTGCACATCTCCGAAAAGCGCAAGCAAGGCTTGAGCGCAGTCACTCTGCGGCTGGCATCTGGTGATTTTTTTGGCGGTACGATTGGGTACAGCAGGCCGCGGCTGGCCAAGTCTGCCATCCATCATCAGCGACTGCCTATCATCCCATCGACGACGCTCCGCTACATCGATCGCTCGGATCTCTCTTGGCCGTCGTCGCGGCAGATCCGATACCAACTGTTCCTTTGAAAGGGCTCGGCTCACGTCTCCGAATCATCGTGTGGATCCGATACGCTCACACGGCGACATCATCGGCTTGCGCCTGGGCAGGCGCATCTGGAACACTCGACCACCACCTTGCTCCGAATACACGCAGCGAGATCCGTTGTATTTCGGTCATCGTCCGCACTACTGCGACTCATCACCACCGCCCGGACCTGCAGTCTTTTGGCGTAGCCGCTTGTTGCGTCTCACTTCGCTCCCGTCTTCACCACTCCCTATCATCGGTTCCGTGGCAGGTACCGCCATGTCCAAGTTCCCCAACCATGGTCTTTTCACCAGAACCGCTGCAGCTTCCACTCGCTCATCGAGCCTCATAGCGCACGCCCGGAGGGGGGCGCCTCGTCGACGCTCGGCCGCACTCGCCCCGAGCAGCTCTCTATCGCCCTCCACTAGCTCGGCAGCATCCTCCGTCAGCGCGATCCACGCGGCTTCCCAAGCCTCAGCTTCTCAGCCGCCGTTCATCGGCCCCCTTACGCTTGCAGCATCCCAAAGCGCACATCCTTCGCATGCGTCGTCGTCGTCGTCATCATCGAGTGATCTTCGCACCGAGCTATCCACATCATCCGCCCAGTCATCTCAGCCGATCGCGTTCGAGCCGCGCTACACTCACGACCTCTACTGCGATCCCGTCGAGGGTGCTGCGCATCCGATCGATCCTAACCCTCGCACCACGCTGCATAGCTTCGATCAGGGCGCGCCTTACACATCCACGCTCGCACAAATCGACCTGGCGCTGCGACAGGCATCCCAGCTCAACATCACGACTGCACTATCGCCTTCCTCGGTCGCATTCTCGGCAGCAGCTCGTCATCTCTCCAGAGTACACGTTTCGTCCTTCCCGCATCCTTCGTTGGACCGTATACCCGCTCACCGAAGCTCAACGCCTTACTCGATCCCCAACACACGTGCCATCCATGTCTTTTATCCCAACGCCGCCGCCGCCCATGCCTTGAATCCCGGCGCCAATCCGCATTTCGAATCGCCAAGCTCTGTCCCAAGTATCGACGGTCGCGCTCTCAGCAGCAGGCGCACCGCCTCGAAAAGAAGCAAGGACGAAGCACGCAGCGCTTCAGATTACGTGCCGCTATGGAACGCTTCAGCAACCACAGCGTCTTCGGCAGCCGCACCGCAGCTCGCTTTCGCATCTTCAATGCTGCCGCATTCGTCCCTCGAGCAGCGCTTCGACGACCTGGCTTTGTTGTCCTCCGATCAATCCGACTCGACCCCTTTCGGCTCGGCAGTCTACTCCGTTCCTGTCGCCCTGATAGCCGGCACCACATACGATGATATCCGAGCTAGCTCAAGCCTAGCCAATCCAGCCGCCCTATCTGCGCAAGGCTCGCCGCCAGGCTCACGCTCATCCGACTACGCATCCGAACGCGGCCAAGATACCCTCTTCGACACGACGCCTCTGCATCAGAGAGACACGGCTGACTGGGCTCATTCGGATCAGAGCAGCTCCACTTGGCACTCTTCGTCTTCCTCGAACGAGTCTTCCGAGTCCTCGTCCAGCTCGTCTTCGTCTTCCTCCTCGAGATCGCCTACACCCACCATCTCTGCAAGGCCTCATCTCACGACGTCCACGGTCCAGCACGACTCTTCCGGCAGCCACAGTAGCGGATCCAGCACACCCACACAAAACCACAGCCTTTCGGTTCATCAGCTTGAAAACGCCCTTTTCGGTCCGTATTCGGTTCTCACTGCTGCAGCTCATGCCTCCCGCAGCTTCGAACAACGGCGCAGCGCGCTTGGCCCGGCTTCGGACAATGCCTCCGACGCGGCCGAATCGGCGCCCTTGTGGACTGGTTCATTCGCGTCACCCAAGCATCGCCAGATGCATTACGCCTTCGAGCACGGCGCCTATGGAATTCCCAAACGTCACCCGTGGGCGGCCGTGCGCGGCAACGGAAAGAGAGCGCAGTCGGCTCCCAAACCCGCTCCGAGGACAGGCGCAGTAGGCATGCTCGCCGCGGCAGCCGACTTCCTTACCGGATCGTCATCGGCTACGGGTCCTCCCGTCACAAAGGAGAAGCTTGGCGGCGAGAGCGTCATCGCCGAGGACGGTCGGCGCCTCGGCCTCAATTCCCCCATTCGCGAGCATGGTCGCATCGTCCAAGATCGACTGCAATCTGTTCAAGTGGGCGAGGATGCGTACTTTCTACGTCCCGACTCCATTGGCGTGGCGGATGGCGTGGGAGGCTGGGCATCACGCGCCGGCGCAGATCCGGCGCTCTTCTCTCGCCTGCTCATGCACTTTTGCGCCGCCGAGCTGAGCAAGTTTGACGGGCTCAGCGCCGACGAGTTGGCGGCGCAAAACGGCAAGAAGCTTCGCGAGTGGCAAGATGTCGATCCAGTCGAGGTGATGCATACCGCGTGGGAGCGCTGCGTGCGCGCTTCGCGTCGCGAAGGCATTCTGGGATCGTCCACGGCGCTGATAGCCGTGCTTCGAGGCGATGAGTTGCGCATCGCCAACTTGGGCGACTGCGTCCTGCTCATCATTCGTGCGGGCGAGTTGCTTTTTCGGTCCACCGAGCAACAGCATTCGTTCAACTTCCCCGTCCAGCTCGGCATGATGGGACATACGGCCGAGAGCGTCACCATCGCGGCGAACCGAACTCTGGCGCGCGACGGCTACCTGCAATCCGGCGCATCGGACGACCTGGACGACAATGCGCCAAACCCACTCGGCACCACAACGCCGGCGTCCATGGACGAAGCACGCAGACATCGGCCATCCGGGACCCCTGAAACCGACGAAGGCGACGAGGCCGAAGAGGCCGAGTGGGACGAGCCGCGCCGCGATGCGGGACGATGGGCAGTCAAGGTGCAGAAAGGAGACATCATCATCGTAGGCAGCGATGGTCTCGTCGACAACCTGTTCGACGAGGACATTGTGGAGGAAGTGCACAAGTTTGCTCCTCCTCCGGCCTCACACGGCACGGATGTCGATGCTGGTGTTCCAGCAGCGAACACAGAGGACGAAGCAGAGTACAAGTTGCCGCATGACTTTAGTCCTCAACTCGTATCGGAGGCACTGTGCTCGCGCGCCAAGGCTGTCTCGGAAGACTCACGTGCGGTTAGCTCGCCTTTCCAGCAAAGAGCCATGGAGGAGGGTCTGCATTACGTCGGCGGAAAGCACGACGACATCTCGGTGGTGGTCGCCGTGGTCGGTGACCCTTCCGAGCGTCTGACACGAGGCGGCTTCTCGGTACGATCGGGCCCAGACACGGAGTCGGGTTCATTCTCCACCGAGTCGCACGGAGCAGGGCAGCTCTCTGCCTGAGCGGCCGCCTGATTCTGTGGACCGTCTACCTTTCTTCGTCACCTGCGGCGGGTACGTGTTTGTGATCGGATTTCTCAACGATAAAGTCAGCCGCCTCTCAGACGCGCATATCTACAGCAGAAATGTGCCAGCAATTGATCTGTTCATGGGAGTACTGGTCCTCGATCGGTTTCCTTTTTGGTGTACGGAACTGTATGCGAATGATGCGGGATGCGAAGGTGAGCATCTACATGGAATCGGGGTTGCCAGTGGAAGTGAGGAGATTTTGGTTTTGCTGAACCCAGGAGTTGACTGCGGAGCACTGCGAGTAGAACTGGTCCGAGATGGGCAGCGTTGCGATCTGGTCGGGGAGCACCTGGAACTGCATGAGCAGGCCGACGGCCATGTGCGGCATGAGGTGGCAGTGGAAAGGCCAGACACCGGGATTGTCGGCAACAAAGCGGAAGGCGATCCAGCTGAAGGCCGGCACCGAGAAGACGTCGCGACGCATCGGGTTGGTCTTGGCAGCGGCAAAGTTGGGGTTGCTCTGGGCCTGGAAATTACCAGCGCCTGATCCGACGAGAAAAGGGGTGAAGCCGTGGAGGTGGAAGGGATGTTCGCCCTCGTCGAGGTTGTTGACGATCACATCCATGACGACGGCCTGCGAGTTGGTGACGATCAGCTCGTCCGGGTCGTTGTAGTAAGCGCCGACGCTCGATTTGGATGAAGCGCGCTGGGTGGTCTCGAAGGTGTAGGCCTTCAAGAGAGAGGCCTGTGGGGCCATCTCGGAGGTGAAGGTGGTTTGGTTGAAAAAGGCGTGCCAGTTGCTGTATGCGTCGAGGCCAAAGTTGACGATGAGCTTGGTAGTCATGTTGGAAGCCGGGGCATCGATTCGGGTGATGGGCACCAGCTGAGAGGTGCTGAGCGACTCGGTCACATTGACGAGCGTGGCGTTGGTGGGATTGCTGAGCGGCTGTGCCGAGGCCGGGACGCCTTCATAGCGCATGATGGCGTACTGGTCCATGACGAGGAAAGAATTGTCGTAGGCAAACATGTCATCGAGCACCTCTGCGCGCACGGCGTAAGCACCGACGGGACGATCGGTGTCGATGATGACCGAGTATCGCTGTGCGACCATGAGGTTGAGGCTCTGGACGACGACAGGCTCTACCTCGGTGCCATCAGCTTCGATGACGGTCATGTTGTGGCCATCGACGGAGAAGCGGAAGGTGGCCATGGAGCCTGCATTGATGACGCGCATGCGCACCCGCTTGTTGGCAGGCACGGTGAAGTTGTAGGCCGACTTGCCGTGTGGCTGGTCAGAGATGCAGGTTGTGCCATTGGGTGCCAGGGGGCAGTTGGAAAAGCCGAGGCCATTGATCATGGCATAGTCAGGTGTGGGCTCGCTGCCCTGATCACCGCCTGGAGGACCTGCCTTGGACTTTGCAATGGCGGCGACGTTGAAAGCGTCAGCCTGGTATGCGTCGTTGACGACAAAGATGAGATCGCGGTCGTAATCGGTCCTGACCGAGGAACCGTTGGTGGTGGTCGCATTGGTTGCAATGCTGGTGGTGTTGCTCGGGTTGGTCATCCTGAATTTTTCGTCATCGCCGTGAAGAATGAGCGGACCGAAGAGGCCGTCTGCATATGTGGGACCGTAGTGGGAATGCCACCAGTAGGATCCGGACTGCTGGACGGTCCAGTTGTAGGTGAAGGTGGAGCCGGGAGCAATGCCGCACTCTGTGATTCCTGCCGATCCGTCCATCTGATTGGAGCCGCGCTGGAACTGACCGTGCCAATGGAGTGAGGTGGGAACTGGCATGTTGTTTTGCACGTGAACGATGATGCGGTCACCGACATTGGCCTGGACGAGTGGGCCTGGGTAGCGACCATTGACGAGACGCATCTGTTTGGTGGTGCCAGCCGGGTTCGAGACGACCTGGGTGAGGGTCCAGTTGAAGATCCGATCTTGTGGTGGAGCCAATCGGTCCCATGAGGGGTCTAACGTGAGCTGCGATGGATCTGGGAGATCCTCTCTCGGAATGAAGGTGAGGTTCGAGGCGGTTGCGCCAGGGACCATCTTTGCGTCGGAGGCGGCTGCATCGTGTTGGGATGCATCTTTGTGTTTGAGACCGAGACCGAGGCCAAGGCCAAGTGCAAGAGCTAGAACGGAGAGAACAGCGGCTAGCGAAGCTAACAGAATCAAGCGCCTCTTGGTGGGTGATGGAGAAGCTCGCGAGCCCTCTTTGAGATTGGACGTTTCAGAGCCGTTCTCGGCGAGCGAGAGTGACTTGCTGCTGCCGTGGTTGTCGGAACCTTGGATCGGTGCTGCCGACATCGCGTCGAAAGCGGGTACTTGCAGCCTGGCAGATACGCCTTGGGGGCGTGGGAAGATGATAACCAACGTTGGTGGTGGTGATGATGAGGCAAGACCAGAGGTGGCAGAGGAAAGGGCAAAGGTCGGGTATGCCGATGGAAGGCGCTACGGCGAAAAGCTTCTCGGATCCTGCAATCTGATTGTAGAATTGTTCCTGCTCTGGGACGAGCAGATCAAGTCCAAGCTGCGAGAGACACTGAGCGTTCGCTTCAGGTCATTCCGGACCAAGCAGCACCGAGGCTCGGTCGAGCCGAACGAGTGGCTGATGCAGTCGGTAGGGCCGAAAGCCGAAGGTTGGGAGTGCCAGCGTGCCGCCGCCGCATCGATACCGAGCGCCTTGTCGGCCGCTCCGACGCATCCTCTTTCTGGTGCAGGAACGGCAGGAGCGGCGGGCACGTTGCCGGCGGAAGAAGCCGAAGGGCAAGGGGGCGGCGGCCGAGTTGGACAGGCGGTGGCGAGTAACCAAAAAGAGAAAGTTGCCACCGCCCCACGCTTGCGGTGGGACTGCCCTCTAAAGCATAAAGCCAAGCGAGCTGCATGACGAGCGAACGTGCTCGCGATCTGCATGGGAATTTTCAGATTTCCCAGCTGCCGAGCGCAAGACGGTCTCTCGCGAAGAAAGCGCACGTTGGACCCTGCATGAAGCTACCTTCTTCTCGTCTCGCCGCCGCCGCCGCCGCCGCCTCTATCTTTGGCTTCGCTCCCGACCCCTCGCTAATGCATGGTCCAAGGCGAGCACCTCGAGGGCCTCGCGAGACCAAAGCTGGAGGGAATGCACTGACCAAATAATACCTCCCTGTGATCCCAATACAATTGAACGGCCAAGCGAGGCGACAAGCTGGGAGGGAAGTAAGGCTAAATGACCTCCGACGACCAAATACAGCACTCGAAAGGTCGGCCAACTCTCAGACGGCGGTTCGGTGACACTCCTGTTCGGCGGACCGTCGGCTGTCAACAGTGTCTTGACTGACCGCGCGGTGCCGATCCAGGGTTTGATCTGATGCCCACCTCGCTTCTACATCACTCCCACCTCGACTCGGCCTGCCGCTCTGGGCGACTCGCCACAGCGTACCTGCTTTGCACGTGCGTCCCTCTTGCTTTCTTCCAATTCGTCTCCGTCTGGACACGGCTATGCAAGCCGCCGCCTCGTCTCTCCGCTTTCTTTCCGCCGGTCGCTACGAGTCTGCTATGCCGCTGCCGCCGCCGCATCATTGATGCACTCGCGCACGTTGCCCCCGCTCCCTGCGGCTCGACCCCACCCGTGCTCGCCCGCCCGTCGCCGAGTGCTCAAGCTCCCTCATTGGTCCTCTTTGCCTAAGCGACCACGGCCTTCTCGCTACGACACTGTCCTCGTTCAAGCTTGCATTTTATCCTGTACCTGAGACAGCCACTTGGACCCTCTTTGGCGAGCTGCTTTTCTGTCTCAGTGCAGATCTACTGGTGCTGCAACCATCCTGGAGTTTCTTTTCGGACAGGCACCACCTCGCCTTCTTCTCTATAAAGACGCATCACCCCTTCCACTCCTTGCACCCCCTGCACCTACAAGCAAGCGTCCTCCTCCACCCATCTACGGCATCATGAAGGCTACCCTCGCCACCGTCTCGGCCACTGCCGCCCTTGTTGCCGCCGCCGGCGTCGCGGCTGGCCCCATCGAGAAGCGCGCCAAGATCGCTCAGACCTTCTCGCCCCCCTCGGCCTCGCCTCTCCAGCAGTCCTCCAACTACGTTGGTGCCAACAATGGCTCGCTGCCCAAGCACGAGGTCGTCGCCGGCAAGGCCTTCGACCGCATCGTCCAGATCTGGCTCGAGAACACCGACTACGAGGCCGCCATCTCCACCCCCGCCATGCAGGCTCTCCTCCCGCAGGGCGTTCTCTTCGACAACTACTACGCCGTCACCCACCCTTCGGAGCCCAACTACATCGCCTCGGTCACCGGTGATTTCTGGGGTCTCTCCGACGACGCCTTCTACCACGTCCCCACCAACATCACCACCCTCTTCGACCTCCTCGACGACGGCGGCAAGGCAGGCAAGCCCATCTCCTACGCCTGCTACCAGGAGAACATGCCCTACGATGGCTTCACTGGATTCAACTACACCTCCAAGAACTACGTCACTCCTGGCGCCTCCAACTACACCTACTACGTCCGCAAGCACAACCCTTGCGCCATCATGGACTACGTCTCCGGCAACAAGACCCGTGCGCTCTACAACCGCAACTTCAACGACCTCGCTGTCGATGTCAACGCATCCGCGCTCCCTCAGTGGACCTTCATCACGCCCAACATGGTCAACGACGGTCACGACACCACCGCCGCCTTCTTTTCCAACTTCACCAGCTACTTCCTGCCCACTCTGCTCAACAACACCAACTTCAACTCCAACAGGACCCTCGTCCTCCTCACTTTCGATGAAAACGATAGCTACACGGCTGCCAACCGCATCTTCACCATCGCCCTCGGTGGTGCCGTGCCCGCCAGCCTCAAGAACACCACCGACCACACCTACATGACCCACTACTCGGCCATCTCCTCGGTCGAGGCCAACTGGAACCTCAAGTCGCTCGGCCGCGGCGACGTCAACAAGACCATGGCCAACGTGTTCCCCATCTTTGCCGACTCCTTTGGCTACTCGAATACCGACGTTGCCGAGGCTGACATTCCCCAGACCAACATCACCGGTGTCGCACCTGGCCCCTTCTCGCTCACTAGCAACACGGCCTTCTACGCTCCCGACGATGTCAAGGTCGTCGGCGCAGGAGGTGAGCCCGTGCTGGTCAAGAGCGGCCTCAACACCTCGCAGACCCTCGCTACTCTCCCGCAGACCAACCTCACCGCGCTCGGCCAGAAGAACGTCTGGAGCACCGACCCCGGCTTCAACAACGTCAACGTCTCCACTGGTGCTGCTGCCGGCACTTCGGCTGCCAAGACCAACGCTGCCGCCAAGCCTCTCATGGCTGGTACCGGCATCGTCGCTGGCGCCCTCTTCGCCTCTCTTGCTATGCTCCTTTAGACATGCGCCTTGCCTCTACCGCTCGGCGCTTCTCTCGTTCGTAACACTGCACCGTGCACCTCTTCGAACCGCAGTCAAGCGTCCGCATGACACAGCTGTCGTTGAGGAGCCACCGTTGGAAAAAGAAAGGAAAAAAATCTGGAATTCCACTTGTTACCGCCGACGACATGGCCGTGAAAGCAAGCTTCGTAACGACTCACATCGAGAGACTAGCTCGCATCTTGTCGTCCAGCGGGTACTGCTGGCCGCTTGAGCCGAGCTTGCCACTTTGTCGTCGGATCCGTTCGTACTCGCGCTCGAAGAACCACTCTTTCGCACTGAACGCGGGCACGAGCTCGTCGAACCAGCTGGCGTTTGCGTCGAACCTTGCAAACATGGTCTCTCGGCACCAAGACGGACTCCTGGCTTGGAGGAAGCGCAGAACAAAGACCTTCTCGTGTTCGGGTTGCGTGGCTCCAGCACCTGGCGTTGGTGAGGGAACTTCAGCGATGCCCACCACCTGGATTTTGCCCGGGGAAGCTGACATCGATGGTCCTTGGACAGTTCTAGCTGTTCCGGCAACACTCGACACTGCCGGTGTCAAAGCTTGCGTCAAGTCAGCATTGAGTCGTAAGCAAATAAGGAGGATGCAGAAGTACTTACGGGCTGTTTTGTAGATCTCAAAGGCTCGTTGCAGAGGCACCTCGAAGAAGTGCTTGGCGCCCGTGTCTCTTTCCACAAACATGTAGTACGGCACCATGCCCATGCGCACCTGTTTGCGCCACATATTGGCCCACGTTGCCGGATCGTCATTGATACCGCGTACGAGGGGAGCTTGACAGCGAATCTGCGCGCCCGTGGATCTGATCCTTCGCACGGCCTCCTTCACGAGCGGCGTGCTCAGCTCTACAGGATGGGAGAAGTGCGCCATAATCGACAACTGTCGACCACTGTCGCAAATTCGCCGGAAGAGTTGCAAGGTCGAGGCGGCGTCGGCATCGTTGACAAATCTCTCTGGCCAGTACGCCAGCGATTTGGTCCCGATCCGGATCGTCGCCAGATGCGACAGGCGTTCGTCTTCGAAGATGGGGGTGAGATAGCGCTGCCAGTGCCGAGTCTTCATCACCATCGGATCGCCGCCGGTGAAAAGCAGGTCGCTGACATCAGGACTGTGTGCGAGGTAGTCGGCGAGACGATGCGCATCCTTGGACTGGAATGTCTGTTCCGATCCCACCTCTGTGAATTGCGCCCATCGGAAGCAATAGGTGCAGAAGCTGTGACAGTACTGCGCCTCTGTTGGGAAAAAGAGCACCGTCTCGCGGTACTTATGCTGGATCCCCGGCAGAGATGCTTCCGTTTTGTGAGGCCGGGCTGGATCTCTGGGACCATTTTCCGTCTTTTGATTTGCAGGATGAGGATTGAGCTTGGCTCGGATCTGCTCAGCAATTGCCCGGATGGTCACGTTGTCGACATTGCTGCGAAGCGCCAGCTTGAGTCGCTGTAGCTCGGAGGCGGCTAGCATGCCAGGCTGCGGAAAGACCAGCCGAAAGATGGGGTCGTTCGGGACGTTGGTCCAGTCGATCAGCTGCTCTACGACATAGTTGTTGGCACGCATCGGGAAGATGTGCGCCGCTGCCTTGTAGTCCTCGGAGTCCAGATGGGGAGCTCGTTCCGCAAGTAGGCGAGGGATGCCGGATGCTGATACCATGCGGTACTCCAACGGTGGCTGCGAATAGCCGCTAACGGGTTCGCGAAACGGACAAGTGCCGATGGCTGGCGCGGTGCTTAACGTAGTGGCAGACTTGCAGCCCAGCTCTGGGAGACGCCTGGCTCCCACGGTGCTAGAGAAACATCTCCTCGTCGCCAATGATCCTGGGAACATGCCAGAACGTGCTTTTGGCAGCCGACAGGGGTTTTTGAGGAAGGCCATGCTCACAATTGTGATGGCCTGCTTGTGCGTTACTGGTGCTGCATATTAAGCAAGCTGGCGAGTGTTCTTATAGGGCGGTAGGGCGGATGATAATCGAGATGGTTGCTTGGAGAAGAGACCGGAGTGCGTGAGGCTTTCCGAAGTCTGCGCAGACTCACGTGACCGGCCGTTGCAAGCGTTGAGGGAGATAGAGAAGGAACGGGCTCGACTGATGGATTGAGTTAGGCTTTGTTCGTCGAAGTGGCGATTTTGCGGTCACTCGGGAATTCAAACCATCCCGTCGCTGCCAAGACACTTCGCATTGTGATCTGACGACACATTTGGCTGACACCGCCGATCGCAATGGCGTCATAAGATGCGAAGCCTCCAGGCGTCGACATGCTGGTGCCAGTTTTTAGCCAAGGTCACAAGACAAGGTCGTATGACTGTTGACTTTCGCTCACATCGGTGCATCAATCTTGAGTCTGCTGACGGGGCCGCGTTCTTGGCATGATCAAGCGTTTGTGAGCTCGGATGTTGGCGAAGAGGTGCTTCGCGTGGGTGAGGGCGTCCAAAGCGATACCACAGCAGGCTTGGGAGTGAGTTAGTGGCCGACTGAGGAAACGATCGTGTCGACACGAGGTCGTATGTATGTGGAGCTCGAGTTTGCAGTGCCATCCATTGACGTGGTTGCCTTTGCGAAGGAATAGGGGCTGCTGTTTGCCAGAGCTAGTTCGCAGGGAGAGAGAGAGAGAGAGAGAGAACGAAGCGACCCGACGACTGAAAGACTCTCCGCATCCAACCGCGATAGTAGTATAAAAGTTCTTCGCGGGGCACCATCTCTTCGGCAAATACTACAGCACTTGCCCAACAGTGCCGAACGACCAAATGGCTCCTCCCTTGTCCCGCAAGACATCCAGGATGCTGACCATCAACTTGGCTGCCCTGAGGCGAGCTGTGTGGCGACCACCGGGAAATTGGCTTCGTCCAGTCCATTCATGGCGACATGAGCCAGCTGTGCAAGGCAGGGAGCCTAACCTGGCTCGCTCTCTCACTGGCAACGAGGAGACCAAGGTCGAATGGGTGAGCTTTGCAGGCCGGACGGTGGCACGCTGCGGGCTGGAAGAGGGAGATTCTTTGTTGGAAGTAGCTCGTGCAAAGGGAGTCGAGCTCGAAGGTACGTCGCCACGAGGAGACCGGATGTCATTCTTGTTTCCACGCTGGAGCTCACGCATACTGACGCGACCGCATCCGGACTACGATGGAGTCGACAGATGCTTGTGATGGCAACCTGGCGTGCTCGACGTGCCATGTGGTGCTGGAAGAGCGCGTGTTCGGCCTGCTTGACAGGCCTTCCGATGAAGAAGAGGATCTTTTGGGCCTTGCTCATGGCCTTGAACGATGGTGAGTGCTCAGTTCGCCCAGAAGGTCGATGCGATTCATGGATGTGCGATCGATTGACATTTGTTGTGCGTTGCGACTCAGCTCTCGACTCGGCTGTCAAGTCAAGCTGTCCCAGCTGAGAGACGTGACCACCAAGGTCACCGTGAAGCTACCGAGTGCCTTCGCGACATTGGCTGCCTCGGACAGCCACGCCGCAGCGGGAGGAGACGGCGCAGGAAGCTAGCGGGTCCAGCAGTGTGATCCATCGTTTTTTTTGGCTGGATTTGTGGGCCTCGTTTTCTTTGGCTAAATCCGAATCTTTTTGGTGCTGCAGCTGCTTTGCGGTGTTGAGCGGAGCTCGGGAAGAGTAAGGACGCACGGACGCTGCTCGACACGCACCTTTACCTCCACCTGCATGACTCGCGCTGCATGGCCGTGGCAGCCAGGGTCGTGCCTGTCGGCTGTTGCGGGCTTGATTGCGTGTCGTGAGCGTGCTGGCGACTTCGCAACGCAATCCGTTCCGCCCCAGCGACGGCCCGAGTGTGACGATAAAAGGCAGGTCCGCAGATGCACAGCTTCCTCTCGCTTGTCACGCTTGGACGCAGCTTGGAGCTAGCTTGATCTCGCCACTTTCGGCGCCCTCCGACTCGTGAAAGCAGCTGCGATCAGCCCAGAAGGTCTCTCGTTCGGCACAGACGCGTCTCGTGCCCAGCGCGCCTCAGCCATCGGACCTCGACGCCCAACGCACCCCTGCAGCCGCTCGATCCGCCGCCTCCTCTTGCTCGATTCGCTCGCCTTGTCGTGACGTGAAGTCCAGCTTAGCCATGTCAGCTGGACCGTCGGAAGCGGCAGAGGCGCAAAGCGTAGCCAGAATGCAAGCCATCTGGGAGCAGGAGTAAGTTGCTCGTTCCTGACCTGATACCCAGCTAGCTCGGCTTTCCTGACAAGATCATCCGCCTTGCTCTCTGCTGACCACCTTTTCCGGCTTCCTCAAGCGCCGACCTCGCCATCTGCACCACCTGCGGCAACCAGTACTCATCGGTACAAGGCCCGCAAGAGTGCCCGGTCTGCTACGGTGAGTACCGCTCTGCTGCGTCCTGGCCATTGCTGCCAACGTCAGAATGTCAATCGCACAAATGAAGCCGGCGGGAAGCCCGGAGCAGGCCAGCTGACCCCGCGAAACCCTCAAACACTCTGGTCAGATGATCGCCAGTATCCATGCCCGACCGGCCAAGCCTACACATCGCCAAGGAAGCTGGCTGCCAAAACCTCATTCGAGCTTGTGCCAGAGCCAGAGGATGAAAGGATCATTCGCATCAAGCTTGAGCCTCCCGTCGCCATCGGCCAAACCCCTTTCATCCTCCTCACCGCTCAAGGCGTCGTAGTATGGGACTGTTGCGGCTTCGTCTCGGTCGACTTGATGCGCCGCATCCAACAACAAAGCCCCACCGGCAAGGTTCTCGCCATCTTCACATCTCATCCCCACTTTTTCGGCACGAGCCTCACCTGGGCCAAGCTGCTGGATTGCAAAATCTTCATCTCCAAGCCAGACCGCCTTTGGTACCAGCGCGGCCTCGAGTCCGCTCGTCCACACCCAGACGTTGCGGCGCGCAAAAACTTCGTCGTCGAGGTAGATCAAGACACTTTCACTCTGCCGCACCTGCCTTCCATCACGCTCGTCCGCTGCGGCGGTCATTTCCCGGGCTCCAATGTGCTTCATTGGGATCGCGATGCCGACGCTCCGCAGGAACAGGCTCGGCGCGGCGCTGCAGTGCTATGTGCCGATACCTTTATGGTGATGCCCGATCGGAAGCGCTTTACTTTCGCCTACAGCTTCCCCAACAACATCCCACTTCCGCCACACGATGTCGAACACATCTGGACGCAGATGCGAAGCTTCAACTGGTCGGCCACCTACGGCGGCTGGCCAGGCCGTCACATCCTGACCGACTCCCGAGCTACGCTTCTTCGCTGCGCTCGCTACTATGTGAAGATGGAAGGTCACTCGCCCCAAGCTTTCCAAGAGCTGCGCGAGGCTCGAGCTTGATCTTCTAATCGTCGCCAGCGCCTCTCGATCGATGGCTCTGCATGACCCAGCCGAGCTTAATCTTGCTCTCGGCATGTCCCACCGGGCCCACAAATGCAGACGCTGTCCCCTTCATCCCTGACTTCATTAAGCTGTTGTGCATCGCTTCCGCCCGCTGAAGGACGGTGACGCTCCAAGCCTCTGCGCACATGACAAGATGAAATCCACCCTCTCGCCCTTTGTCCGACCCAGGTGCTGCACCAGTCTGCGAGTCGTGCCGAGAACTCAGCGCAGTCCGTCTTGGCTGCACAGCGGTGCCTCTGCGTTTGCCGCCTCAAGCTATCTAGCCTCATTGCTGCAGCTGGCAAGACATACATGTCACAGTATGAAAAACTCGGCCGCATGTCAGCTATTGTTGCAGTGGTGGGTCCATGATCGAGTGGGACTTAGGGTTGGCGGCTCCGCCACACACAGCACACTTCACCTCGTCCCCCGCTCCCGACCCCTTTCCAGATACTTTTAAGGAACGGCGGGAAAGGGAATGTTGCCACACGCTGTCCCACCTCTCCCGCATTCCGTCCTGGTCGACCATTGATCGCCTCGTCACTGCGTGCGCCTATCGCCGTCGTCCCTTCCTTCCGCTGCGCGATCTCACCGTCCAGCATGCCGCCATTGCGCGGCCACGACTCGGCCCGCAAGTTTCATTGCGAGGTGCAGGGATGCTCGGCTTCCTTCGTCAAGCGTGCCCACCTGCGTAGGCACGAGATGACGCACACGCAGAGGCGCGACTTTCACTGCCCCGGCTGCAATCGTGCCTTTTCGCGCAACGATAGCATGTCCCGCCATCTCCGTCGCAAACATCCGCATCTGTATCGCGCACATCAAAACACCTCTCTCGACCCCAGCGACGTCGACCATCTTCATCTGCCAAGGCTCTCGACCGTAGTAGGCATGTCGACAACGGTCGGCAACATGGCCTCCTCGAGCGGCACCACTTTGTCCTCTCGACCATCGCCCTTCGAACATCATTCCAACAGTCCCATGCAAAGTCGACAAGACGATCATCGGTCGTTCGGTACCCAACTCATGAGGCCGGCGTCGACTTCAGACATGTATGCCCATCCTGGTGTGCTACACACATCTCAGGGCTTGGCGTCGGGTCATTCTCGTGCCTCAGCCGCTCCTCAATTGTCCGAGTCGCCGGGCTCAGCGCAGGTAAGCCTGAAGCTGAAGTGTTGCTGCGGGAAGATTATCTATACTGACAAATGCGTCGACGACAGGCCGACACATTCCGCCCTTACCATCGTCCCGACTTCGCCGTCAAGGGCGAACACGATGCCTTCGAACTGGCTGGCTTGCCCCCCGGCGTCTCTGGCGACTCGGATGCCATTAATCGGTCGTATTCGACCAGACGCCCGACCGATGCGGAAGCTCAGATGCCTAGAAGTGACTGGGCCCAGTATTCAGAGACTCAAGCAGCAACCTCCATGCCCAGCAGAAGCGGATCTCTCGCGGCTCCTCATTATCGCTTCCCATGGGAGAGGCTTGACGAGGAGATGCCTAATGCTGTCCCTCCGGGCCTGGAGGGATGGCCGACATCTGGATCCGGTGCCGCTACCAACAGCGGCATTGCGCAGGATCCTTCGAGACGTGACTGCTTTCGGATGCCTTCTTCTCAAGCAGTCTTCGAACAGGCCGCTCTGCCGCCTGGCATTCCGTCCATGGCGGAGGAATCGCACTTCGATCCCCAAGCCGCTCCGGACTTGCTTCAGTCCGAGTTCTTCACCGACGTCATGCGGCCGCCAGGCCACGAAGAGTATGGCGCCGGCTTCGAAACACGTGCTTTCGCATCCCAAGCTTCTGATCGCGTACGCGTCGAGCCGAGCCTCAACCCTTATCAATCAGGCTCGGGCGGATCGTACGCTGGATACGATTCGCAAATGTCCCCCCAAGCTCGATCAGATGCTGGCGTGGACAACAAGTTCGAGATGCACCTCCGCAGTATGTGCGATGCGGCACCAGTTGTACCTCCTCCCAGCACGGGTCAGTTGGAGCAAATCCTTACCCACCTGGGTCTCGACCTTGCGGGCAGCCAAGGCTCTAGCTCTGAGGCTGTACGAAGCAACGCTCCCCACGTTCAAGGCTCTGTCTCGGAATCGAGTCTTTCAGCGCCGCCTATGATCCCGTCGCAGGACGTGGCGCGAGCATCTTGGGACCCCGATCGTCTCGCGCCAATCGTGCCCAACGTCCATCTGCATCCTCATTCTCAAGCAGCCTCCTCGCAGAACTCGTTCTACCTTCCATCATTAACCGCATCACAGGCCGAATACCTCGGTCCCAACGCCACTTCGCATCGTAGGCCGCTGGACCGATCGATCAGCACGGCTTCTTTCCCCTTCGACAGTGGCTCTCAAGATCGTGGTCCCCTGATTCGAGCCCCAGGATTCGCCGGCGCCATGGACGAGAGCATCCCTGAAGCTGCTGAGAACTCAGAAAGCGATACTGCCCAACAACGTGCCGGTTCAGCAAGCACTACAGCAAATTTCCTCAAGCCTCATGACTCGTTCAGTTCGCGGACGGCAACCTGGGACGAAGAAGGCGGCAGGAAGGATGCTCAAGCGGATGCGGCGCCGCGAAACCAAACGCACGATCCGATGTCCGGTGCTCGATGCTCAGGCGAGTCCGAGGAGATGGCACAGTCACCAAAGCATGGAAGAGAGGGGGACGAGGTCGCAGGTGAATCTTCTAGCCATGCCTCACTCCTCCTCGCTGAAGCCAGGCGACTTCTGGCGAGAGCATCCAACGCGCGACTGCGTCTCTCGATAAGCTCCCATGGTCAGGCGGACGCTGAGATGGAGGAAGCCACTTCGTCTCCCAACACGCAGCATCGTGACAGCTCTGCATCGATTGCAACTTCGATCTCCAGCGGAGATCTCTTGCAACTGGTAGTGGATCGCTTTCGCGCCTTTGCGCACCTGTGCCACGATTTCAAGCAACCGTCGACTGCGCTGGTCGATCAACTCAAATCATCGGTGCCCGAGGTGATCAGAGACTTTATTCCTGTCTTTCATCCCCAGAGGATGTATTCGCAAAGGGCTCATTCCACGGAGGAGAATTTGGCCGTCCTGGCCCTCGCGTCCACTCTCAGTGGCGATGCAGAGATCAGAGAAGAGGGGTACCGGCTTGTTTGCTATCTCTACGGCGTGGTCGTCCTTTCGTACAAGCATTCCATGCATCTGGGAGGCAAGTCATCTCCGACTCTGAACTGCCTCATGCTCATCGGCAAGCATGGCCTGCGTCAATCGAACCCGGAATTCTACCTCCGATTCGAGGAAAGCTACGGCCATATTCTGCAAGACCTCGCGCGACTCGAGACGCGACAGATCCGCCGTGACGAGGCCATGGATCGACTGGACGTGGATCAGATCAAGGGCATGCCGGACGAAGAGCTCTGTTTGACCTGGACTCGTTGGTACGAGCACGAAAGTCGGAAAAGGACCCTGCTGCTATGCGCCATCTCAGATTCGCAAGCGTCGAGCTACTTTAGCCCGTTCAACATCGACCTCGCCGCTCATCCTGAGAGCCCACGATGTCAGTTCTTATTCGCTCACGTCAGTGAGCCGTGTCCCGGTCGCGTCTTTTTCTCTTGGCCACCGAAGGAATGGGCAGCGCGCCTAGCCTGCAGTACGTCGGTGCCCTCATCGGAATGTGCCGATAGCACCCATCGAGATGGCAGGCCCTGCTCGATCGCTGCTCATCTGGCGGATAGGTTGCTGCGACCCCACACAGCTCATGCGACTCGGCCACAGCTCTACCCTCGCTTCCGGACGTCGTTTGACTTTGGGCCCAGCAATCATGCTTCGTTCAAGGCGAAGCCTCTGCGGCCGAATGGCGAAGCGTCTGCTACGAGGACTCCCAACACGATGCCCGCTCCCATCATCGAGGTCGACCATGCCTCAAGCGTGTCAGACTCATCCAGTCGGAGGGAGTCGATTTCAGAGGGTGACGCTAAAGAGCAGGACAAGCGTGAGCCACGCATGGTCTCACAGCTCTACACGCTGGCCCTTCTGGAATCGATTCATGGTGCCTGGATGTCGGACACTGGGTGGTGCCAGACGGCGGCATGGGGCGCTTCTGCATTGCCTGAGCGGCTTGTGATCGACGAGGATGATTTTGACATGGCCAGCGCGAGCATGGCCGATCTTCCTGGCTGGAGAATAGGGCGGACGCTCAAGGCCACGCAGGTTGCGCATGCCCTGATGAACTGGTCCGAGATCTTCGGCGGGTGGAACGATGTCAGCCAGGCAGATTCGGACAACGCAGCTCCTCGGGTGGAACTCAGTTTGAACGACGACGCGCAGCAGGCAACAATACGATGGCAGGCCATCTTTCTGGGTCTCTGTTCGCCTTTGCCTACGCTTTGTTTCTTCTTGCAAGATGCTTCGCGTCTGGATGCCAAGGATCGGCAGCGACATGGCAAGGTCTCGGCGCTCTTGGGCAAGTGGGTCCACTCGACCCAGTGCAGAAGGGCGCTGATGCACGCCAGCACGATTCTGACGATGCTGCTCGCCACTGAGCAGCTGTCGGACCATGCGACGATCCGCCCGACCACAGCTCATGCGGCGTTCATGTCGCTGGTGGTGGTCGTCTGTGCATACAAGTTGCTTCAAGCTGATGCCTCCGAGTCGAGCTCGGCGTCAAAGATGGACGATGCGCAGCGCGAGGAGCTCGTGCCTATGCGCCAGGTGTGGCCCAAGGTGCTTACGTCGCTTGCTCGAAGCGACAAACCGATGCCGGCGCCAGCCTGTGTCGACCCAAAAGGAAGCCAGAGGGAAGGTGACGACGATTGGCTTTGGGTGTCCTACTGGCATCGCAAATTCCAGCATCTGGGTCTCGCGGGCATCTTTCGAGAAGCCGAAGGCGGCCTTGGAGGATATGCAGACTGGCGAATGTCAGTCTCGGGGCCGTCGAATGGCGGCGGCTTTGTGGCGCGCGGAGCTGCGCACACGAGGCCAAGATGGTCGAGCTTCGTGGGTGACGGGCGGTGGCCCACATCGACGCGCGACAATACTTCCGGACCGGCGGCCGAAGCGTTTAGCAGCCAGCGAAGGGCATCGCATGCGCAGCCTGACCCAGCTCATCCTGATCCGGACGGAGACCTGCTGCGACGGCACTTTCGGCGACTGTCTGCTGTTCCGAATCCCATGGCAGAAACGCGTCGATGGGTTCTTGCCGGCTCCACACATGGCGCTACGTTCTGCGGACTTGCGCTCTCGCCCGCCGGCAAGAGGGTCGAAGGGCAGGGCTCCGAGTCGGGAGAAAAGCGCGGTGAGGCTATCGAGCATCTCACCCGCGACCACCTGCGCGAAGTCGTCACGCGAATCCAAAGCGCCAAGCTAGCGTGGTGCTTCAGCCACGAATTCGCGAGCCTCTTGCATGGAGCCTTGGGGCCATCCTCGCCCGGCGACAGCGAGCATAGCCATACGTCGCCGCCCTCAGAATCGTCGCCGCAGTAGTATAGCTTTCAGATGTATGATCCGTAACGACTTTAGATTTCAGTGATCATCGTGTCTTGTGTCTGCTTCGATATGAGAGGGGTGGCATCGACCCTCCCTTTCGGCCTGCCAACGCCGACCGCCTAGAGTCAAGCGCTTGCGCAATGTCATTCGGGAGGGTTGCAGAGTACATAGATGGCGGTGAGTCTCGGGATCTGACGCTGCCGATCGAGCCTTCCCGATGCTGGCCGATCTCGGGAGAGGTAGGGCGCGTGGAAAATTTTGAGATTTTTGGAAGAAAGCAGTGGGATCGGCCTGAGAACTGTCAGGGCTCGGAATCCCAAAAATTTCCCCCACCACCGGGAGAAGGCAGCCACTTTCCGAAGCAGCAGCGCGCAGCCGCTGGCGAGGAGTTGGAGAAGGGTGGTGCTTAGATCATTCGTCCTGCCGCCTCCTCACACAACACTTCATTCGCAATCGTCCTGGGTCTCTATCACGAAGCTACATCAACAGTGACAGCGCCGCCGACGACATCACCTAGACTCAACTCCAGCCGCACTGTTCAGCTCGTTCCGTCCGCCATCAAGATCGAACACCGGGCTGTTCCAACGCTCTCCACGTCCGCTGCTCTTTCACACGGTCAATATGGTCGCCATCCCTCGAGTGGCTGCTGCGCGCTCGTTGGCGCGACAGCTGGCCAGGCACAACATTCGAGTCAGTGGCATCTCTGCCACTCCTTTGCGCGTCGCAGTGGCTGCGGTGCCGACCGCATCGTCGAGCCGCGCGCCAAGCTCTTTCCGCAACTTTAGCATCTCTACCCGCCGCAGTGCAGCCGCCGCAGCTGCCGTCAAGGCGCCACCAGCGCAAGACGCCGCAGCACAGTCCGCGCACGATGGCTCGCATCAGCCAACATCAGAACTCACCGAGGCCGACTTGAGCCGCCTCGTTCGCCAGCGCAACGTTGGTATCTCGGCACACATCGACAGCGGCAAGACCACCTTGACCGAACGCGTCCTCTTCTACACCGGAAGGATCAAGGACATCCATGAAGTGCGAGGACGTGATGCCGTCGGCGCCAAGATGGACCACATGGAGCTCGAGCGTGAGAAGGGTATCACCATTCAGAGTGCTGCAACCTACTGCAGCTGGAAGGCCACCCCGCCGACAGAAAAGTCGAGCGTCAGCGGTGACGCCGCCGACATCGAGTCTAAGGACCTCATGGCCAAGAAGGAGGACTTCCACATCAACATCATCGACACGCCCGGTCACGTCGACTTCACCATCGAGGTTGAGCGTGCGCTTCGTGTGCTCGACGGTGCCGTTCTCGTGCTTTGCGCCGTCTCGGGCGTGCAGTCCCAGACCATCACCGTCGACAGACAGATGCGCCGATACTCGGTGCCTCGCATCAGCTTCATCAACAAGATGGACCGTGCCGGCTCCAACCCATGGCGCGTCATCGGCCAGATCCGCAACAAGCTCAAGATGCCTGCTGCCGCCGTCCAGGTGCCCATCGGTGCCGAGGACGACTTTATCGGCCTCATCGACCTCATCCGATGGAAGGCCGTCTACAACGAGGGCCACAAGGGTATCGAGATCCGCGAGACCGACGAGATTCCCGCAGAGTACCTCGAGCTGGCCAAGGAGAAGCGCGCCGAGCTCATCGAGCAGCTCGCCGAAGTCGACGACGAGATGACCGAGATCTTCATCGAGGAGCGCGAGCCCACCATCGAAGAGCTCGCTGCTGCCATCCGACGCACCACCACCCGATGCCAATTTTCGCCCGTCTTCTTGGGCTCGGCCATCAAGAACAAGGGTGTCCAGGCCATGCTCGACGGTGTGTGCGCCTACCTACCCAACCCCGCTGAGGTTCCTGCCACCGCCATGGACATGAGCGCCTCTGCCACCAAGAAGGCTGCCGAGGAGGCGGCCAAGGCGGCGGGCGAGGATGAGGAGGCTGCCGCCGAGGCCCGCAGGAACGCTGCACCACCCGTCCTGCCACTTTCGCCTGCCTCCGAGGCACCGCTGGTCGGTCTCGCCTTCAAGCTCGAGGAGGGCAAGTACGGTCAGCTCACCTACATGCGCGTCTACCAGGGCACGCTCAAGCGCGGCAACCTCATCTTCAACGCACGCACGGGCAAGAAGGTCAAGGTGCCGCGTCTGGTGCGCATGCACTCGAACGACATGGAGGACGTCGAAGAGATCGGAGCGGGTGAGATTTGCGCCATGTTCGGTGTCGAGTGCTCGTCCGGCGATACCTTCACCGACGGCACTACGCAGCTGAGCATGACGAGCATGTTCGTGCCCGAGCCCGTCATCTCGCTCGCCATCACGCCCGAGGGCAAGGAGTCGCAGAACTTCTCGCGTGCGCTCAACCGATTCCAGAAGGAGGACCCCACCTTCCGCGTGCACGTCGACAAGGAGTCGAACGAGACCATCATTTCGGGAATGGGCGAGCTTCACCTCGAGATCTACGTCGAACGCATGCGCCGCGAGTACAACGTGCCGTGCACCACGGGCAAGCCGCGCGTCGCTTTCCGCGAGACGGTCGAGAAGAAGGCCACGTTCGCCTACACGCATAAGAAGCAGACGGGTGGTGCGGGTCAGTTCGGTCGTGTCATGGGCTACATCGAGCCCATGGAGGTGGACCCCGAGACGGGCGTCGACACGGCCTTCGAGAACCGCGTGGTGGGTGGATCCATCCCCAACGGCTACATCGCTGCCTGTGAAAAGGGATTCTACGATGCGCTCGAGAAGGGTGCGCTATCGGGCCACGCTGTCACGGGTGTTCGCTTCGTTCTTGAGGACGGTGCGGCGCACAGTGTCGATTCGTCCGAGCTTGCCTTCCGACTCGCCACTGCCGGCGCGTTCCGCGAGGCTTACCAGAAGGCGAACCCGGTGATCCTGGAACCCAAGATGACCGTCGAGGTGGTGGCACCCATTGAGTTCCAGGGTGCGGTCATCGGCGCTCTCAACCAGAGGAAGGGCACCATCTCGGACACCGAGGTGCGCGAAGACGAGTTTACGCTCACCGCCGAGGTGTCGCTCAACGACATGTTTGGCTACAGCTCGCAGCTGCGTGGTCTCACCCAGGGCAAGGGTGAGTTCTCCATGGAGTACAAGTGCCACACGCCCGTCATGATGAACATCCAGAAGGAGATGCAGGAGGCCTACCGCAAGAAGCAGACCGAGAAGAAGTAGCCGCGTTGCGGTTTTTGTTTCTGTACGACTTTGATAGACAAGATTGGATTTCCCCCACACCACAACTCTGCATGCAATTCCGTCGCACTGATGCCCGTCTGAGCCGCGTGTCTCGCCACCTTGGCTTGTGACTCACTCAAACACAGACGATGGCGAACGACAGGCAAAGTGAGTGTAGACCGTCTCGTCGGATTGTTATAAAGAACAGCAGGTGCCATAAGAGTGCTGGCGTGGTATCAAAGAAAAGAGGAACATAAAAAGGCGGCCAGATATGCGAAAGGATGAGACGGGTGCGAGTGGGGCAAGCGCGAATGCAAGTGTCCATTGCGGGATGCGGAGAGCTTTTGAGGCCGCCTGTCTAGGCTGCGGCTGCGGCAGGGTTGGGGCCGGGATACTTGGAGGCAGGATTTGTGCATCCGTCCGGGTAAAGGCGGTTTCGGGGCCAGTCCTGTTGGTATCCGCCCTGTGCTGCGGTGCCGCCCCAGATGGTGAGGTTGGGGTTGGTGTAGGCCTCAATGTGGCGGTTGATGTAGGCCTGTGTGGGGAAGTCTTCGGGATCGCAGCCAATGTTGATCTGACCCTTGGGCTGGTAGACGCGCACGTAGTCGATGAGCATCTTGCCGGGGAACTCGAGGTTGGCCCAATCGATGAATCCGAAGCCGGACGAGATGGCGAGGTTGATGAGGATGTACATGGGTTCTTGCGGCACAGGTCGTCGGCTGATGCCCACGCGGTCATCGGCAGCCAGCGCGCCGGAAGAGAGCGACCAGGATCGCTGACCGTCCGAGATCCAGTGGATGTAGCCGTCGAACCCGGCCTTGTACTCGAAGCCGTAGACGGAAAAGTCGCCGCCACTGTACTGGTAGGCGGTCTGGCGAGTGTTGACCACGCCACTCGCCGATTGCTGCAGCACATTGCCTTGGTACGAGTTGAGCTGCGCGGAAGGCTGGAAGAACTCGTATTCTGTGCCGGTGGTGTTGATGAGCTCGTAGCCGTAGTTGGCAGGCATCCACTGGCCAGACTGCGACACACCGCCGATGCCATTGGAAACCTGAGCCTCGATGATGTCGATCTCGGGCGCGGATCTTCCGACAAAGTTGCCGCTCGAATCCTTCGGACCAGGGTGATCTTCACCGGGACACGTGCATGCCGATAGACGCTGTCCTGGCTGCCAGCTGATAGAGGTGGTGTCGTACTTGTTGTTGAAGACGGTGTCACCACTTCGGAGCGCACCGATTGGACCAAGGCCGTCGGGGTCAGTCTGGTTGCGCAGCGTGCCGCGGTCGCAGGCGTCGTAGGCGTACGGCCACGTCCCCTGTGTGGTGGCGCCGTAGTTGGCGCGTCCGAGGTTGCCCATGGTCCAAACGGCGGGCCACCATCCGGACACGCTGCTGCTGCCAGGCAGCTGGAGGCGCGTCTCGATGTAGCCGCCGGTGAAGCAGAATTGGTTCCACGATGTGAGCTGGCCGCTGCGGAAGTTGAGGTTATTGGTTTCGACCTGGTCGGCGGTGATGACGAGGCTGCCGTCCTTGGTGGTGACGGCCTCGGGGCTGTACCATTCAAAATCGCCGGTGGGCCATGGCCAAAGATCGACGGCAGTCCAGAAGGGGTCGTCGCCTGGGTAGAAGGAGCGTCCGTCTGTGTTGAATTCGTCGCTGAAGACGAGCTGCATCTCCTGAGAGCCGTCGACGGACATCTTTGTGAGCAGGTCTTGGGGAGTGTCTGGATCGATAAGCGCGAAGCGCATGTCGCGCATGTTGGGCACCTGTCCTGTGGCGTTGGTTCCGCCGAGGTTGAATCCGCCCTTTGTGTCGGCTTTTGGCTTTCCGGCAAAGCGGATGAGCGGGTATCCGAGGAAGAGCGTGACGATGCCTGCGATGACGAGCGACATGGTGGTGAGGTCGAGGATGACGCGCGGATCCATGTGACGCTTGACGGCGGTCTGGCTCTCGTAGTCGTGCAGCTCGTCGTTCTCGATGACAAAGTCGCTGAACGGCATGCCTTCGACGGATTTGGGAGCTTCCGAGTCTACATAGGGCGAGTCGGATGAGTGCTCGCTTGGCGAGACCTGTGGCGAGATCTGGGAGAGGGTCGTGCCGCTCTCGTGGTCACCCTTGGCTTCTGACGACGGCGACGACATGGTGCGGTAGGGTCGTCCCGAATGTTAACAGAGTGGGAAGAAGAGAGGTAGAGAGGATTTGGCGTAGGAAGCGCCACCCGGCAATGGGATCCAGTGACGGCCCCTGATTGATGCACGGTTCTATGAATCCGACGATGTAGCTGGCCAGTCTAGTTTTGCAACGGCCAGAACAGCTTGTCTTGGGCGTCTTTAGTGGTCAGCAGTGTTGTAGGAATGTGTATATGGGCGATTTGGGCGAGTGCGATGACCGATTCAAGGCGGGAATAGGGGACGAGATGGAGGGCAGGAGAGATGGATGGGAAGGAGTGACCCGGATCCACCTGCGATCGTCAGACTCAGAAGGGATTGGAACAATGGAGTTGGAGGAGGGTGTGGCTCAGGCACTGCACGGCCTTTGGTAGCAGCTGGATAGACTGCATCCGAACCAGGTCGGAAGCGGGCGATGCGAGCGGGCGCATCGACAAGCTAAAGGTGTGGAGGAGCAGCGCCTAGGCGAAGCGATTGCGAACCTGCGCTGAATGGCTGGTATCGGAAGGCGCGAAGGACTCAAACTAGGCACCCACTGCTTGCATCGTCATTGGGCAGCATTCCTGCGACATCTAGACGGGCCCAGGGGAGGCAGCCAGGGCGGCAGGCGGGCGTCAGCGGCATCAGCTGCCTCAGCTGTCTGACTCTGCGCGTTGCAGCTGGCTGCAGGGCAGCAGCATGCACGGGCAAACGTGGGCAGCCACCCGTTTTGGCAACTTTCCAGCCACCGGTGTCGGGCACGATCAGCGGCGATACAGTCGCTGCAACGGCCGAAGGTCGCTTAGCGCCCGCACCCACCCCAAAAGTGCATGAGCCTGGCGACAATGACAGCCGCCGATCGGAAGCAACCGACGTCGCTTGCCCTTGGCTACCCTGGAACGGCGTCCAACCTCTGCAGCCACGGGTAGGAATTGTCTGGGAAAATAAAATTTCGCACCCAGACCGGCCACGCGCCGACTCAAGCAGCCAACTCTAACGCCGTTGGCAGCTGAAGCTTTCGGATGCGGTCCGACTGTTGCCAGCGCAGTGCAGTCGACCACAACCAAACGTCCGTATCTCACCTCGATTCGGATTCATCTTGGTTTCAAGTGGGCTGTGTCGCTCTTCGCGAACTGAGCCAGTTGTCGCAAGTGGCAGCCCGGAGGTTCCGGTTGCGAGCTGGTCACGGTCGGTTCGAACTTTTTTGGTCCTTTGAACGCGAGCGTGGTTGCAATGCGGAGTTTCTCTAGCGAGATTTTGACGTCAGTGCAGTGAATTTAATTTGCACCGCTCCTCCCGCCCACACCCCGGCGTGCAAGCGAACCGCCGTTGCTGCCCTCGCTACCCGCCCGCCCGCCCGTCCGCCCGCATCTGCCATTGTGGAAGCAATTCAACCGTTTGCAACCGTGCCTGCTTTCGCCCACCCCCGAATTTAGCTGGCGAGGCCAACCCCCCGCACGCAGGGTGCAAGGGTTTCGAGTCTAGGTCTGCTCATGCCAGTCGCTGCTTTGCCTTGCTTCACTGCTGCTCGTGTTGCCAATCGAGTGGCTTAGAGTATGGTACTGCGAGCCACATTAGAGCGATAGGCAGGAAGAAAATCAATTCCTGTGCGGCGAGTGAACGCTCTGGCGAGGCGCCGCTGCAAGCACTCAGCGATGGCCACGTTCAAATTCATGCAAACAAAAGTTGCGCCGTCACAATGCCTCTTTGTTATCGCCGCCTTTTTTTCGTCGGGTTGTTCTCGTTTTGGAAATCCTGAATTTCCTGCCACCAACCGGCCGCATTTTTGGCTGAAATCGGGAGTCGATCTGGAATGTCCGCGCTCGCTTTGGCCCACCACGGCGGCACAGGAATGTGCGGAGGCCCGAAGGCGAATCTAACACATCCGCTCTCGCTGCTCTGCAAATCGGCACCATGGGGGCACTGCCTCTCACGCTCATCTGTTCAGTGATCTGCTGCTGTGGTTTGTGATCAGCTGGACATCAAAGCGGAAGGACAGGCTTGAATGCTTGCTCTACTGCGATGTTGTGCTGCTCAGGGGCGCAAGAATTCGGCCAGGCGTTGCGCGCTGCGAAGGATTGGTTTGGGGCCCCAGCCGATGGAAACCGTCGCTCCACCTTGGTCTCGATTTGCACGCCGCGTTGGCGAGTCCACCCTCCAGAACAGGAAAGCATGGTCCATGTGCGTGGACCCTGGCCCTCGCTAGCTGTACGTCGGGGACACAGAGGATACCGGGACCGGCAGACGATGATGATGAGGCTGGCGGACATGGGGCAACTGCTGTGCTGTTAGAGTTCAGGCCGAGGTATCGCATGAAGCCTGCAGCTGAACCGCAGGCCCAACACCGACGCCGCGTCCTGGCATGAAAACGGCTTGCGGCCCCGATCGGCCGATTCGCGGCTTCTCCTCGGCGCGGTGACGTGAGGTGGGCTATCTGCTGCCCGATTACCGCATGACACACATCTCGTGAATTCTTCGTCCGCCCTCGCGAAATGGCAGTGCAGCAGGCCTGCGAGAAATTTTCTTCGGAGAATACGGCACTGCCGAGCATCGATGAAGCCAGAAGCGGGCACCAGGGCTGTGTCGCTCATTTTTTCTTCGTTGCAGATCAAATTTGAAACTCGCGGCTGATCACGACTCGAAGCGCGGCCGAGCAGCACGGCGTTCAATGCTTCGCGAATCGATCCTCGGCTCGAATTCGCAGCACACTCCCCCTCTGGCTCCTGAGCATCAAAGCGCACGCTAGTTTGTTATGGGCCTCTCGGATAACGCGCTGCAGAATCTCGCAAACAGGGGCTCCGCTGCAGCGGTCTAGCGGCGTTCAGACCTTGACTCGAGTCCGAGGCGCGTTGCAGTGCAACTCTGCCGTCCAATGCATCGGCGCGGCCTGCCAGCACGCGTTTTCCGCACCAACAGGGCTGGCTCATGCTGCTCCGTCGTTCGAGTCAGACTTGACAGATTGCTCCGAGGTGACGATTGTCTGAAGATGCCGACGTGGTGACTGCAGCACAATGGCTTTCGGCGTCGACGGGCGGTGGGCGGTAGCAACGGATGGACAACAAAAGCGTAGGCTGTGCGGTGCGAAGATGTAGGGCTTGGGCGCAATCGCCCCATTTGTGCTGATCCAAAGGTGCATCGCCGTGCCGATTGGCTCGACGCTGCGCTTTGGCGCTGTCTGCTGCGATTCGTGCAGCTCAACCGACGGTGCCCGCACGCCGGTCCACGCTCGTGCCCTGCGGTTGGCCTCCGCCTCCGGCCAGCGCTTTGTCCGAGCTTTTCATGCGGCCAACTGTGACATTCGCAATCCTCAGACGCAGAAGCTCAGCTCACACACTCCCCCCCTTTGTGCCGGCTCGCCGAAGCGTGCTTCGAACGGCGAATGTACACACGTTCGGCGCCTCCGAAAGGCTGGCATCCAACACCCTCAACTCGTCACACAGCCATGCCGCACTTATGCTTTGAGTTTCAACCGTGTCTCTGTAGCCTTCATCTTGAGCCCCTTCCTCCCCTTCTCCCTACCTCACTTCCCTCCAACCAACACCGCCCTCGCACCTTCACCCATTGCAACACCCTCGTCACAGTCCCCACCTCCTCATCACGCTGATCAGGGCATAAAGGCGTCAGACTCCTTACCTCCGTGCCGACGCCGGCATTGCGCTGATATCCGTCCTCCTCTCGCCGTCTTCGCCCTCTGGACTCATCAGCTTCCGTCCCGTCAGTCGTGTTCTGCATAGATACCATCCTCTTGTCAACAGGCTTCACGCAGAGCCACACGTTTCTTCACAATGCCCAACCCGTACGGCGCTGGCTCGTCGTCCATCAGCCCTCCTTCCAGCTCCTCCACCAGCTTCGCCGCAACTCCATCCACCCAGCATGATCGCCTTCTAGCTCGTCCCAATGCCGGTCCTTCAGGCGCTGCAAAGTACCAGCTCGCCCCGAATGCCACCACCGAAGAGGAGGACGACTATCTCCACGAGATCGACACAAAATGGGACTCGTCTTCCCATGGCTGGAACCTGAGAGGGTTCCTCAACATCCTCACCCTCACTCTCCTCGCCCTCGGTCTCATCATGCTCTTCCTCGGCTATCCCGTCCTCATCAAGGTCAAAAACATGTACGACAATGATACCAAGGGCGCATTTGGCATCGGCGGCACCAACGGCTCAGGACAGGTGCCTGCCCTCGACATTGTTTCGCTCGTCGATGCCGACACTCCACAGAGCGCTCTCAAGTGGTCCAGCAGCTACGACCAGGCCTCCTACCATCTCGTCTTTAGCGACGAGTTCGAGAAGGACGGCAGGACCTTTTGGCCCGGCGACGATCCTTTCTGGGAGGCCGTCGATCTGTGGTATTCCGGAACTGGTGACTACGAATGGTACTCGCCCGAGGCAGTGAACACTACTGGCGGCGCCCTAGTGATTGCGCTTGAGGAGCACCAGCTGCACAACAAGAACTTCCGCTCTGGCATGGTCCAGTCTTGGAACAAGTTCTGCTTCCAGGGTGGCTACATCGAGTTCAGCGTCCGCCTCCCTGGCGCTCCCAGCACCAGTGGATACTGGCCTGCCGTGTGGCTCATGGGTAACCTCGGCCGTCCAGGATACCTTGCCTCGACAGAAGGCACCTGGCCCTACTCGTACCAGTCGTGCGACACTGGCATCCTTCCTAATCAGACCTGGGTCAACGGCACGGGTCCGGACCTCGCCATCCACTCCTCGGGCACTTACGCGTACAACGGCGAGCTTTCCTACCTTCCCGGCATGCGGTACTCGTCTTGCACGTGCCCAGGCCAGGACCACCCCGGTCCCAACAACAACGTGGCTCGTTCGGCCCCAGAGATCGACATCTTCGAAGTGCAGGTGCAGTACAAGGACGGCGCGCGTCACTCGTACGCCTCGCAGTCGCTTCAAGTGGCGCCGTTCGATGACGCGTACGGTTGGGGCAACTCGTCCGCCGACGCCAAGATCTACGATGACACCCTGACTGAGTTCAACACGTACACCGGCGGTCAGATCCAGGAAGCCGTCTCGTCCGTCACTCGCGTCCCCGACCGCGGATTCCAGCTGACCCAAAACGAATATGTCACGTACGGCGTCGAGTTCAGCCCGGACTTCAACTACGACGGTAGCGGCTCCATGACGTGGTACGTGGACGGCAAACCTTCGTGGACTGTCAACCCCAAGGCCTTCCCGGCGCGCGCCAACCTCGACATTGGTCAGCGCATCATTCCCGTCGAGCCCATGGCGATCGTCATGAACCTGGCCATCTCGAGCGGCTTCCAGACAGTCAACTTTGGCGAGGGCGGCATCACGTTCCCGGCCTTCATGGAAGTCGACTACGTGCGTGTCTACCAGAAGGATGGCCAGTCCGACCTGATCTCGTGCGATCCTGCCGACCACCCGACGGCCAACTTTATCTCGACGCACCAAGATCTGTACTACAACAACAACCTCACGCAGTTCCCGCGCGACAAGTATACTTGGCCCAAGAACAAGCTGCAGGGCTGCTGATCGCTCCCACAAGCATACTCTCCTTTCTCTCAGAACAATGTACTCATAGACTCGACCCGAGCAAACCTTGCTTCGGCGGACTCCACTTGCAATCTTTTTTCCAGCCTCGCTTTGCTTCGCTTTGCTTCGCTTCGCAAGACGGTCAGGTATTGTCTATTGCTGCGTGAGAGGCGAGAACGCCATCAGGGAATACCGATGTATTCGAGATAGAGCGGGTCGGTGGGAAGCATCATGGGCGGGTCGTAGATCTTGTACAAGCTGGGCGAGCGGTTTCCCCATGCGTCGGTGAGGCGGAGCGCTGCGCTGGAGACGCCATGGTGCAGGTCGATCCAGGTGTCGACCATGGTGTACTCTTCCGGCACGTCGTACATCTCTTCGGGCGGGCTGCCGCCGGGACAGCTGGAAGTGAGCAGCTGTGCGCCCTCTCGAGCGATGGGCCACAGTTGAAGCGTGCCGTTGGCGTGCAAAACGTAGTTGCCGTGCTGCCAAATCAGCTGGCTCTGAATGCATTCTGGCTTGCGAGCTGAGTATTCATGCAAAAGGGAGAACCGGGTCAGATCCTAGCGTCGGGAGGCTCGAGCTTGGGCTTGAGGATGAGGATGACTTACGGTTGGGCGTCACGCGGTACTTGGCAAACTCCCAGAATCCGTCTTGTGTGAAGCTGTATGCCTGGCCGGGCACCGTTGGAGCGATGAAGCTTCTCGAGCTTGGGTTGAAGAAGCCCTGTGATGCATCGAAGCGGAGGCGAACAAGCGTCAGAACGCTGGACAGGTCACAAAGCTTCATCGGGTGGAACATTGAGACTTACGGAACCGGTGGTCACTTTGCCAGATCCCGACGACCAGGTGCCCTGCAGCATGGGCTCATCGCCTGCGTGAAGTACGGCGTATCGCTGGCGGCCGGCCTGAACCGCGCCCAAGCTCAGCAGCACAATGTATGCCAGGCAAGCCTGGAGGAGCTGGATGGAGCGTGCCATTGTCGAGGCGCACTGGAGCCGCAGGGAGACTGTTGGTCAGGGTGGAAAGTGGGATGCTAACACGATGTTGCCCGGGATGAGTGGCTGTCGGTCGAGAGTTGTATCAGGTATAAGCGTGCCTTGCTTTGCTAGCGATCAAGTTTGGCGATGTCGGTGGCCGGGCTGGAGTCTGTGATGGTGGTGAGGATGCGACAGATTGTGGGAGCCGGCGTCGTCTGCTGTGTGCCGCAGAGACAGAATGGGAGTGCAGAGACAGAGTGGTAGTAGGTCAAGGTTGGAGACGCTCAGACGATCATGCACCAGGACAAGACGTGGATCGCCGGACCACCACAGCCGTGGCCTCGGAGTTGCCGACCCTGTGTGCGCCAACAGGCTTCTGCGAAGCTTGCCGACGCTAAGAATCGGCACCGGTGGGCTCCCGAGGCATATCGACCGTACCTCTCTACACAGCAACTACGGCCAGGGGCAACAGCTGACCAAGCGAAGCAGAGACAGAGGGTGCATCAGGGATCGGAGCTTCCGAGTGCAGTGCGAGTGCAGTGCGAGTGCAGTGCGAGTGCAGTGCGAGGGCGTCGTGGATCCAAGCTTCTTGGCATTCCTAGTCGCAGGGGATCCGTCCGACAGTGCGCTGCTGGCCTCTGCCACGTTCTGGCTGTGGAGCAGCGCGGGTCCACCTGTCAGCTTTCGTGGGTCTGCCCTCGTGTGGCTGCCTAGACCCTCAGCAGCTATGTGTTGCTGCAGCCAAGAATAGGGCCTTCCCATGGCGGCGTGTAGAGCCTCGGTAGACTGGCGTGGACCGGGGTTCGGACGCGTCTGTTCCCCTGGGCGTGTGTTGAAGCGCCCATGAATTCTCGAACCAAAATCTCCGCCTGCAGACCAGCAGAAGTTCAGATCGCGGGCGCGTGCTCATCTGCCAAGTCTTGGCATCCGACCCAAATTGCTTGGCACCAAACATCACTGCTGCTCCGCCCCGCACGCCAGAAAAGCATGGAGAGACGTCGCCGGCATTGAACAGGGCGATTCTCGATAGAGCTGACAATGATCCAGCCTCGTCGCTGCTGGTCGTAGGGTGATCCGATTATGATCCAGCAGGGCGTATTGTACACCGGGTGAGCCGCAGAGGGTGTGCGAAATCTCTCACGCCAAACATGGTCGGGCGGGCCGAATGAAAGGGCTGCGGGAAGTGGGGTGGAGCCTCGCGTATCAGACGGCCTGCTTGTCAAATAGCGTGCGCCTGCAGCCGGACGCAGAGGCTGTGCTCATGCGTCGAGGAAGCCAAGACTTTCTTTGAGCCCCTCGCCGATCCTCGTCCGTTCGGAGACTTGCCCAAGCTGGCAATCACACGTACTGTCGAATGCTTCCGTCGACTGCCTGTACGCCAAACGGCGCCTTGAGGCCTGTGTAGCCCTCGTGCTGCTTGATTGTGTCCGCTTGACGTCGCTCGTCAGAGGTGCGCTTCGCTGTGAAGACCAACATGCCATTCGCAAAAGCCAGTCCTTCCTTCTTCACCAACACCAACAAGCTGTTGTCCGCATCAAGTTCTCGCTCCGCAGCCTTCCCCTGCCCCATTCGAGTTGACCTGCGAGACCAAAGACAGATCCACAGGACGTCAGCACGGCACTCGCCTCACCTTTTCCACATACACACACAGTCATGGCCGACAGGTCCAGAGGAGGCTACCACAGGGCGGATAATCCGCCCAGCATGGCGTCGTCACGGCCTTCCGTGCTCACCGACTCGAGCAGCGGCTCGTCTTCGCAGAAATACTACACCATGCCCGTGCAGCAGGGCGGCTATGCCAAAGGCGCATATGGACCAAGATCAGCGCCCGCCGCGCCACTCTTGACCGACGACGACGACGAGGATGACTACCTGTACAACGACAAGGCGCTCGACAAGCGCTCGGGCACCTGCATCAGCACCAGAGGTATGCTGAATGTCTTGACCCTCATCCTGCTTGCTCTGGGCCTACTCGCTCTCTTCCTGGGCTATCCTCTCGTGGTGGTGCTCAGCAAAGTGTTTGATAGTATCGACATCAACCCAAAGAGCCCAGAGCGCCTCACTGCGATCACACAGCGCGGTCTCCTTGACCCAGACACCCCGCCATCCGCTATGAGGCGCACCTCCCCCATCGACGGCAGTGCCTGGCACCTCGTCTTCTCGGACGAGTTCGAGCAAGAGGGCAGGTCTTTCTGGCCAGGCGACGACCCTTACTGGGAGGCCGTCGATCTGTGGTACTGGGGTACCGGCGATCTCGAGTGGTACTCACCAGAAGCAGTCAACACCACCGGCGGTGCTCTCGTCATCTCGGTCGAAGAGAGGGAGACCAACAACAAGAACTTCCGTTCCGGAATGGTGCAGTCTTGGAACAAGGTCTGCTTCCAGGGCGCATACTACGAGATCTCGGCGCGTCTGCCCGGAAGCCACACCGTTCCCGGATTCGTAAGTAGTCACGTGCCATCACACGCCGTGATGGCGCCTTTCCGCAGTCTTCATCCAGATCAGCACTGACCCAACGTTCTCATTTCCTTCGCTTTGGATTCGCAACGCTAACAGTGGCCAGGCCTGTGGACTCAGGGCAATCTGGGCCGTCCAGGTTACGGCGCCACCAACGAGGGCATGTGGCCGTATTCGTACCAAGGATGCGACACGGGCGCCCTGCCCAACCAAACATACATCAACGGAACCGGGCCGCCCAAAGCTCTCGACGCAAACGGCCTCTTCTCGGCATCGTACAACAACGAGCTCTCGTGGCTGCCAGGCATGCGATTCACCTCGTGCAATTGCCCCGGCACCGAGCACCCTGGCCCCAACCACCGCGTTGCAAGGTCCGCTCCCGAGCTCGATATCCTCGAGGCCAAGATCAACGTCGCCGGCGGGCACGGAGAGACCTCGCAGTCGCTTCAAATGGCTCCGTTCGACGTCGATTACTACTACGGCAACAGCACGGCGGCTGGCGACATTCGCATCTGGGATGCCAACACCGAGCTCAACTCGTACAAGGGTGGTGCCATCCAGGAGGCCGTCTCGGCGCTGAGTCAAGTGCCGGATATCGCGTACGAGAATACGGTGGGTGGACGCTACGTGACATTCGGCGTCGAGTACTCGCCCGACTGGAACGAGAATGGCGACGCATCCGTCACCTGGTACATGGACGGCCGTCCGATGTGGACGCTGAATGGGCAGGCTATTGGCCCGGTGCCCGAGCTCGACGTGAGCCAGCGCCTGGTGCCGACGGAGCCGATGTTCATGATCCTGAACGTGGCCATCTCCGAGTCGTTCCAGGTGCCCGACTTTACGCAGCTCGAGTTCCCGGCGCACATGTACGTCGACTACGTGCGCGTCTACCAGCGCGACGGCCAGCCCGACCGCGTCGGGTGCGACCCCGCGGACCGCCCCACGTACGACTACATCGAGAACAACAAGGAGATCTACTACAACCGCAACATCACCGAGTACCCCAAGTCCAAGATCCCCAAGAACCGTCTCACGGGCTGCTGAGCCATGCTCGGCTGAACCTGACGCCACGCTCATTTCTGCCCGTTCTTAGCTTCTCTAGCATCGTTGTTCCGTTCCCACGCACTCTGCATTCTCAATTCATCGCTGCCTGCCTTTCCATCGCCTGCAAAGTCGCGAGAATGCAACCGAATAAGTTAAAGAACCACAAATGGGGAAAGGAAGCGTATGCGAGCTATCAAGGCACGAACGAGCTTGTTCAGGCTTTTACGAGGTCGTATCCCTGGTATCCGGCCTTCTTGCACTCGTCGAGCTCGGTGACGTACAGCGGGATGCCGCCCTGCGATTCAGCGATGCGAAAATCAGAAACACAACGAAAGGTCAGCATCAGATGGGACCCTTAACGTCGGAAGGGGCAACTTACGGTGAAATTGAGCGCCTGGACCGGCTTGCCTGGGATGTTGCGGCCCATGTACCAGCCGTGGCTCTCGTGGAAGAGCGTCTTGGCCGAGAGCTCGTTGATGTGCTCGCCAAATTTGGCTTCGGCCTGGCCGTCGACGTCGAATGACGTGATCTTGTTGTCGCGCATGTACTTGATGAACTCGCACACCCACTCGGCCTGCACCTCGACGGTGGAGGGACCATTCGAGTATGCCGTAGGACCATGAGGTCCATACAGGAAGAAGAGATTCGGGAATTTCTGCAAGGATTCAAAAGAAGAGCCCAAAAAAGATGGACAAAAAAGGTGGTGTCAAAATCATCTGGCTGACAGGTGTTGGACGTGATGTCAAGACTTACAGCCGTGTTGAGACCGTTGAGCGAGTTGCAGCCCTGCGACCACTTGTCGGTGAGCGGCAGACCCTGCTTGCCACGGATGTCGATCTGCTTGAATCCACCGGTGTGCGTATCGAAGCCGGTGGCGAGGATGATCTGGTCGAGCTCGATTTCGCGTCCGCTGTTGAGCCTGACGCCGGTCTCGGTGATCTCCTTGATTCCTTCGTCGCCTCCACGCTTGATCGAGACGATCTCGACATTGTCCTGGTTCATGACCTCGTAGTAGTTCTGCTCAAGCGAGGGGCGGACGGTGCCAAAGGTGTGGGGCCACTCCTCGGGGCAAAGGATCTCGCGCTTCTTGGGATCCTTGATGCGCTCGGCAACCTTCTTCTGCCAAAAGTCGTACGCGGTCTTGTTGGCCTCCTTGTTGGCATACAGGTCGTGGAAGGTCTCGAGCCAGAAGTGGAAGCCACCTCGTGCCCACAGCTCCTCGTAGAGCCTCTCTCGCTCCTCGGCGGAGACCGAGAGCGTCTCGCGTGGGTCAAAGTCGTAGTGGAAGCCGCCAAAGGTCTTTTTGCGCTTTTCAAAGATCTCGGGATAGATGTCCTTGAATGCCTCCTGAGCACTCGCCTCGAGCTTCTGCTGTCGCATGGGCAAAGCGAGGTTGGGCGTGCGAACAAAGACGGTAAGACGGTCTACCAGGGGTCCGATCTCCTGGCTCACTTGGATGCCCGAAGCACCGGTGCCGATGACGGCGACCTTCTTGCCCGTGCAGTCGATCGACTCCTCCCACTCTCCCGTGTGGACGATCCTGCCCTTGAATTTTTCCATGCCTGGAATCTTGGGGATGTTGACTTTGGAGGCGAAGCCGAGGCAGAAGATGACGTGCTGCGCCGTGACGGTGACGGTCTTGTCCTCGCTCGGGCCTGCGGTCAGCGTCCACTTCTGTGCAGCATCGTCCCAGTGCGCGCTGCGCACGCGGTGGTTGAAGCTGCAATCCTTGCGAAGTTCGAGCTTCTCGTCGAGGTGGTTGAAGTACTGGCGAAGCTCCTTAAAGTCCGGATACTTGCACGAGAAGTTCCACGATCTCCAGACTTCGGGGAAAGAGAGACCGTACAGCGGGACTTCGCTGTCGACTCGAGCTCCGGGATACTGGGGTAGGTGCCAGCGTGACGTGTCAGTTCAACGGCCGCTCTAAATATGCATGCAAATGACAGTATTACTTACGCAGTTGAGCCTCCAAATGCCGCCAAAATCAGGCGCCGCATCGAAGAGATGCACGTTGAAGCCGAGCTTTCTCAGCATGTATCTATAATGGGAAGAGGCGAAGGCGGCGGAGAACGAAGAAAAGACAAACAGGTTCAGCGGATGTTCAGACGCTCGACAACATGTGCTGTCAGCCTCTCCACGATTTGCGTGGAAACGAACAGATGATAAATTCCGGCGAAGCCGCCTCCCACGCAGACGGCGTCGTAATGCTGGGTCATGTTGGGTGTGTCGAAGCAAGAGAAAGTATAGATGGTCGGGATAGTTGGCGAAGACGCTGGTTGCGATCAGGGTGCAAAACAGTCTCGGTCGCAAAGGTGAAGAAGGGCGGAGGGTGAGAGTGTGATTCGGTGCCTTATATGCAGTGTTGTTGGCTGTGCTTGCAGGCTGGGTGGGGCAGCCGAGATGCCGCCAGGTGACGCATTCTAGCCCACCGAAAGGAGGGGGGGAGCGGAAGGGTGCCGACGAGTCAGTGTATCTTTGATCGATTACCACAAGGCAGCGCCGTCGGCGGCGGAAGTGGCCACGTCGAGGCCCAGGCCAACGTGGAGATGGAATCGCCACTCGGTGGGGAGGCGGCGGCAATCAAGCGGGTCATCTGATCCAGGGCGGCTAGACGCGGTGGGGCTGTGGCGGGACTGCCAATTTGCCCCGCATATTCGGTGGTCGACTCGAGTTGATGCTCGAGAGATGCCGAGGGGTGGGGAAGAGCTAGCCCGCAGCAGAAGGCGGCTTGTCCGAAAGCTGGCAAGGCTGCTTCGCCAAGCGTAACAGCGCAAGGCGGGGCAGGGTCCAAGATGGTCGGAAGTGCCGACTTCGAGACGCCGCGCGGGTCGCCGAACAGCCGCCAGGAGCGCCCATCTTCGAAAGCGGTATGGAAATGTGCGACTCGCTTATGCTCGGCACAACCGACGCTCGCATTGTGCTGAGAGCCCAAGGACTCCTCCACTTTGATGCAGACGTCAAAGGGAAGACGAGGATGCCTCCCCGCTGCCCACTGAGTTGGCCTCACGTCGGACTCTGACCGAATCGTTAAATTGACCGATGCGCATCAGCCGTGTGAGACTACAGTAAAGGGCTGACTGCGTAGGATCAAGGGGTCGGACTTGCCTGGCTGCCGTCACTCAGTGGAGTTGTGGCTGGCATGTGGCGGGCAGCCTTTTCTGCAGCGGCCAGGGTGCAGATGCCAGGTGGGAGCAAGTGGGCAGGCAGGCTTACCCCGCATTTTTTTTTGGGTGGGAGTCCGCGCAATCCGACAGGGCTTGATTCATCCGGCCGCTCGCGACTGCATTTCTGCGGTGTGTAGCCGCAGTCTGGTGCAGGCGAGTGAAGCAGCGCTCGACGTGGCTCGTGCGGAGATGCGGAAATACGCAAGCCAAGCCCGGCGAGCCAAACCCCCCGCAGAACATCTGCTCAACACAGTGCAGGCTCATCTCCATGCCGCCTTCGATAACTTACAGGTTGAAGCTTCATGCGCGCGCATTGGATCACCGAGCTCGATTATATGAAGATCTGGGCTTTGTCCACTTCTCAAGACAGCTCTTCCCGATAATTGTCTCTCTCTCTTTAGCTGTACGAGGCCCAAAGTGTTCGCGTAGTGCCTTCTTGACCCGAGCGCCACCGGAAGCCAGCTGATTGAGGATAACATTCATCCCGCGTGTCCAGACAATCCAGGTTGGCTGGAGCGCGGGTGTCATTCCCCCAGCTTTCGGCGAGGTGCGGATATGCCGGCGTTGAGCTAAGAGTCTGGCGTTGGGTGGAATTAGAGCTGAGCACAACACAAAGGCTTTGTCGCCTCCTCCACGCGCGGCTCTCGGCGCAGTGGATTAGCCGGGGCGGTTGTGCATTCGTCCAGCTTTTCGAGAAACCCCACAGCCAAGACCCGCAGGTGCGCACGGCGCAACTCCTCTCGGCTCCCGCCACGAAGCTTTGACTTCAGCATATCGAGACTCGAGTCCGAGCATCTCATGGGAGCTCTTCCATCGTCACCTTCATTGGCTCCTTCCCGCCCGCCTCCTTCCAGTGCTCCTTCATATACGACCCGTCCATCTTCCTAGCCGCCTCATCATCCGTTCTGCAGAAACTAGTATTCCTGCGATTATGATCTTCACATCCGCCGCTGAGCCCGTCAAGGAGCTTCCGGACCACCTCGACGTCTATGGCTTTCTGTTCGAATACTTTCCCTCATCTCGTCCCGATACGCGCAACACCGGTCTCCCGCTCTTCATCGACGAGCAGACCGCCCAACAATGGACTTTCGAAGAGACCAAGGAGAACACCGACCTTCTCTCCGTCGCGCTGGCAGAGAAGTGCGGCATCAAGCCCGACACGCGTGCTGCCATCTACGCCACCAACAGCATCTACTATCCTGCCACCATCTGGGCCATGCATCGCCTCGGAGCCGTCGTCTCGCCCGCCAACGCTGCTTTCATGGCAAAAGAGCTCGGCCTGCAGATCCAAGAGTCCAATTCCAAGCTGCTCTTTGTGAGCGAGGATCCCGTCTCGCTCAAGAATGCTTTCGAAGCCGCAAAGATCGCCAACATCCCGCGCGACCGCATCGTCATCATCCAGGAACCCTACACCGTACTCAAGTATTCCGAATCCAACTACGGCCGCATCCAGCGCAAGTCGCAGGGCGCATGGACGCTCGCCGGCCTCATCGAGGAAGGTCGTGACATTGTCAAGGCCAAGGGCGACGCCATCCTCACCTCTACACGATACAAGCTCAAGCCAGGCGAGGCCAAGACCAAGATCGCGTTTCTGTTGTTCTCATCTGGCACGACTGGACTACCAAAGGGTGTTGCGATCCAGCACTTTGCGGTCACTTCCAACGCACTCCAGACCATGGCTTTCAACAAGGTCGGCAGCAGTCTTGGCGCCAAAGGCCGCTTCTGCCCTGGCAAAGACGTCTCGCTTGGCGTCCTGCCCCAGGTCCACATCTTTGGCCTCAGCACCTGTACGCACTTTCCCTTTTACGCCGGCATTGCCAACGTTGTCATCAGCAAGTTCCGTGGCATCGAAGCCATGATCAAGACCATCATCAAGTACAAGATCAGCGTGTGGTGGCTCGTGCCGCCCATGGTGGTGCTCTTCTGCAAGGACCCGAGCGTTGCGCCGTATCTGGACGAGCTGCGCAAGGTGGCGCGTTTTGCCATGGTCGGCGCTGCACCACTGTCCGAAGACCTCAGCAGGCAATTCAGCAAGATCTTCCCGAAGCTCGACTGGGGCCAGGGATCCGGTATGACCGAGACGTGTTCGGTCACGACCATGTTCCCTGTAGGCGAGCCTGTCGTCATGGGATCGGCAGGGCGTCTCTTCTCCAACACCGAGGCCAAGGTGGTCAATTCGGAAGGCACGGAGGTCGGCTACGACGAGCTTGGTGAGCTCTGGCTGCGTGGGCCCCAGATCACACTCGGGTATACGAACAACGAAAAGGCGACGCGCGAGACCTATGTGGAAGGAGGCTGGCTGCGCAGCGGCGACGAAGTCAGGATCGACAGGAACGGCGATGTCTTTTTCATCGACCGTCTCAAGGAGCTCATCAAGGTCAAGGGCTTCCAGGTAGCGCCCGCTGAGCTCGAGGGCTTCCTCCTCGACCATCCCGACGTGTCGGATGCGGGCGTGATTGGGATTCAGGACGAATCCGCAGGCGAACTGCCGTTTGCATTCATCGCGCTCTCGCAGGACGCCAAGAAACGCGCCGCTTCCGGCGGCAGCAAGCAGCAAGACGAAATCCGCCAGTCCATCCTCAAGTTTGTCGCGGACAACAAGACCCGCTACAAGCACCTGTGCGGTGTAGCATTGTAAGTTGATCCTCAGAGCGCTCTGACCGACTCCTGGACCCGTCACTGACCCCACCTTTATGGCGCACACAGCATCGATGCGATCCCAAAGACCGCTTCGGGCAAGATTCTGCGTCGCGAAATGCGCGACATGGCCAAGAAGCTCGCGCCAGAAGATCTGCGCCAGAAGCGCGACGTTGCCGCAAAGCTTTGAGCGCTCGAATGCGGATGCAATTGTCGATACTAATACATGTTGAGTCGCAGACAGAGTGTGACAAGAGGCTGCGTGTGGTCAGAACATGCGTCGGCGCTTTCCGACGCCCGGGAAGCCTGCGGTGGTGCCGGGCGGATAGTGACCCGGCCGTTCGCGTTGGAGATAGTACTGGCGATGTGCCTCGCGCAGGTGGTTCGGACGCAGCGGGCCCGACTCATTGCGCGCAGCTTGGATCTCGCGTGCTGTAGCGCCCGAAAACGACAATGTCAGCTCTGAGTGCACGGCCGTAACGTGTTGATGCGGATGACCGCGATGCTTACCCTTCTCGATGATCTCGCCCACAAAGATCTTGGCCACACCCGAGACGACCATGGCCACATGCTGCGAGACCGACTGGGAGAGCACGTGGTTGACCAGCTGTGGCGAGCGGCGCGGCGGCAGCCAACGTCAGGATTTGAACGCGTACAAAGAGAGCGGTCGCGGTTGCAAGAACTCACCTTTCGGACGCTCGCCTTGTTGAGAGCGCCTCTACGCGACGCCATGTGGCGATCCAACTGGTCTTCGTCCATGACCATGGACAGCAGACTGTACCATCACAATTGGTTCGACGGCGGGTCAGCAAATGTCGACCCAGAGACTGAACACGCAGTTCTTTAGACGGACTCACCCCATATTGCGCTGCTGCGCTGCGTAGATGGCTTCCTGTGTCGAGAAGTGGTCCTTGCCGAGCTCTTCCACTCCGTCGTCAGCTTCGACCTCTTCGTCCTCTGCGTCGTCCTCTCCAGGCGGCGCCTCGCGAGGAGCCTCTTCCTCGTCGTTGTTTTCAGCATCGGCTGGTCGCTGACTAGCAGTCCGCGAGGCGCCAGGCGTGTTTGCTTCTCTGCCCACCGATGACATGCGCGAAACTGACCTGGCCGTGGACGACCTCTGCTTGCCAGCCGTCTTGGCGCCTGCTTTCGCTCCTCCGGACGACTTTTTGCCTTTTGATTTGGCCTCTTTGGCAGGAGATGCAGGGGTTATGAAGGGTGCCGGCGAGGCAGCGGCGGACGCGGGTGCATCCTTGTTGTCGGCCTTCTTCTTCTTGCTAGGCTTCTTCGGCTTGACTGGCGCTGGTGACGCTGCTTGTGCTTCTCCACCCTTTGATGTCTCTGCGCCATCGGTGGCAGCTGCTTTCTTCTTGGGCTTCTTCGGTTTCGTCTCACCCGACTCCGTCTTGGGCTTGGCAGGAGCCTTTTTGGATTTGGGCGCGGCCGGCTTGGGCGTGGATGGACCGGCGGTCATGGGTGACGAGCCGGCAGCCGAAGTCGGCTCATCCGTCTCCATCTTGACTACAGATAGTGGATGTGAGGAGGACATCGCAGCATGGTTCGGTGGGATGAAGCCCGGGTTCGAGGCCGTTTGCATTGGTGGCATACTGGCGGCAATCTGGGCCTGTAGCGCGTCAAAGTCGGATGCTTGCGACATCGGCAAGTCACCCATTGGAAAGCCAGACATTGGCTGATAGTACTGGCTGCCATCTTCACCGCCCCCTCCAAATTCGAGGGGCATGTCGAAGAACGAGGCCGGTATGACGCCTTCGCCGGTGAAGTTCGGCACGTCTATGCCAGGCATGTTTGCGCCCTGAGGCGGCTGCGACCCTGACATGGTCACAGTCGCTGTGCCTCAGTGCGTCGTAGTAGCAGGTGCAGTAGATTCGGCGCCGCTGTTGAGGGGTAGCGAAGAGGGCCGCCGTTCGTATTGATCGTGATTGTGTTGGGTGGCTTGCACGGAAAGTGTCGAGCGAGAAGCAAGCATGCAGGAGGGTCCTAGCTCCACTTTGATCACGTGACTACAGAATAGATGTTAGGCCGTAAGCGTGGCTTTGATCCATTTCTGCAAAATCGCGCCGGAGATTCGCCGAACTGCCTCGGGATCTCACCGTGCGGCAGGCAACACCTCTCTTCCCAGCAGAGCACCTTCCATTTTGACGGCGAAGACAAAGTCGCAGCGAGACGGAGACTACGTAGTGCCTAGCTAGAGATGAACCCTAGCACAGGTCGTAGCTGGCATCAATCACCCGGATGCTCAAAAAGGCAGATAGTCTCGGGCTGGCGAAAGCTGGCGAAAGCTGGTGATGCCCAGTGGAGTGGCCTGTTCGCTTCGGAGTCTGGCCGAAGCGGCTCGCTCACGGTCCAGCAGGAAGAAAACCACTTTTTTTTGCGCGAAGAAAATTTGTGAGGCGTCGTGCCGGTCGGGGCGAGCTGGAAGAAAGCAGGAGAAGAAACAACAAACACGTGGGCTCTGATGCCGCTTTCGAAACAGGTGGAGAGAGAGATGCAGGGCTCATCGGAAGCTGCCTTCACGTCGGACAGGCCAAAGCGGTACTGCACAGCGCAGAGTTGTGACGGCCCAAAGCTTTTTGGGTGTGACTGGGTTCGGCACCAGGCCGAGAGTGTCGGCCATGGCGGCGTCAAGTGGTGAGCTCTTTCCGCCCACGCTCCTGTCGTTCCACCACCACCTCCTTCATCCCCCTCTTCCATCGGTCCCACCTTTGAAAGCAAAAAATGGGCGTCATCACTCACCCCAACATCCGCGATGGATGGTTCCACGAGACCAACTCGCAATGGCCCGGTCAGGCCATGAGCCTCCAGGTGCAGCGCATCCTCCACCACGAGAAGTCGCTCTTCCAGGATGTGCTCGTCTTCGAGTCCACCACCTTCGGCAACGTCCTCGTCCTTGACGGCGTTATCCAGTGCACCGAGCGTGACGAGTTCTCCTACCAGGAGATGATTGCCCACCTCCCCATCGCCTCGCACCCCAACCCCGAGCGCGTTCTCGTAATCGGCGGCGGTGACGGCGGTGTCCTCCGCGAGGTCGTCAAGCACGACTCGGTCAAGGAGGCCATTCTCTGCGACATTGACGAGGCTGTCCCCCGTGTCTCCCAGCAGTACCTTCCCAAGATGGCCGAGGGTCTCAACCACCCCAAGTCCAAGGTCATCATCGGCGACGGCTTCGCTTTCCTCAAGGACCCCAAGAACAAGGCCAGCTTCGACGTCATCATCACCGACTCCTCCGACCCGGTCGGCCCCGCAGAGGTGCTCTTCCAGCAGCCCTACTTCGCCCTGCTCAAGGAGGCCCTCAAGCCCGGAGGACACATCTCCACCCAGGCCGAGTGTGTCTGGATCCACCTCAACCTCATCGGCGAGCTCCGCCGCTCCACCAAGGAGCTCTTCCCCGTCGCCGACTACGCCTTCACCACCATCCCCACCTACCCCTCCGGTCAGATCGGCTTCGTCGTCTGCTCGCTCGACGCCAACCGCAACGTTCGCGAGCCCCTCCGCCAGGTGCCCGACTGCCGATACTACAACTCGGAGGTGCACAAGGCTTCCTTTATCGTCCCCGAGTTCGCTCGCAAGGTCATTGAGGAGGGTGCTCCCGCCCCTGGCCGTGTGATCCCCACTGGTGAGGGCAATGCCAAGGCTCAGCGTGCTCCCAAGAAGATCCTCCTCCTCGGCTCCGGCTACGTCGCCAAGCCCTTCGCCGAGTACGTCACCCGCTTCCCCGAGTACAGCCTCACCGTCGCCTCGGTCAAGATCGAGCACTCGCAGCGCCTCATCGAGGGCCTCCACAACGCCAACGCCACCTCGGTCGACGTCAACGACCCTGCCGCACTCTCGGCGCTGATCAAGGGCCACGACGTTGTCATCTCGCTCATCCCTTACATCTACCATGCCTCGGTCATCAAGGCCGCTTGCGAGCACAAGGTCAACGTAGTCACCACCTCGTACGTCTCGGACGCTATCCGCGAGCTCGAGCCCGAGATCAAGAAGGCCGGCATCACCGTCATGAACGAGATCGGTCTCGACCCCGGTCTCGACCACCTCTACGCCGTCAAGGCCATCGACGACGTGCACGCCGAGGGCGGAAAGATCAAGTCCTTCCTCTCCTACTGCGGTGGTCTGCCTGCCCCCGAGGCGGCCGACAACCCGCTCGGATACAAGTTCTCCTGGTCGTCGCGCGGTGTGCTTCTCGCACTCCGAAACACGGCCAAGTTCTGGCAGGACGGCAAGGAGCTCACTGTCTCGGGTCAGGAGCTCATGGCCGCTGCCCAGAGCTTCTACATCAACCCTGCCTTCGCCTTTGTCGCCTACCCCAACCGTGACTCGACTCCTTTCAAGCAGTGGTACAACATCCCCGAGGCCGAGACTGTGATCCGCGGTACGCTCCGATACCAGGGCTTCCCCGAGTTCATCCTCGCCCTCGTCAAGCTCGGCTTCCTCGACGAGGAGGCCAAGGACTTCCTTGCCTACGGTACCAAGGCCTCGTGGGCTGACGTCACCGCCAAGATGGTCGGTGCCGCCTCCACTGCCGAGACCGACCTGATCGCTGCCATCAAGACCAAGGTCTCGTTCAAGTCGGCTCAGGAGGAGGAGACCATCATCCGCGGTCTGCGCTGGCTCGACCTCTTCTCCACCAAGGCCCCCGTCACCGTGCGTGGCACCGCCCAGCAGGAGGCCGGCAAGGTGGCCGGCAACCCGCTCGACTCGCTCTGCGCTACCCTCGAGGAGAAGTGCGCCTACGCCCCCGGCGAGCGCGACATGGTCATGCTCCAGCACAAGTTCGAGATCGAGACTGCCAACGGCGAGCACAAGACCCTCACCTCGACGCTGCTCGACTACGGTATCCCTCACGGAACCTCGTCGATGGCCAAGCTCGTCGGTGTTCCCTGCGCCATTGCTACCCGTCTCATCCTCGAGGGCCACCCGGCCCTCACCAAGACCGGTATCCTGGCTCCTTACACCAAGGACATCTGCGACCCCATCCGTCTCGAGCTCGAGAAGGAGGGCATTGCCCTCGAGGAGCGCTACGTCTAGACGATGCCTTCTTCGTAAGCAAAAAGATTCTGTACAGTTCCTACACTTTTCTCACGAATACGACACTCAGTTTGTGGCGCATCTCTATTGAGCACTGTCTTGTTACACATATGAGCACTATGGGTAGAGACCGGCTCTTTTACCCAGACCAGGATACAGTGAAACAGGACGCGACGGCGGATTTGGCTCGCCTCGAAGACTTTGCAGCGTTGCAAGCTATTCGGCGTAGTTGATCTGAGCGTCGGGCTTGAGCTTGAACAACCTTGCTTGCTGAGCTTGGAGCTTTGTGACGCCGTCGATAGTCTGCCTGGACTTCGGGGAGATAAGATAGGTTTTGCCGCTTCCGGCAAACCTGATGGCGTGGAAGCGCGAGTCGGGATTGTAGACGGTGACACCCGAGGAGGTTGGCGTGAACGTCACGTCGTGGCTGGGAAGCATGCGGCCGAAGGAGGTGGACTCGCGCAGGGGAACAGCGTGTTCAAGTGCGTTCTCGAAGCCCTCGACCAACCACTTGTCACCAGACTTGAAGGCCCTGACCAGCCCGCCATTGGTATGAGCGACAAATTCGGTGCTCGAGACGACGTTCGGGATAAGTCCGGCAGATGTGGAGACCACCAGCATGGCGCACAGCACTGCTGCCACGACCAGACGGGAAAAGGATGGAAGGCGGAGGTTGAGCATACTTGCGATTGCTTGACGTGTGCTTGGCTTTGATGGAGGGGCTCTTGACTTGGCAGCTTTCAGAGTGGATGAGGAGAGCCAGGGAGCGATTCGAACTCGAGTCGTCTTATATCTGTTTGGATGGGATGCCGCCTTCGCTCGACGTGCGAGAGCCGCTGGCTGGCTTGCTCTGCGTCGCAGAATGCTGACAGCGATCCGCCAGTCATGCCCGCTGAGTCCTCAGGCCGACTCGATCTGGACAAAGAAAGCCGCGTGGAGCTGCGTGAGAGGAACTCTCGGATGACGCAAGCGGGTCATGCCAAGGCCGTTGTGTGCCCACCGGCTCCCAGGATGCTGTGGCCAAGAGCACGTTCCTACCGTACCGCCGTCGGAAGCGAAACGTGCAAGAAGACGCCCACTTACAAGACCAGCCTACGGGAAGTTTCTGTGACATTTGGGCTTGCCAAGAGTACACCGCTTCATCTCAAACGTATGGGAGCCAGCGAGAGTTCAAGGAGTACACATGCTTGGCGCAGATGCTCACGGGTCACAATGAGTGTGGGGGCTACTGATGATGCATCGCCAAGGCTCTTGTAGCCCCACCCGGCTGTTGCACCGTTCTGCTTTATATCTTGGCATGCCCCGACCTCGTCTTTAGTTCCGAACCGGGATGGCGCCGCTCTCATAACGTAGAGATAGGATGTTTCTCATGGACGGCGGGAGGGAGTCGGATCGGAGCGAAACTTAGAGCTTAAGTCACGGAAGCAGAGCTTCGCCTTCCGTGTTCATCAGTTCTGACTATTCACCGACGTCTGATCAAGACGATTACTTCATCTACGCCGAGGTGAGCGAAGTTACCGGCCTTTTGGGAGCGGATGCGGGTGGACGACGGCTTCATTTGAAGTCGGTGGGCGGTCAAAATTCGCACTCACTCGGACCAACAAGCGTCCTCATTTGCTACGATATGTGGGCAGCGCTGATCAGGATCGGGACATTTGTGCTTGGTCTCGAGGTTGCGGGTCGACACTCTGAGACGGCCACAAACGACTCGTGACGACGATGTTTCGAGCAAAGCGCGGCTCGAAATCCTCGAAGGCGGAGGAATACAGGCTCTAACAGAACGTCTTAATTTTAAGCCCGGATCCGACCGCCTTCTGTGCTGGTTCTGAATTGCGAATTGAGGGTATTCTGGGGCGAGCCAGAAGACTGGGATTCTGCCTGATGTGCGTCAACCGCGGCTGCGGTCGCGGACCCATGCATGTCCGCTGCAGCCATCAGTTCATGCCTGCAGGACTGGAGAGAGGATGGGCGCAAGCGCAGCACGGCGGGGCTTTAGCATGTGGTCGCTGGCGAGCTAAAACCTGCAGCGTTGCATGCATGGGAACTTTTGGCGTCCCGGCCGAGGTGGCCCTCAACCCATCTGCGTCGCCTCGCCGCATGGCCGGGTAGGGTTCGGAAAGAGTGGATGCAACGCAAAGAGCCAAGGCCGGCCAGGTTGCGAAGTGCAGGTCTGCCTGTTCGGCCTCCGCTAACCGCCCCAGCGTCTGTGATTGGAGCGCGTACGACAGGCTCCGGGTTGAGTCTAGTTTTGACCCGCCTGCTGTTGTGGCAGGCCGTTCTCTGCGTGGACAAGTTCGAAACTGACATCCCCTCGTCCACGCTGATACTCTCACACCATCAACAGCTGATATTGCACGTTCCGATTCGACGTGAAAACCAATGCCGACGGCTGCGCCCGTTGACAATATGTTTTGGAAGTGCATGGTGAGAGCTTCTGAAATTCGCCGCAGTCGCCGTGCCGGTACCGCCTTTCGCCACCTCGATCTGGGCGCTTGACCAGCTCGCCTGGAAATCGGCTGAGTGGGACGCTGATCAGCTCGTAGCGCGGGCGGCTACGGATGTAACGTCGAGGCTGGCGGATATCTAGGCGAGAGGCGACGGAGCGAGCCGCCACCTGGCTCGGGTCGTAGTTGGACAGCACTTCGCTAGCCAGGCGAAATGCGGCGGCCCCAGAATCCGTGGGGTCGGATGCTGCCTACTAGCTGCGGGTATACACTGTGCCGGAGCACACGCGAGTCGCATCGACCATGCAGACCACCTTAGTCCACGCCATCCGCGCCCCCCCGCGCTGATCGGGGTTGGGGCTGAACGCGCTAGGGTAACTTTGGGATCTCGCTTAGCTTGCGGCGTCTTCGAAAGATGGAGCCAGAAGGCTCTTGAGCCGAACCACGCTGCGAGGCTTCGCCTAGCGACACGTTTTTCCTCGCGCACCGCTCGGCAACCAAAACCAAACATTCGCTCGTCTACAGTACTCGCACGCCTCGGTATCTTGCGATGGCCACCACGGGCCTGCTCTGTCTCGCCAAAGCGAGCGTGGTCAAAAGTGCAATGCGGAGCGATGCTGTTGTTGCAGATGTATCGGCGTTTTTTTCGGAGGTTCACTCTAAGCCGTGATCCTCTCCACTGCCTGAGCTGCGCAAAGTCGGCGTTGTTGGGATCAAGATGCTGAGCCTGCACGAGCCGGTGTTCAAAGGTGGCGCGCTGCAATGGGCGAACCTGCAATTACGTCATGGGTCGCCCCTGCACAAGGCCCCTTCCGGTCCTCGGAGCTGGCCGCTCCGAACCGCACTTCGGCGAATTCGCCCCTTTTTTCATTTCTCAAAAAGAATCGGGTCGATGCCGATGCCACCCTCTCGTCAGCAGACGCTGAGCCCAAGTCACAGTGTCCCAAGTGCTTTCGAGACGGCTAAGCCGAAAGCACCATCTGAGAGCGCGTTGTGCCGACAGGGTCAGATCGAATGCTCACCCAATGCCTCATGATGCAGACTCAGCTCTATGGTTCAACCCCTCTGCAACGAGACCTGGGATGCAGTGTCGCGCAAGGCCCGATTCGACGACTTGCATCCGTGACGGAACTGCAATCGAGCCGAATCCGAGCCGTTCTTGATCCTGCCATCTCACGGACTGCCCTGGATCCAAGTCTGCTTGTAGTGGATGCGACCTTCGGAAGCTGGCCGCGCTCGGCCGGACGCCTTCGGCTAGATATACATCTGTGTCTCGCACTGTCTACGAGCTCTGTGGTTGGATCCCAAAATACCTGCTCGAACCGCGAAATCATGCTTCCAGGGTGTGCTGCTACAAGCGAAGCAGGCAATGCGGCGACAGAGGATTCATGCGCCTAGGTCATTGTGCCTCACGCTGCCTTGCACCTCGTTCCGGCGATCCGATCGCGTCGGATCCGTCAGGGCAGCTACTGTAGCTCGGCGTTGAGTCCCTCTGTCTCGCTAGAGCCGCGATACAGGTCATCGCGGTGTCGACGGTTCCTCCGCTTCCTTCGGAGCGCAGAGATTCCCGAATGTAACGGTAGATCCAACGAATTCACTCGAGGGGCAAGGTTTTTGTGTGGTGCAAAATTTAGGTTGCCTTTCCAACGGCAGCCCTGAGATTCGACTTCTTTGACAGGCGCGCCTAACGCAGTTCACGGCCGGCCTTTGCTGGACTCGACCATTCCCCACTGCAAAGCTGCCACTGCAAATTCTTGAGGCAAAAAATTCGGACCCACAGTCAACCCTCTCTCGGTTGCAGCTGCAGTGAAATCAGAGGCAAAGGGCGGAGCAAGAGCGCTCATGCGCGAGGGTCAGGCGACTTTGTGTGGGCGGTCCGCTGCTATCAGATGCCGAGCCACTGTAAAAGTCGGCGCCGAAAAGACGCAACATTCTCAGGTCTGCAGTCGAGATGCATCGCCAAGGGCCACGATAAGCACGCCTTTTCCACAGTCGCAGCGCTGCACGAGGTCGAATGAAGTGGCGATCATATTATAACAGAGGTCGCAACATCCCGAGCACAGAAGATCAATGGCGGAATCCGAAGAGAAGCCAGCCGGCTTGGTTTTGGACGGTGTCTCAAAGAGTCAGGTGGTCGTGAGCGACTAGGCAAAGCTCGCCGTTCCGGGCTTCGGCCCCGTCGGCGGCGGGGCGGTTGGGCTTGGGGACTTGCGCTCCGCTTTGTTTGCACTGTCATTCGATTCTGAGTGGGACGACGGAGTTGGAAATCAATGCCAGCGTCGAGCCTCCGACGTGGAGAGCGAGCGCCGGCGTGCTGCGTCGCGATCAACGTTTCCACTCCGCCGGACGTGGTCACCCAAGCGTCTGGCGCAAGCCATCGACGTCGCCCCACCCTCGACGCTGGACTGCGCGTCGCGGCCAACTTTGCGACGATGGGCGAGCAGCGTGAAACCATTTGCCTCCCCAAACTTGCACCAAGAGTGGACTTTCCCCCTTTGGCCCGATGACGGCGTTCGGTAGAAAACCTGCGCAGGCTTCTTCTGCTGGAGCCATGTCTTTGCCCTCGGCCGTGCATGCATTTGCATGTGAAGCCTTCCCAATCCGATCTTTGCCACTGGTCGGCCATTGTCCGATTCCAGCATTTTTGATTTGTTTTAAAAAAGTCAAAAACCATCGAAGGGATGAGGATGTACAGTATGGCAGCACCGCATCCTCCCTGCCTTAGCCGCCTCAAGCTGCCAAGACGCTCTACCAGGTCAAAGGGTCGTAGGGCCGAATCGAAGCATCGGTCAACCGGTCAAAGCCGAAGCGGATGCCAGCCATCCTTGAGCCAGCCAGCCAACATGCGGCAGCGTGCGGCGGAATGACCGTTGACGTCGAGGAGGAGGTGATGCATCAGCAGGTCGGGGGCGGCGTGATGCTTTTGCTGGGCTTGGCTCTCATCACATCGTTCGAAGAGCGTGTCGGGGTCAGCAGCCCAGGCGGCGGAGTTGGCTAGCCGAGGTCCAAATTAGATCAATCGATCGGAGGACTGCCCACGCTCACTCCACCACCACCTGAACCGGCTGTTGCATAGGTTCCCAATTTGGTCGTTTTTCTTTTTCTTGTCATTTTTTTTTTTTTTGAAAATACGGTTTTTTTCGCTCCTCGCAGCGCGCTCACGGTCGACATTGAAGACGGGGATTGCAGCTTCAACGACCCCGTGCACCTGCAAGTCAGCTCGTCGCTGCGCCGTCGTGCAGATGTCTCTCATTTTTACGATTTTCCGCGTCAGCGCCGTGCAGCTGGGGGCCAGCCAGTCAGCGCATCCATCGGCGCCTCTCTGCATTTCCCCCTTCCCCCTCAGCGAGCCCGCTTTGCCTGGCCCCAGACCCAAAAAGTGACCGCGCGCCCTGGCTAGCTACTGTACATTGCCCCGCCTAGGCGCCAGTGCGTCGGCCTCGCGCATGCGCACGCGCAACTGGCCGGGTCGGGACGGACCGCTGCTGATCCTCTGCCGATAGCGCTTTCTGGTGTGCCATCGACGCCGCCGCCCAGACAGTGACGGTCGGAGTCCAGCCGCGAGGAATCCACGCCGCTCGGCCATCAAGCTCGACTGCCTGCGATCTGCCTCGCTTCGAGGCTGGCCAAACTGGCTGCAGCGCTCTGCCGCCTCCCATGCACGCTTTTTGCCCTCCTGTGGCTCAGCCATGCAGCAATTTGCCTCTCGGTCTGTGCCCTCCGTGGCCTGCCTGCCATGCCCCCTTCGCACTTCGGGTCCCTGTCTCAGAAAGTGAGATCTCTCCTACTCACTCGTGCTTGCCCTCCTGCAGTCGACGCCTCCCCCTCACGGTATGCACTCTTTGGCGCTGGGGCAATGCACCAACGTCACCGTTTCTCATGTTGGCACTGTCGCCGCACCAGCTGGCCTCTCCCTCCTTTGATCTCTTTCCTGGACTCTATCAGTCAGACTGTTTGGACTTGCCTCTGGTCCTCGCCTGGCCTCGCTTCGCCGCCGCTGCTTGCCCTTCCCTTTTGGCTTCCGCTGCCGACGCCGCCGCCGCTTCTTCATCTCCCCGCGACACCTTCGGTCTCTTCGCACGCGATTTCCCCCTCGTCGCTGTCTTCATGTCCAGCTCCTGACCCTGTAACTGCATCGGATTCGTTCGTTCGCACCTTCCTTCCCATCCACATCGTCGCAGATCTACGTCCTCGACCCTCCTCCTAGCCTTCGCAACGCTCAGCCTCTCGCGCTCGCGCAAACCTCGCATCGTTGAGCTCCGCATCTCATCGTTCCGCCTCCCCCCCGGTCGACTCGGCTCGTGATCATCTTCGAGCAGCTTGTCGCGCCTTCGGCTGTCCCGCATAGCGAATAATCGTCGGCACGTCTCCGACTCCAACCGGCTTTCTTGACTTTGCACGGTGCTATCGCGCACTTGTCTCGCGGATCGCCTCTCCCGACGGATTCACCCTCGACTCGTCTCGAACGCCACTTCGTTTCCAGCACATCCGAGCTGCAATTCCCCCTTTCACTTTCGAACAGCGCCGCTTCTTCGACGGAGGCGGAATTCGGAACATGAGCACAAAGTAAGTGGCGGCGCCTCTCAGCCTCTTCGCCTGCCAAGATGCAAGCGCACAATGAAAGCTAGTTTCTGACCCGATATGAGTTCATTTCCCGCCCATTTCACAGCGCTTACATGGAGCAGCAGGCCAGCTACCCTGCGCACTACGGCGCCCTGCCAGACCGCTCCGCACAGGTCTTTGGCACAGACGCTCACGAGCCACGAGCTCCTCGCCCCTTTGAGCCGACGCACACCTCCAACGACCCCTATGCTACAGCTGCCGTGCCGGCACACCCGCAGCCGGGCGCAATGGCTGAGCCGCACTCGCCCATGTCCAGTAAGTTTTCAGCTTGGTCCCCAGGCGTTCTGCCTTTTATGCAACAGTTGCTGACCCGAACCTCCTGCGCCCACCCACCGATTCACGCTCACAGGTTATCGAGGAAGCTTCTCGCACAACTCGTCGATGGGACTGCCGCATCACCGCCAGGACTCGATTTCGTCCATCTCGTCGCCCCACGACGTAACTGGCGGCTGGGCGCCCTCATCTCCCGGTCTGACCGCGAGCCGACACGCCTCGATCTATTCGCTCAACGGCCAGTTCGACCAAGTCGGTCTGGGCAGCAGCATCGACAGCGGCTCCACTGGCGGTCACTTTTACGATCAGTCGCCCCCCATGCATGCGCAGGTTCGCTATGCACAGGGACAGACTGCGGATGCCCGCCGATTCTCTCTGGATGAGCGCGCAATCCGCACCCAGCCGCAAATGGGCAAGTCGGGCCTCGTTTCGGCTGACTACCAGGTGCCTGGCTCCTCGGGTCGCCACTGGCCCTGGGGCGCCAGCTCATCGTCGGCCGTGCACGGCCGTCACGCGTCCGTGTCGGCAGCCCCGCCTCAGGGATACGACCACAGCCGCATGGCCTATGGCGCCAACTCGGGCATGCAGCCTGCATACGGCTACGATGCCAACGCCATGTCGGCCATGTCGCCCACGCGCTACCGCTCCATGAGCAGCTCCGCCGCCAGTGGTCGCGCATATGGCAACCCGTACGGCGCTCCTGGTACCGCCGCTCACGCCGTAGCTGCCATGGGTTACGGAATGTCGCATCTCGGCCCAGGCATGATGCTTGAAGGAGACATCCCCGGCGGACCCGGTCCGGCTCGCAGGGCCAAGTTCAAGCGCAGCCGCACCGGCTGCCTCGTTTGCCGAAAGCGCAAGGTCAAGTGCAGCCAGGACGGTACACCGTGCAAGCAGTGCCGAATCGGCAAGCGCGACTGCCACTACGACGACAACCCGCAGAAGAAGAAGACGAACAAGAAGGAGCGCTCGGTCGGTTCCATCGACGGCGGCAGCAGCGAAAAGGGCTCCAACGGCACTGCGCCGGCTCTGTCGCACATCGGCTCGGACCCTCAGGCTCACAACGGCGCGATGAACTCGGCCGACCCCTACTATGCCACCATGGGCGCCCTCGACCACCGTACCGACTCGAACGGCAGCAACGGCGGCGGCGTCACCTTTTCGATGCCCTTCTCGTCGCAGCCGACCACCGTGTCTGCGCACTCGTCTGCTACAGACAGCACGTGGTCGAACCCGTCGCCGTTTGCGCCCGGCCCGCACGGCGAGAGCCACCCACAGACGCATTCGGTCACGTCGCACTCCGACAGCTACGGCTGGCCGACCAAGCAGGAGCATGACCCGACGCAGCCTGCCGCTTACACCGACCCAGCGGTCGACCGCAACGCCGGCTACTGGAACCAGCATCCTACCTCTTACCCGCCCCGCGCTGGCAAGCTCGAGGTGACGGAATCTTGAGCTTGATCCGAATCTACAGCAGCATGATGCTGTGAGGCGGATCGCGAAATTCCCGCTACGCAGCATCTCACTTGCTCCCTGAGACGGCTGCGCCTTTCTTGGACGGTGTTCTCATTCAACCAGGACCTCATTATACCTTTGACCCATCTTCATTGCAGCCCCCGTCTTAATATTTTGCCTCGACTTGGGCGGGTGGCGCTGCGGCTTCGCATTGCGCGTCGTGGCAGCGCTGTCACGCCTCTTGATCGCGTTCTCGTCTCTGTTTCCCGCGCTTTCGATCCACCTCGGCGATGTTTGCGTCGTTTGTAAATCGTGTACAATGCAAGCCTTGCGTTTTCTTCGTCCCTAAACGCGTGTGCCCTGCCTTGGGTTGCAGAAGCAATGTTGTCTGTGCACTTTGGTCCCGAGTTGCGGTCGAAAGAGGAGCGGCAGCCACGTGTAGGAGCGTGCACTCGGATGCAGGGTGCTCATGGCGGAAAAATGATGCAGCTCGCTTGCCTGCTCGCCTGGATCGGAGGCGATGCGATACCGAACGTGCCTAAGCGATGGTCTTGAGCCTCGCTAGCTCTCGTTGTCGCCAACCTGCTGCCGAACGATGCAACCCAATGCTGCCTCGCGTCCGTCAATGGTCATGCGCCATTAACGAGATCGCCGCAAGCGGGCCGCGACCCGCAGATAAACGGAAGAAAAGGGTATACTTTATTCCTACAAGCAAGGCAAGCAAGTGACATCGCCGGTGAGGAGGCTCACGATGACGATCTGGTGGGTTTGTGGAAGGCAACGAGTCTCCAGCGACGTGCGTCTTTGGGGTGTGCGACGACAATGTTGGCGCGCAGGAAGAGCTCGATGATTGCATCGTCGACCTCGCCGCCGGTGCGTCGGAGTGCGAGCTTAGATGCGCTCACCCACGGATCTAAGGGATGGTCCCAAGCCTGGTTCATAAACTCGTCCAGGTAATGGCGCAACGTCACCACCTTGCGGTTGTCCGCACCGAACAGGGCACTGCCCATATCGATGAGTTGGGCGAGTAGCTCCTTGAACACGTGCTCCTCGCGTCGGAACTTGCGCGACAAATCGCTGTCCACATTGAAAAAGCGCCGTTCAGAGGAGGTCAGCATATTTGCAGAGCGGCGGCAGGGCGAGTAAAGAAACTTACCGTAAGGCAGATTCCGAGGTGAGATCCTGCGTCCGTTTACGCTGCAGCTGCGCAAGACGCCTGGTGAGCCCCACCTGCACCACATCCAAATCGGCACGCAGCTGCTTCTCGCGCGCAAGTGCCTCGCGTTCCGCCCCAAGCTCCGCTTTGAGCATGTCAAGAGCCGACGCGTACTGTGTGTTGAGATCGTGCAGCTCGCTGCGAGTGCGAACGTCGAGCACCGTCGCCGACTCCAGAGCCGGTGCTTGCTTGTTCTCTGCACAGAGAGCGTGGCCAACATCGCACAGCCAGAAGAGGTCAGCTTTCGCGGTACATTCACGGCGGATTCGAAAGTGGACTCACCTTTTTCCAGCGCCGATATGGCAAAGTCGAGTTGTTGCCACTCGAGTTCCAACCTGCGCTGGTCATCATCGGTCTTCCCATCGGTTCTGCCCGCGCCGGTCCTGGCCAGCTCCTCGAGTCTCTGCATCATGTCGTTTGAACATGTCAGTAAGGCATTCACTTAGCTTCGCTGCGAGGAGACTTACCTTGTCTAGCGACTTTGCGAGCGCATCGTTCTTGGCTTTTTCATCCTCGTATACCGCCAGCAACTCGTCTGCTTTGGCCTCGCTTTGCGCGTCAAGCTCGAGTTGATCCGAGCCCGCTGCTGTGACAGATGCGATGAGTTGTGAGCGCTGCTTTGTCCGGTTCGCGGCTTCTTGCAGTGCCGCCTCGCGCAGAATCTCTGCCAAGTCGTGAAAGTTGCTTCCTGTCATAGCTGTCGGACGATGGATATAAAAGCCCTCGCGAGCGCGCCAGATAGTGTTCTCCAGTTTGCAGCTGATTAAGTGCGAGTGTATCGTGTTGCGCGGGAAGCTCGGACGACGAAGGCGGTGTGCGGCAGACGAGGAGCGCGAGGTTCGAGGTGTTGTTCTTTTGGACCCATCAACGCGACTGCCGCGAAGGGAGGGTCGCGTCGTAGTCCCGAATTCCGTGACTTTGGAAGCTGCGCTCAGGCACCCAGCCCAAAAAAAAAGTGGAGTGGAAGGTGCTGAGTCGTGCTGCATGTGCGGAGCTGCCGCATGTAGAAATGAAAGGCACTCCCAAAAGTCGCTTCTCCTCCCACCATCCATCCAAACGGCTCGTTCCGTCAGCGTCTCAAGAGTCTCATCGACAGCTGATCGGCTGATCCGAAGTGCTGATCACCAGGATGACAGCGGCTCTTGCGAGGTGCATGCGCGGTAGCGCCATCCGCACCGCATGCCTCCTGCCGCAGTCGCCAACGCTGAAGCTGGTCGCATCCAGGGCTTGGGCGATACCAGCAACATCGGTGGTTGCTGCAACCAGAAGTCACCGTATTTCACAGCTTAGATACGCGAGCAGCGCAGCGGCAGCACCCATCACTGATCCTCCAGAAGAGCACGTTGTCAATGACGACGCCTTGGCTACTCCCGCTGCTTCGTCGGCTTCTAGCCCGAAATTCTCCCTGAGGCCGTATCAAGAGGAGTGCATCCAGGAATGTCTCGCCGCACTCGAGAGCGGAGTGACTCGTATCGGTGTCTCTTCACCCACTGGGAGCGGCAAGACGACCATCTTCACACATTTGATTGACCGGCTACCTCCACGCCCGAACGGTGGCGATCGCGTGCTGATCATGGTCAACTCAATCGAGCTCGCGCTGCAAGCCGCCAATGCTGTCACCTCCATGTTTCCCGACAAGACGGTCGAGATCGAACAGGGCAGCAAGTACAAGGCAAGCGGACTGGCAGACGTCACAGTGGCGACGTACCAGACGCTAAATCGCAGCCAACAGCGACTGGACAAGTTTACGCCGAGCTGCTTCAAAGCCGTCGTGGTCGATGAGGCACATCATGCCGCCGCCCCGTCGTATCTCAAGGTGCTCTCGCATTTCGATTCACACATTGGACTCGACGCCGAGGCACGCGCTGCGACCGACTCGGACGCTGTGCCCGTGTTCGGATTCTCAGCCACCTTCAGCCGCCACGATGGACTGGCGCTTGGCAAGGTCTTTGATCGCATCGTCTTCCACAAGGACTTCCTCGAGATGATCGGAGAGAAGTGGCTGTGTCCTATCCGATTCACGTCCATCAAAGCGGACATCGACTTGGCATCAGTCAAGCTGTCCAACTTCAATGCCGACTTTGCCGCGTCTTCACTCGCTGCCGTTGTCAACACGCCTGTAGTCAATCGGCTCGTGCTCAAGGCTTGGCTCGACCGCGCGCACAACCACCGACGCTCCACGCTCATCTTTGCGGTCAACATCGAGCACGTCCAGGAGCTCACGCATACCTTCCGTCAGGCCGGCATCGATGCCCGCTATCTGCACGGTGGCACGCCCATGCTCGAGCGCCGCCAGCTGCTCGAAGACTTTCGCGCGGGCGTCTACCCCGTCCTTGTCAACTGTGCCATCCTTACCGAGGGCGCAGATGTGCCTGCTATCGACTGCGTCCTGCTCGCACGACCCACACGCTCGCGTAATCTCTTTTCCCAGATGATCGGGCGCGGACTTCGTCTCTCCCCCGCTACGGGCAAGCGCGACTGCCTCGTGCTGGACATCGTCGGCAACATTGAAAAGGGCGTCGTCTGTACCCCGACTCTCTTTGGCCTGGACGCAGAGGACATCATCGAGGACGAGTCGCCCGAGGGTCTGCTCGAGCGCGCACACGAAGCCGAGCAATTCGACTCCGCTGACGTCGAGGGCGACGCCGACCCGTTCGCAGTCGAGCTCGCCGACCCGACCAAGATTACATACATCGACTACGACGATCCGCACCAGCTGCAGCAGGCCATGCTGGCGCGCTCCAGCGTAGTCGAAACCATGAGCCCCAATGCCTGGGTCGACTGCGGTGGCCAGACGTACATCCTTGACGTGCCTCGCTACGGCTTTGTCACCGTCGAGCGTAAAGCCAACTCCGACCACGGCGACGGTTCCGTGCCGGCAGAAGGTGCGGAGTGGACATCGTGGTTCACGCCGAGCAATTCGGATGCGGACGAGGCTGCAGCGTCGATGGGACGTGATCCTTCTTCGGGCGCGGGCGGGAGGCGCTGGCCAGGTGCACGGGGCGGCTCTCCATACCGTCGCCCACGCCACGCTTTGGACGCGCCAACGCTCGAGGCGGCTGTGCGTGGGAGCGACGTGTACGTGCAGAAGAACGTGCTGCGCAATGCGCCGCAGCTGTTCGCCATGCTCAATCGCCGCGCAAAGTGGCGCGCGACCAAAGCAACTGACTCCCAACGTCGACTTGTCGAGAAGCGACTTGGTCTCTCAAAGCCGAGCCAAGAAGCTGAGGGCGACAAGGATGGGCGGCGTACACGCGCGATGCGGTCCGCAAGCGAACTCACAAAGGGACAGGCGAGCGTCATCCTCACTCGCCTCCTGCATGGCGCCAAGGCCAAGTGGCAGCAGAGAGTCAAGAGGTCCAATAAGGTCTGGCGCGCAAATGAACGCGAAAAGCAGAGGAGGGATAGAGAGACCGTCCGCGTAGGCCCGCTGTATTGACGGATACGCCTGCAATAGATGCGTATATACCCCCGCGCACAATGAGACTGTCTGCCGGCAGTGAGCTGTGTGTGATAGCGGACCAACCCACCTTGTATTGTTCGGCAAGTGCAAAGGCAGCATGCATGCATTGCGCCTTGGGCATGCAACGACTGGTGGGCTGGAAATGCGGTTCTGCATCAGCAAAACTTTTCTTCGTCCACTAGACCGGAAGGAGCCAGTGCATCAGTATAAGAGGCCGGCCATATCCGGCCCTGCTGATGATCGCCCCGTGATGCTAGATGCCATCGCCTGATCGACTTTGCTCTCCTTCCAGTTGCGCTCCTTTGCGATGCGATTTCGTACGCTTGCGCTTCTGGCGCTCTTCTGCGCAATTCTCCCACTTGTACACGCCAACAGACCATCTGCATCCGTCGACTCGGAATCCGTGCCGATACAGCAGCTAGGGAACGAGCTCGCGCTTGCCTATCAACGTCGCCATCACGACGCTGTACTTCATTCTCGACCCAACACCTTCCGAGCAGCTACGATGGCCGAGAATCAAAAGCATATGCTACGGCTATTCAGCACGCTCCGCAACGCGCATACGGACGAGGAACAGCGCGAGCTTCTCCAAGAGATCAGCGCGCTTCGTCGCTCCGGCTACCGCTTCGGCCCGGAAGTGGATCCCGGCCTGTACGTGCCGTTTGGATGGCACTGGGATCGTTCTAAGTACGGTCCGTATCCTGCCGACAGACTGGCAAAGAGCGCGTATGGAAAGGATAGGGGCGCACTACGGGAGGAGATTGAAAATGCACGCGAGGCACTGGACCATCAGACTCTGCACGAGGCAGTGGAACAGAAACTAGAGCCTGTGTTCACGGACGATCCGCTGGTGCTTCGAGCTGCGTTGGAGCTTCATAGCGAGCGCCTGGCACAGGGCTTGGTGGGTCAGGCAGAGCGAGTGCTTGCTCCGGTCGTCAAGATCCGCTTGTAAAAGGCTGAGTCCTGGGACGAGAGTCAAAAGAGTTGACGTTTACTTTTCAAAGCTCCGCAGTAGTCGACATGTAAAATAAGTTTACACTTCCGAGCGTGTTGGCATACACTGGTGCTCTCGTGCGAAAACGTGTGATGTGCCAGTACAGATGTGGTGATGCATGCACAGCTATGCTTCTGAATGAACATACTGCGATGGAGTGGGACCAATAGGAGACTTCATGTCGTCCAGCACTGCATTTTTCTCGCACCACAAGCCGAGATTCTGCTGGTTCAATCCTTCCTTCTGACCACATCCGATTCCCAACTGCCTCGAAGCCTCGAACCTTCTGGCTTTGCTGCGATGTGGCATCCCTCAGTGGCGCACGTCGCGCTCGTTATGCTCCTCCTACAAGGTATCCTTGCAAGCGGCCCCGAGGTGGATAAGGCGACGATAGGCAGGAAAATGTTGAAGGACTATCGAACACACCGGGAAGCCCTCGCTGCTCGAATGCGCTCGACCTCCTTTTCTCCGCAGACTAGCGCCGAGAAGGAGACTCTCATGAAGCAGTACTTCTCCACCCTCTCGAACGCCCCTCCTGAAGAACAGCCTAAGCTGCTTCAGAAGGTCAACGACCTTCGTCACGCTGGCTACCGCTTTGGGCCCTCGGTCGATCCAGGCCTTCATGTGCCATTTGGAACTCCTTGGGAGCACACCAAGTTTGGTCCCTATCCTGCCAAGAGGCTTGCTGAAGGCGCGTACGGCAAGAGCAAGGCAGCTGTGGAGATCGAGGTGGAAAATGCGCGAGAGGCACTCGATCACCAGACGCTGCGCGAGGCTATGCATGGACGCATGGAGCCGGTCTTCACCGAGGACTTGGAGCTGCTCAGGAGCGCCATCGATTTCCACACGCAGAGGCTCTTGCAGAACGTCGAAGAGCCTGTCGAGCGCATCCTCGACTCTGTCCAAAGGCTGGAAGCCTAATCGCCGGTATGACGGCCTCGCTTCGGGGCCAACTTCAACCATCCACGAATACCGTAGACCGACGCAATGTTTCATCTAATGCTGTTCGTCTGCTGCCTCTTTCCATGGGGAATTGCACGCAACACGGTCCGTGAGTCACCTCCAAGCATAGACGCAAAAAATCGCATCTACTGTAACGTGCCTTTCATATTTCGTCACTGCGGCTCTTCACGGTATCACATGAACCAAGGCACGGCTCATCCGCTGTGGCGCTGTATGGTATCATAGTAGATTGTGGGTATCCATATGAATCCCATTGAGGCCGTGTTTGCATTCTTGTCGCTGAAGGCGGACGTGAATGCCGCTCTCACAAGGCTGTCCCAGGAAGCCATCCGTTGCCAAGCTCAGAAAAGGGATCGGAATAGCGAATGGTCCCGCCAGGGCTGTTGTAGGTTATAAGCAGCCTCGTTCTGCTCTCGGGAACCTTGATACCTTCATTCAATCTTCAGAATCCCTGTCAGCCTCAGCAGAGTCTTCTCGCCACCGACCAATGTTGCTATCGGTGCTGAAGTGCGAGGTTGGTACTTTCTTTGCCTTCCTACTGATCTCGTCCGCATGGGCTCGACCGGCAGGCGGAGGAGAGTGGACGATCGGGCAAGTCCCCACTGCAGACCATGAGGATGCGAACCCATGGAGCGATGATGAACCATGGCACGCTTTTGAGCCCGGCTCGAGCTCCGTTGACAGCCATGACGGATGGGCTGGAGCCCCGTCTGCCTCCTTCTCATCGGTTCCCGAGTGGCGAGAGGTGCAAGACTCCTACCCCTCTTTTTCCTCTTCAGGCACCGACCAAAGACCCGCTCTTACCCATGCGGTTCAAGCCGGGCCAGAACAGCATCCGGGTATGTCCGCCTGGCAGCAATCGCCAGAGCAACATCATGAATTGGGCGCCCCTCAGCAAGCTTCAGGACAGTCTCCTGGACTGAGCACCTTTCAGCAAGCTGCTGAGCAGCATCCAGATATGTCGGCTTCTCAACATCCTCCAGAGCAGTATGCCCGGATGCACACCTTTGGGCAAGCGCAACATCGACTTCCTGGAGCGTCCACATCTCAGCAAGCACCAGAGCAACTTTTGCACACATCCGTCTCTCAGCAAGCTTCAGAACAAGCTCAGCAGGCTCCAGTGCAGCGTTTTGGACAGGTACCAGGCTGGCTCGACCCACCGAACACGCCCAGCTGGTTCTCGGAGGGAGCGGATCGTCTCCTGGGCATCAGTCCGTTGAGGATCGCTTCGGCGCAGTCGATCTTTGATTGGAAACGAAGGGAATGGGAGAAGTGGAGGAACAACATGCGACTGGCGATGGGCCGTCCGCAGCTGCGGATCACGCCCGTGGACCTGTCACACGGAGGGTATGATCGGGTATTCATTGCCTCCGATGGGGATGCTGTTCTTGGGGCATATCCGAGTCTTGATGCACTCCAGCAGGCAGCCCGAACCTTGCGCAGAGCTCCTCTCTTGCAGCTGTCGGATGCGCCGGGCAGATTGGAGGACGAGAGGGTGATGCGGCAAGTGCCCAGTGACTCGCGCATCTACATCTACCTCAACAGCCGCCGAAACATGGATTTGATCAACCGCGATTACTTCCTGGGTCATGCACAGTTTCTGCCCATCCAAAGAGACGGACTCGATCGGAGCACTCTCAACAGGGTGTTTGGCAACCCGCGCAACCAGTTTGTCTTGCCTCCACGCGAACCGGGGGGACTTCCGCTGGTGGTGATGCGCCACTCCAACCGTGCCCACGTCGGTTCAAGTATGATGGAAGCCTTGACTGGCAGATTGGGCGAAATGAATCTCATGTCGCTCTGGTCTCCCATCCTTAGCGACGGGCGAAGATTTACGTCGGTGCTGTACGGCATTGTCAGCTTTGACGCCAGGTACACCTTCGAGGTTCAGCAACATCTGCGTGCGCACGCCCGCAGTCAGAATGTCGACGACTACGCCTTCATGTATACGTTCCGCTCGGCGCTGGAACATGCTCCGCGCTGATGGTCATGCAGGATGCCCACCCCTTAGCCGTTGCTACGAGAGCTTCTTCATGCGATGTCATCCCAAGTCCTTCACATTGCTTCCTTGACTTTGTGAAGCGAACAGTGGTGCTCGCGAAACATTCAGGGCGGGCCGCGACTGTCTTGGCGTCATCCGCTCGTCATATCACAACGGAGCCTGTGAGATGGGTATTTCACCTATGGACAAGCCCCTGCCGGCAAGTGCTACATCAAGGTACAGTCAGCAAAGGGCAGCGACTCCCAACGACAATGCATTTGCTCCGACCCGCCAACGAGGTTGTGCTGTGAGCAAAGAGCCCCGCAAATGAAAGCACCTACTTCATGGATTAATACGAAGAAGCATACAATTGGAAAAGAGTATACCGTGGCATACCGTCGGAGTGGCGTGGGAAGCGCGCGGGATGAGCAGTGTGTGGGAGTGGGCATTGGAGGATGTCCATTGCCTCCACCCTCACCCCTTCTTGCACACGCCAAGATGCCTTGCGCCTATTTCGGCCGCAAGACTGATGATCTCGACGCACTCAGGTGAGGGGCCTGAATCGCTGCGGTGGCCATGTGCCACAGTGCGACCGCGATCTGGTGGGGGAAAGGATCCCTCGCGTGGATATCCTCGGGCTGCATCCCAGTTGACCCATTGCGAGCTGTGCTCTTGACAATCCAGCATCCGCATCGTCAGCTGAACATCGAACAGCGTGGACCCTCGCGGCTTGCAGCCCGAACACCAGCTACCGGATTGGCATGGTGATCTTTCTGTATGCGGCGCAGTAACAAGTTCGGCTAGAGACCAGCAAGCGCGATGGCCGCCACCTGCCAGTGCAGCAGATCACCACGCGACGGGTAGCATGTTTGCATCGACGAGTGGCAGGGGATGTTCCTCCGGTATCGAAGGGCGAACCAGCGCGCGGCCAAGCAAATGCGTTTGCGCAGCCTGTGTATCTGTAGCATGCACATCAACTCCGGCCAGCCAGTGAGAAAGTCGGAACGCGGCCTGTTGGAGAGGCGCATTCCTCGCTACACGCGGTGAAAAGATTCGTGCCTTTCAGCCGCCGATGAAAGTACCCGAACCGTTTCGCTCGGCTCGCAGAGTACGCTGTTCTATTCGGCCACGAAGATAGTGCAAGAGAGTCCTTGCTGTGCTTGCAGGGCGATCATGTTCATCGACTCAACATCCTTCTTTCCTCGAGCATCCTTGGCGCCGCCCCGAGAGTCAGATCCTCCTACGCATTTGATGAAAGTCCTCCAGTCGGCCTTCTTGTCTGCGCCTGGCTCTGCTCACAGAGCCCAATCTGCTGATGATCACTGCGCTGCGTTGCTCGAATCCCAAGAGCCACTTGCATCCCCTCATGAGCGTTTCTCGAGCCTCGTCGCTTGCGCATTGTTTGCTTGGCAGCTCATAGTGCGGCGACTTGCATGCACTCTGCCCACCCATCTTTCAGTAGTGAATGTGCATTTGCTTGGCCAGAGCGGACGATGCAGCATGATGAAGACGAAACTCGTTGTTCTGCTGACTCGGCGCTGCATTCGAGTGCACCTCTCGTCTTGACGCAGCGGTGAGTCTCGTGCGATGAAAGGCCTTGATTGCTCTGGAGATTCTTAGCACCAGCTCAGAAAGATCGACGTTCGATGCGAGGCAGAGTTACGAGATGAGATGGCATTGTGTGCGCAGCTTGGCGAACGTCGATGCAGCGCCTGCAAGCAACAGTTGTGCATTTCGGCCATACCCGTGCACCGCCAAGTCCAAACCATCCTGCACTCCACGCAGGAGCAAAAAGCTGCCAAGGAAAGCATGGCCGAAAGCTATATAACCACACCCCTTCCCATCTTCCCCTCCAGCTTCCTGCGTTGAGAGAGACACCACCATGCGGTTTTTACTCGCACTGCTTTTCTTCTACATCGCCGACGTGGCCTCGCTGCCAATCCCCGCCGAACCGGCGGCCGAACTCGTCCACACCCTTGCCGATCTAGGCGAGGCCGAAACAGCACGTCTGACGCAGCTTCTCAACGAGCACCTCCCCGCCTACGTCCACGCTCCTCCACCCGCCCCCCTCCCCGCTCCGCGTCTGCGATTCCCACCCGCACACGCAACCGAGCCCGGCGCCTCGGCCCCACCCAACTCGCCGCGCCTTTCATCCTAGCGTCATGTGCAATTTCCAAACACTCGACTAGCTACAAGTTTTTCCCACCTACACCGAAGGCGACACCCAGAAGCTCAGCGCCGCCACGGCGTATAAGCTGCACAGCATGGCGCCCTCCATGTAGTTGCTCTTGCCGTCCTGGACGAGCGTGTTGACCAGGAACACGGCGGCGACGAGGATGACCGTCTCGAACGTCTCAAAGTAGAGCGTGAGCGGCTGACGGATGGCCCAGCCGACGAGGACGAGGATGGGGATCATGCCCACGCTGATCTGGATGCTCGAGCCGATGGCGATGCCGAGCGAGATCTCCATCTTGCCCTTGGCGGCCATCCAGACCGCGGTGAGATGCTCCGCCATGTTGCCCACGATGGGCAGCAGGATGACGCCGATGAACGCCTTGGGGATGCCGTACTCGTTGGCGACCTCGTCGATGGCGCCCACGAGGTAGTCGGCGTTGAAGGCGGTGAGGATGGTGACCGAGGCGAGCGCGATCATGGCGGCGAGGGGCGACATCTTGGCCTCCTCCTCTTCGTCGTCCTCCTCCTCGGCCTCGTACAGGAACGCGTGCGACTTGAGCTGGAAGAAGAGGTAGAGCACGTAGATGCCCACGAGGATGAGCGAGGTCCCGCGCGAGATGAAGAGCAGGCCGGAACGGTCCTCCTCTCCATGCACGATGGGCGCATTGAGCACCGCCAGCGCCTCAAAGTTGCCCGCGAAGAGCGAGGCGGACTTGAGCGACATGTGGTAGGCGGCGGGGATGGCGAGCGTGATGCAACCGAGCGTCATGATCGAGCCGCTCGCCTGGGCTGCGGTCTGCTGGAAGGTGTTTTCGGAGCGGAAGAGGCCGCCTGCGACAAAGCTCATGCCGAGCACGAGCAGGATATTGCTCAGAATCGAGCCGATGAGCGAGGTCTGGACGATGCGCAGCTGGCCCTGCATGAGCGCCACGATGCCGACGATGAGCTCGACGGCGTTGCCGAACGTGGCGTTGAGCAGGCCGCCGAGGGTTTGGCCGAGACGCAGCGAGACCTGCTCGGTGGCATCGCCGAGGATCTTGGCGAGCGGGATGATGGCGAGGAAGTTGAGCGAGAAGATCCAGATGGCAGGCCAGTGCGCGTGCTCGGCGACAATGCCCAGCGGCACAAACACGAGGAAGACGTTGATCCAGGAGCACGTAAGGATCCACCACAGCGACGACACAATGTTGGGCGTACCGTGCGAAGCGTTGTTGCCGTTGTGGCTCGGCAGGTCGTTGCCGCTCCCCACGAGCGGAGTGCGTTCGTTGGCTGGCATCTTGACGAGAAGGGCGAGCGTGCGTGCGTTGTTGTTGGTGGTCGCAAGTCAACCCCCCACCATAAGCGGCAGTGTGGATGGAAATGAGCGCCCACCCGGCGGTGCGAGTTGCAAAAAATAGATCACCAGGCGCAGGCACGTCGGCCGCATTGGTTGTGGTCTGGCGCGGCTCAACGTGCGTCCGTGCCCTGGCGGAGCGGGGCGGGGGCGGGGCGCTGCAGATGACGATGCTTGGCATTTTCTCGCATGCGAGCCTCCGCCTGTCAACGCGTGCCTGTTCCGTTGCGTCAGAGTGCACTCGCCCATTTGTCCCTCGCGATGCGAATTTGCAAATGCCTGCCATCTCAGTCAGCTCGCTCTCAGTCTCACCCGATCGATCCCGATTCATCCCACTCGCTCTGGGTATTCATATGGATTGGTGCAGTGTGATGATCAGGCGCCGCCCGCCAGCTCGACAATCAGCCGCGTGGCACACTCGAGGAACAGGAACGGCGAGTTGACCTCCTTGCGGCCGGCTGGCACCGCGGGCGCGAGCGAAGGCTTGATGCGCGTCCCGTCAAAGCGGTGCTGCGCCGGCGGCTCGCCATCGCGCATCGCCTGCTGCGTCTCGCCCATCGCCCTTTCGAACGCCGCCTCGAGCTTGGCCACCTCGCCATCCGCATCTGCCTCCTCACCCGCATCCGCCGTGCCTGCCCCTGCTCCCACCTCGGGCTCGAGCATCGTGTAGCCGACGTTGCGAAAGTCGACGAGGTAGTTGACCGCATCCACGTGGTACAACTGCAGATCCATGCGCACCACCACATGCCCCACCTTCCAGCGCGTCTCGAGGAAAAACAACTCCACGCCCTTGCCTGCTGACGCCTCGCTTTCGCTCGCCGCGTGTTTGTCTTTGTCGGCTGCATCGCCCTCGCCCTCGCCCTCGCCCTCGTGCGCTGCCTTGGCCGCGCGCGCCACAGGCTTCTGGCGCCACTCCATGCCGAGCGACTGCAGCGTGCGGTAGAGCTCGAGCATGATCTCCATGGGCGGACTGCGCGAGCGGATGCCAAAGTGCCAGCGCGATCGCGGCTTCTTGTGGATCTGCGCCGCCGCCGACGCCGCCGCCGCCGCCGGCAGGGCAGGTGTGCCACTCCCCGACGTGGGCGACAACGGCGTGCACTGCGGCCAAGCCGTCTTGTCCGCCGAGGGTGTTGCCAGCCGTTCCGCCTCGCGCGCTCGCAGGTAGCCGGGCAGCGACGTCTCGAGCACCGCGATGCGCACCATGCGCTCGCCCGCCGCATCCTCGGCGTCCGTCAGCTGGCCGTCATCGTCCGTAAGCAGATCGTCGTCGTCGCTCGCCAGCGTCTCGTTGCCGTCGTCCGACGGATCCACCTCGGCCGCATCCACCGCAAACGAGTCGCCCTCGTCGTCCGCCGCCGTCCCCGTTGCGTGAGCCGACGCCGGCAGCGGTGGCACGGGCTCGCGCGTCGTCGACCTCACCGCCGCACCTCCCGCCACCTCCTTGTCGCGATTCTTGCGCTTGATGCTGGTGGAGCGGCCCATGAAGCCTTCCAGCCCCTCGTTCCACGCGGGCGGGCTCTGCGCCAGGAAATTCTCCATGCCGTGCGCGTCCTCCATGTGGTGGATCTGCAGCATGCGCCGGTGGTCGCGCACCAGCTGGTACGCCACCTTGACCTGGTTGTCGCTCTTGTCCGCCAGATGATGCAGCAGCTCGTCGCGGTTGAAGCCCACCATCTTGCCCACGAGCTCGTCCACAATCTCGGCGTCGATGGGGCCCAGGTCGTCGAGCACCGCCGGCTGGCTCCCCATCCGACTCGCCGACGCCGAGGTCTGCGACGACGACGCGCCGCTGGTGGCGGCCGACGACGATGCGACCGACGACGCGACGTCCGTGGGCGAGCCCGTCTCGCGCGGCGACTCGGTAAGGCCAAAGTTGAAGCCGCGGTTCTCCGCCGCCGGTGTGGGCGGCAGCGGGCGCAGATAGGCGGGCAGATCCACGTTGAACCACGGATGCTGGCGGATCTCGTGGATGGTGATGCGCTTGACGGGGTCGACGATGAGCATCTGGCTGAGCAGATGGCGCGCCTCCTGCGACAGGTACGACGGCAGCGTGTAGATGCCGTTGTTGATCTTTTTGAAGAGCGTCGGGATGTACTCGTCGTCGAACGGCAGTCGGCCGCACAGCATGACGTACAGGATCACGCCGCACGACCAGATGTCGATCTCGGGCCCGGCGTAGAGACGCCCGGAGATGACCTCGGGAGCGGCGTAGTTGGGGCTGCCGCAGCTCGTCTTCAAGAAGTCGCCGTCGGTCATGATGTTGGAGAGGCCAAAGTCGCCGATCTTGACGTTGAGGTACTCGTCGAGCAGCAGGTTCTCGGGCTTGAGGTCGCGGTGGACGATCTTGTGGCGGTGGCAGTACTCCATGGCGCAGATAACCTGCTGAAAGAAGCGCCTTGCCTCGGGCTCGGGCATGCGGCCGCGGTCGACGATGTACTGGAAGAGCTCGCCGCCGGCGTATTCGATGACCATGATGATGTCGTTGGGCGTGGTGATCACCTCGTACAGCTTGATGATGTGCGGATGGCGCAGCAGCTTGAGGTACTGGATCTCGCGCTTCACCCGTCCGCCCATGTCGAGGCTCGAGATCTTGCGGCGGTTGATGATCTTCATCGCCACACGGTGGCCTGTGAGCGCATGCGTGGCGAGCTTCACCTTGCCGAATGAGCCGGCGCCCAGCGTCTGCTGGATGATGTACTGGCCGATGCACACCGGCTTCTTCTCCTTGGAGCGATGCACCGATCCGGATCGCGATGCCACGCGGCTCGACGAGCGCGACGACGAAGCACCACCGGCGCCCGAGGCGCGGCGACCTTCGCGGCTCTCCGATGGCTGCCTGCTCGACATGGTGCGCGCGGCACTTTAAGCTGCCGGAGATAGCGGCGAGTTTGGAATCAAGACGAGGGCTGTGCGTGCTGCAGGCGTAGCATGCCTGTCGATGCGCCGATCGAGTGTCGGTCGTTTGTGATTGTTGTCCGCGAGTGAGTGATGATAGAACGGTGCGGGCGGTGGTTACGTCAAGCGACGAGGAGGTGTGTGGGACATGGTGGTGGAGAGTGCAATCGACGTGCAGCCGAGGATGCACACTGCTCCCGTGCCGCGGGGCGTGGGGAAATGGCGTCCGTGTGGGTTGCCTCAAATGCCTGAAATGCGTGAATGCGTGAAATGCAGCGCCGCTTCCACTCTGCCCAAAATTGGCGCTTAAAAGTGCACGGGCTTAGGCTCAGTCACACGCTCGCTCTCTTGCTCACTCTTTCGCTCACGCGCAATCCACCGCCGTGGGCGAGACCGTCATCTCGAAAAAGCCGCTTCGCTGCGGCCGTCTTACGCTGCTTGCCTTGGTAGCTCGTATGTGTCTGATTGTGTGTGTGAGGTTGGTAGCGGGACCAAGAAGAACGAAAAAAAGCCCGGGCGGTATATCCTTTCGCACTCGTCTCTCTCGCTCACACTCCCAATTCTCGTCCTGGAGGCACATGACGATCCTAGTAACAGCATGTTGAGTGAATGAATGAGCGAGTGAATGAATGAACGAATCTTTGAACGATATACTGTTATCCGAAAGACAGTTCCTCTCGCAGTTGTAGTGAGCTTCGAGGAGGGATGAGCGCGCGTCTCGAAACTTCTTCCGCAGCCTCACACCGCCATGGCGCGTAGAGACGCCTAAAGGTTTGTCCTAGTCGGCACTCGTGTCCCGCCAGTGAGTGCTGTCGCTTGCAATACGATGCCAAACATCAACCAAATGCAGCAAGCTTTCGGGAGGAACTCACCCTCTCCTCGAGGAGCAAACGGCGGAGAAAAGGGCGAGAGGTCACGTCCCGCCGCCAGATAAGGATAAAGCATCTTCTGATTCAACGGTACGACGCGCGCAGCCGATTGCTGTGTCGCGATGATCGCGTCTGCATGCCTTTGCTGACCCTAACTCAACGCAGCAGAGCCGCGGCGAGCGGTCGGATGGGCTTGGTGTTCTCAAGCTGCAGCGCATACTCGAAGCACTCTCTTGCCCTCTGTTTGCGCTCGCTCCTCTGCACCGCCTGGCCCAAGAACAGCCAGGCCTCGCTCGAATCCCATCCGGCACCCTTGGTCGTCGTCGTCAGCAGTCCCTCTGCCAGACTCACCGACGACAGATCCTGCGCCCTGGCGCTCAGCGTCGCCTCGGCCGTCGACTCGAACTTTGCCTTGGCGTCGCCCGGCGTGGCAGCCGCGGCATCGGCACCCTCGCGCTTGGGCTTGAGCTCCGGATCCGCCAGGAACATCCTCGCCAGATGCACCGACGCCGCCACATCGCCCGCCGAACACGCCAGCGCCTTGTACAGCGACTCGACCGCCAGCCGCGTCTGCTGGCTGCTCATAAAGTACAGCGACAGCTGCACCCACACCTCGGCCAACCCAGGCTGCAGCCGCTCCGCCTCCTGGATCGCCGCCCGGCTCTCCTTGAGCTGGCCCGCACGCCGGAAGCTCGCCGCCGACGCCAGCCAGATCTTGGCCAGCGCAAGCGACTGCCTCTTGAGATGCTCGATCGTCCTCTCGGCGCCCGAGCGCGACAGGTCCTCGTCCAGCCCTCCCAGCTGCATGCCCGGCAGCAGCGTCGATCCGCCGCCCGACGAAGATCCATTGGCTCCCCCCGCGGCGGCACTCACCGAGCGCTGCGCATACGATCGCACGCGGCTCGACGTCGTGTGCGAGCGGCCAAGCACCGTGTCGTTGCTGCCCTGCCCGCCACCAACCGCGGCGAGCGAGCCGTACCGTCGGAGCCCGCTGAGATCCTTCGACACCCGCGGGTGTTCCACGCCGCCACCGGCGCCAGCCGCGCCGCCTGCTGCCGACGCCGCAGCAGCTGCATACGGGAAGACGCGGTGGAAGTAGGAGAAGAGCTCCTTCTGCCCTGCAATCGCGCTCTCCACCCCGTCGGTGAGTTCTTCAAGCGCATTGTACGTCATCATGAGCTTGAGGATCGACTCGTTGCGCTCCAGCGGCCTCGGCGCAAAGTCGACGCTGAGCAGCTGCGTCGCCGCAAAGTTGGCGGGCGACGAGCCGCTGCTGTTGCCCTGCGTGACGCCCCGTTCGTCGTTGTCGCACTCGTTGAGCGCCACCTCGGCAATCTTGAGCGCGTCCTTGTACTTTTTCTGCGCAGACAGCAGCAGCACGAGCAGATGCCACGACTCGACGTCCGCCGGCTCGAGCTCGACCGCCTTGCGCGCCGACTGGAGCGCAGCGTGCACGTCGCGCATCTCGGCCTGCAGGTACGCCAGCTGGTAGTGCGCCTCGCTCGACTGGTCGTCCAGCTGCACCGCCGCGGTGAGTTCGCCGAGCGCCTCGGATTGCAGCATGGGCCTGCGCACGGGATCGGCCATCTGAATGGCGAGCCCGGCCTTGGCGTAGCCGTTGGTGCGCTTCAGGCGCGCCAGCAGCAGCATCTTGCGCTCAAACGCCGGCTTGAATTTGCCCGCGCCCTCCTGCACCACCGCCAACGCCTTGCTGGCCATCTTGTCGGCGAGGGCGAAATCGTTGCAGTAGCGGCCCACCAGGTAGGCGCCCTGGGCCAGCGTGTTGGCGTACACCTCGTCGCTGTCAAAGTCCTTGGCCGAAGTCACCTCGGCAGCATCTCCATTGGTCTGGGCCTTTTCCGCGGCATCGCCGTTGGCGGCCGATGCGTCCTGGTCCTTGCTATCGCCCGCAGCGTTGGCTTTGGCGCTCTGCTCTGCCTCCCTCGCCTTGTCGGCGATCGTAGCGTAGGCTTGGAGCGCACGCTTGGCCTCGTCGTGGCTCTCTGCAGCAAAGAGCAGACGCACGAGGTAGCGCGCGATGCGCTGCGAGTGGAACGTCAGCTCCACCAGTCCGTACAGGATCTCGGCCACGTCGTCGGCCTGCTCGCCGCCCATCTCGCCGTTGATCTCCCACGCCTTGACCATCTCGTCGGCGAAGTCGAGCACCTCGTCGTTGATGTGGCCTGCCTTGGGGAAGGCGGTGGATTTTTGGAGCGAGGCGAAAGCGGCCTTCTGTGCGGTGAGCACCTCGTTGGACCAGGACACGGTGGGCGGACGCAGCTCGCGGTGGGCGTTGGGCCTGCGCTTGGAGACGGTGCGCGAGGCGACGCGGAGCGAGGTAAAGGTGGGTGCGATGCGCTTGGCGGCGGGGTCGCGGTGGAGGCGCTCGGACTCGTAGTCACGGATCTGTACGCGCGAGGCGACGGTGGCGACGACCGAGAGCTGGTAGGCGCGGCTCCTCCAGTCGTCGCGGCTGGGGGCCGGCAGCTCGGGCGGGTCGACGTAGGTGCCGAGCTCGGCGGCGCGGTTGAGGACGCGGAGGTAGTATCGGTGAATGACGTTGCGCTGTGGCAGACGGAACTCGTGGTGCCAGCGACTGGCGTGCGCCTGGTACGATCGGAGGGCGTTGAGGCTCTGCACGGGTTCGCCGGCGCGGATGGAGAGCAGCGCATTGCGGTAGAGCGCCGCCTCGGCCCACTTTTCGATCTCGTCTGCGGGGAGGCCGCGAAGGGCGTTGGCCTTCTTGCCTCCGCGCAAGGATTCGTGGAGCTCGATAGCGCGCGCGTAGCCGGCGAGCGCAAAGGGGGTGTAGCCAGCCTCGTTTTTTGTGACGAGGAGCCTCTCGTTGGCCATGCCGTAGATGGTGAAGCCCTGGAGGATGAGGGCGGTGAGGGCGGAGTTGTGGATCTCGGGCGAGGCCGCAGCCTCGCCGGCAGTCTCCATGAACTTTTCGCGATGCAAGATGTCGACCGCCTCGTCGTCGCGGCCTAGCGCAAAGAGGGCGAGCGCACGGAGCGAGACGGCGGCTGGGCGGTTGTTGCCATCGCCGTACTCGAGGACGCGATCGGCGATTTGCTGTACGTTTTCGGTGGACCAGCCGAGGCCGTCCTGGCCTGGCTTCATGATAGGCGGGAAGAGCGTGGCATCTCCGGCGCGTGGATGCAGCTTGTAGTCCGAGAGGTGCGATGCGTCGGTGTAGTGCGAGTCTGTGTAAAAGTTGTGGATGGCAGCCTTGAGTTCGTGTTCGAGCGATGCGAGTTCAGCCAGAGCTGCGATTGCAAGGAGAAGGAAGCCAAATCAAAGAGGGAGGTTAAGCGTCAGAGGGTGCTTCGTCATTGAAGGAAGAGTAGCAGGAGCCCTACTTACACGGCCTGTCGGGGTTGTGTTTGGCAAACTTGCGCAGGAGCTCCTTCCACGGAAGCGACTTGCCCGACTGGCTGGGCTGTTCCACGAGCCAGTTGCCGCGCAGACGAGCCGAGTCGAGCTCCTTGAGGTAAAGCTCGGATTTGCTCTGCAATGTTCGCGAGGTGTCAGCCATTTTTGCTTTGATTCGACGGGTCGCGGCGGATGGCGGTCAACTTACAGATTTCGACATGATGGAGAACGATCGAGTGGACCGAGCTAGATTCCGCTAGGGCGAGCTAGAGCGTCGTTGGCCGGGCCTTTCAGGACGACGGAGCGATGCCCAACGGGGATGGTGGCCGGCGAGACGACGAAAGGGATCCGTGGGGGATGGGGTATCGGTGCGTATGTGGTGGAAGAGCTGGAAGAAGAGTGACGAAGGCGGGGCAGAGCGATGAGTGATGATGCAGGCGTCTCCTGAGAAGGGGCGAGGAGAGAGAGAGAGAGTGGGTCGAGGAGCAGCGGTTCTAACTATGCAGCTGTGGGTGGAGATGCATGGTGAGCTGCGTGGATCTGCTCTGAATTTGTTGGAGATGCAGCGAGAGCGGCTCCAACGCAGGTCTGAAAGCGAGCCGTGCGCGAACCAGCCAGCCAGCCATCCAGCCAGGCAGCCCATCGCCTCTGACGCTTCTCCGTCCGTTTCTCCACCGAAAACCCACGCCGCGATCCGACTTCGGCTAAGCCGCACTGACTGACGCTGGCCGACTTGTCTTCTTTCTCCGCGTCTGGAACCGCGTTTCGTCAGTTGCTCCGTCGAGCGCCCCCACAAAAGGCACGGCTGGGCGGCACCCAAATCTCGAGAGAGTCCAAATTTCCCAATCCGCCTCTTTGGCAAGCCAGAGAGGTCTGTGAAAGCGAGCCAAATCCTTCCGTCACCGCCCAGCCCAAACAACCTGCATCTTGGTGCTTCCCCGCATCTCTCGAAATCCCAAGTCGCCCTGTCTCACATCCTCCGCCCCGCCTCTCTCCCCCTCCCTATCTCGCTTGTACGCAGCCCGCTGCTCCTCCGCAGTCAAAGCCGCCATTCACACTCTTGTACTCGAACACACGAATGAAGAGGCGCAATCATCTTCGTTTCGGTTCGCGGGGGTGGGTGATCACAAAGGGAAAGAATTCAACAAACACACGGGGCAGGAGCAGCCTTTTCTCGAGTCGATGCCAACAACGCCTCGACGGGTGCCCAGCTGACGCTCACGAAGCTCCCCCGGCTTGCCCGGAAAGCCACGTGCCGTGACGGAACACGGCACCCGCCCAAACGTCGTCGGCCATAGAGTACATGTCCGCAAACACAGCTGCTACGCCAGCATGAGGATACGTTCGCATCCCCGCTTTGACGCAGCCGTCTATGCCTGCCCGCGCGTCCAACAAGTTGAACAAGAAGAGAAGAAGAAGAAGAGAGAGAGTCGAAGGAAAGTGAAGGGAAGAAGGAGGGATCTGGCCTGTCTTGCAAGGCCTATCTTTAAGAGAAACCTTGGGCAAGAGCTTACTCCTGAACAAGCTCCTCCTCCTCGATGTACTCGCCCTCGAGGTCCTCGTCGAGCGCAGAGGCGTCCTGGTACTGCTGGTACTCGGCGATGAGGTCCTGCAGGTTCGACTCGGCCTCGGTGAACTCCATCTCGTCCATGCCCTCGCCAGTGTACCAGTGCAAGAAGGCCTTGCGCTTGAACATGGCCGAAAACTGCTCCGAGATGCGCTTGAACACGTCCTGGATCGCCGTCGAGTTGCCGATGAACGTCACCGACATCTTGAGGCCGCGCGGCGGAATGTCGCACTGCGCCGTCTGCACATTGTTGGGGATCCACTCGACAAACTGCGTAGAGTGCTTCTGCTGGAAGCTCTGCATCTGGTCCTCGACGTCCTTCATGGACACCTTGCCGCGGAAGTACGCCGCGCACGTCAGGTAGCGGCCCAGGCGCGTGTCGCACGCCGTCATCATGTTCTTGCTGTCGAATGCCTGCTGCGTGATCTCGGGGATCGTCACGGCGCGGTACGACTGGGAGCCGCGCGCAGTGAGCGGCGAGAAGCCCACCATGAAGAAGTGCAGACGCGGGAACGGCACCATGTTCACCGCCAGCTTGCGCAGGTCCGAGTTGAGCTGACCGGGGAATCGCAGGCAGGTGGTCACACCGGACATCACCAGCGACACGAGGTGGTTGAGGTCGCCGTAGGTGGGCGCGTTGAGCTTGAGCGTCTTGAAGCAGATGTTGTACAGCGCCTCGTTGTCAATGCAGAACGTCTCGTCCGAGTTCTCGACGAGCTGGTGCACCGAGAGCGTCGCGTTGTACGGCTCCACCACCGTGTCCGACACCTTGGGCGACGGCAGCACCGAGAAGGTGGCCATCATGCGGTCCGGGAACTCCTCGCGGATCTTGGAGATGAGCAGCGTACCCATGCCCGCACCCGTACCACCGCCGAGCGAGTGGGTGATCTGGAAGCCCTGCAGCATGTCGCAGTTCTCGGCCTCCTTGCGGATCACGTCGAGCACCGAGTCGACGAGCTCGGCACCCTCGGTGTAGTGACCCTTGGCCCAGTTGTTACCGGCGCCGGACTGGCCGAAGACAAAGTTGTCGGGGCGGAAGAGGCCACCGAGCGGGCCCGAACGCGTCGAGTCCATGGTGCCGGGCTCGAGATCGACGAGCACGGCACGCGGCACGTACTTGTTGCCGCTCGCCTCATTGTAGTAGACGTTGATGCGCGCGAGCTGGTCGTCGCTGGTGCCGATGTAGTTACCGTTGTGGTCGATTCCGTGCTCGTCCGACAGTACCTCCCAGAACTTGGTACCGACCTGGTTACCACACTGACCGGTCTGAAGGTGGACTGTATGAGTCAAGGCAAGCGGAGCGGGTTAGTGGTCTCGATGTCGAACAATCCGTATCGAATGGCGGCCACGTACCGATCTCGCGCATCTTGAAGTACGGTTAGAAGATGGGTTCGAATGGGGATCCTACGATTTGAAGTTCTGCGATGACAAAGCACGGAGCGACGTAGAGTCAAGGTTAGTGCACGGATTCGATGGGATGGTGCGGCAATACTGGGCGGGGCGATCAGCGCGATCAAGACACCGATGGTGGTCATTGTTGTCGGTCTGGTGAGCAAAGGCGTGATGCATTGGGTTGGCCTGTGATTTTCTATCGAGGCTGCAAAGTCAATGGCAGTGGCGGTGGGGTGCGATCCGACTGCCTGTGCGACGAGGACGCAGCCCTTCTGATCGTAGGTGATGCGCACGACTGCGAATTGTTAGGGGCTCTAAAAGAGAGTGGCATGTGGTTGCAGAGGGCCTGCAGCGACGACGACGAGACTGCTCGATGACGCTGGCTGGCGACCATGCGCGACGAGGGCTGAGATGAGACAGCGATCATTGACCTGCGGCCAAGGTGGCTGAAGATTGTCGAGTGGCGATGAAGGCGGTAGCCCTGGTGATGATTGGTGGCGAGGATTGGAGTTGATGATCGGTGGCGATGATGGATGTCGATGATGTTGTTCGAGTGACCTGCAGTGCGACCGCCTCGCTTGTGATGATGCCACTTACAGCTTACTGTGTTGAGCGCGGGTGGGAGTGACCGGCGCGAATGCGAAACGAGGGCGTGAAGTGAAGGGAAGAAAGGGGGTTAGGGTGAAGAGAGTCGGATGTGCCGGAGGATGGTGGTGGCAGCGGAGGATGCAACTCGGGATGATGGTTCCAGTTTCGCACAGGCAGCAGCAGCAGCAGCAGCAGCAGCAGCACGCGCGGCGAGACGAGAGACGAGTTTGGGCTGCGTGGCGACCTTTGCGAGCGCTCGGGGCGGCGGGCGAAGGAAAAAGTGTTGGACTGCGACGACCCAACTCGAGAGCCAGCCAGCCAGCCAGCCAGCGCGCGCGCGCGTGCGGGCAATCGGGGGAGGCTCTCTCTTCCAAGGCAGAGCCTCTCTCAAAGGCACGCATCACACACACGCACGCCCATCTCAGCCTAGCCCGGCGCACGCACGTCTCTCTCTCTCTCTCTCTCGCCTGGGAATTTCGAGCTGGGCCTCTTGGGCTCAGGTGCCGACGAGGGGGCTAAAGTGTTGTTCTTTTTTTCCTCCCCATCGCACACCCACGCGCAGCTGCTGCTGCTCTCCTCGAGCTCTCTTTCGATTTGAATTGGCTCGGGCATACACTGGCATAGTCGCGTCTTGTATTCGCAGGGCATGCTCACAGCCGTTTGAAATGCGCATTCCTCGCTCTCGCCAACCTGGGCCTGCGCCCGGAATTTCGTCCACCCAACCGCTCGCTGCGTGTGCGACGTGGAACGTGGTTTTCCTTCCGCCTTGCCCACACCCACCGCCGGCACACTCGCTTCTTATTGCTTTCGCATGGTCATCAGCAGACGACACTGAGCGAGACAAGTGGTCTGAGTGGTCGGTGCTCGTGCAGAGATCAGTCGAGATCGCGCTGGTTGCGTGGATGGAAGCGACACCAAGCGAGGCCAAAGCGGCCAAGAGGCTCAGGCCGGCGATTGTGATTTTAGAGAAGGGGAGATCTGCATTTCTTTTGTTTTGGAGTTTCGTAGCTCAAGTCCCCAGCCGAGCCTGACGCGTCGCGCGTTCCGAGGGCGCAGGGGCCAACTTTTGACTTCTCCATCGGCGATCCTCACCAAAATCGGGAGATCACCTTCACCTTTCCTGCCGCACCCGCCCATGCTCATGCAACTGCAACACCTCACGAGCACACACATTGGCTCGAGCGAGCACCGTCGTACATGCATCGTATGCAAAGTTGTCGGCAGATCTAAAAGTACAGGTGACGGAACGGAAACCCTAGGCTATCGGCTTGATCTTGAAATGCAGCGAGATGAGGCTGAAGATGAGGCACTGACGAGCCACAGTTGCAGCCACCGAGAGCGAAGCAAACACAAGTCAGTACATCATGGCAGCCCTTTTTGGACCGTCGATTGCGGTTGAAAGAGGCGGCTGGGCGACGTACCTTGAGATCCTGGACGAGGTAGTACATGACACGCAGGCCTTCTGGGTCCTCGCTGTCCTGCACATCGACGAGCGATCCGATCTTGGCGGTCTGCAGCGCGCAAGGAGGCACGTATCCAAGGCAGTGTCAACGTCAACTTCCTCTCATTTTCTTCATGGATATGGTTGTGGGATGCTCACTTCGAACGAAATGTGGTCGTTGCCCAGACGCACTTCGAGTTCCTGGCGACCGGTCGAGTTTTTCTTGGGCCATTTGGCGTCGTCTTCGCGCATGATCTCGCTATCCTCTACGATGCGCCGCAGTTCAGCAATCATGGTTGGCGAGATCCACACTGTAGCAACGGCAAACAAAAGGGTTTCAGCCAGGTCCGCGGGAGAGATTGCGCGGGGGTCAGCGGGGGACTTACTCTCTTTGCGGATGAGGCTGTCGTTGCGGTAGTTCGAGTTGTTGGCATAGCGCAGACGGCCACGCGAGTATTCGAACTCGAGAAACTCGTGTCCGTGTCGACCCTGGTGCCCCGTGCTGAAGCAACAAAGAGTGGGCAGTGTCAGCAGATGCAACGATGAGAGCGGTAGGCAAGGGGACGGACATACTAGTAGCGAACGTAGAAGTCCGACATATCGCTCAGATGCAGCGAGTCGATGCGGTCTTACGATCGAAACTGAATCGCTGTGCAGTGCTTGCTTCCTGGGCCGATGCTCTTGCGGCGGTGGTCGGCCGTGGTTGGAGGTGGTTGCCGGTCGATGAGGAAGGGTGAAGGCGTTGGTCGAGGGTCCAAAATCGGAAGACGGGGCGGAATGTCGGGATGCGGAGGTGGAGTATTTTTTGGGGCTGTCTGTCGAGGCTCAGAGTGTTGCTCTTTGCCTTCACCTTCGCAACTCTTTCGGGATGTCGCGGCGTCGGCCTCCCAAACGAGCCCGCCTATCACCTTCTGAGACGTCGCACATCTTCTCCGCCTCTTTGCAACCTTCCGAACGCACGCAGCTACATCCGTGCTCGTACGAAATCACGCTCAATCACGACACCGAGCTGTACCGCTCTCTGCATCTTGCTCCCGACGCCACGTCAAGCGAGCGCGAGCAATGGGCGACTCGACTGGTGACTTGGACAGGCACGGATGGGCGCAGCGTTGTGAGCGACCGCTTTGATGCCGTCCACCTTCTCACCGAACTTCCCGCCAAATCTTCGTCAGGAGTGGGACAGGATGGGGATGAGGGATGGTCGGATTTGGACAGCGATGCAGAGGACGTATTCTATATGACCGACTCGGAAGCTGCCGCCTTTACCCACGACCGGGCACGCGCAAGGCTCGAGGCACAACACACCGCTCGTGTCGCCGCAATGCCCTCACCCTCCCCTCCTGCCTCGGAGTATGAGGAGGAGGAGGATGCGTTGGCAAAGTCCCAATTTGAGCTCATGCGAAAGACGGCTCGGGTGCTGGCCGAGTCGGGCCATCCGGCACAACTGGAGCTCAAGATCCTCGCCAACCACGCTGCTGATGCGCGCTTCGACTTTCTCAGACCCACCCCGCAGCAGAGCGGCATCGCAAACGTATGGACGCACCTCAAAGCTCAGCCTGCCCTGCCATACGATGCAGCCCGAAAGCTGGCCAAGCCGATCCAGGCTGCTCTGGTAGCGTACGATTCCGACTCGGATTCCAACTCGGATTCCAACTCGGATTCAGAACCTCCGCAAGCCGAGCCGCCATCGGATCGTCCGAGCGAATCACGGCCTCAATCCGAACCTGACGCCGACGTCGAAAAGACACGCAAGCAAGCCGAGCGACTCGCGCGCGCCCGCGAGTGGCTCAAATCACGATCCTGAAGGAATACCGATAGAAAAGTGGTGATTCATTTTTGGGTGCGGCTGTTGTGTTGTGCATCCGAGCCAAAGCGAGGATGGAAAGGAGGAGGGGGGAATAAGCAGGGACCTATGAGAATACACATGTAGTAGTAGAAAGAGGACGTCAAGAGCTGGGTTGTACGAGATGGCAATGCAAAGGGAACGAGGGTTTTAGAGGCGAGATGTGCTTAGAAGCCCATGCCGCCCATGCCACCCATGCCGCCCATACCGCCCATGCCGCCCATGCCACCCGCGGGAGCCTTCTCCTCGGGTGCCTCGACGATGCAGCACTCGGAGGTGGTGAGCAGCGACGCCACACCGCTAGCGTCCTGGAGAGCGGTCTTGACCACCTTGAGCGGGTCGAGGATACCGGCGGCGATCATGTCCTTGTACTCGCCGACGCTGGCGTCGTAGCCGTAGGTGAAGTCACCGGGCTTCTCGAGCAGACGACCCACCACGACCGAGCCCTCCTCGCCGGCGTTCTCGACGATCGTGCGCGCCGGACGCGTGAGCGCCGCCTTGAGCATCGACAGACCCAGCTGCTGGTCAAAGTTGGCCGTCGCCACCTCGTTGAGTGCGAGCGAGGCCTTGAGCAGCGCCACACCACCACCGGGCAGCACACCCGCCTCCACAGCTGCACGCGTGGCGTTGAGCGCATCGTCGTATCGGTCCTTCTTCTCGCCCACCTCCACCTCGGACGAGCCTCCGACCTTGATCACCGCCACACCGCCCGAAAGCTTGGCCAGACGCTCCTGCAGCTTGGTGCGGTCGTACTCGGAGGTGGTGGTGTCGTTGATGGCGGCGCGGATCTGCTCGCAGCGCTGCGCAAGACGGTCCTTGTCGCCCTCGCCGTTGAGGAAGATGGTGTCCTCCTTGGTGATGGTCACCGCACCCGTGGTGCCGAGCATCTCGGGCGTGGCACGGTCCAGCTTGGTCTCGAGCTCGTCCGAGAACACCTGGGCGCCCGTGAGGATGCCGAGGTCGCCGAGGATGCTCTTGCGGTTGTCGCCGAAGCCGGGCGCCTTGACGGCGGCCACCTGCAGCTGGCCACGCAGCTTGTTGAGGATGCACGCGGCGAGCGCCTCGCCGTCAATGTCCTCGGCGATGATGAGCAGCGGGCGGCGGAGCTGTGCGGCGGCCTCGAGCGAAGGCAGAATGTCCTGGAGCGCCGAGATCTTCTTCTCCGAGAGCAGGATGAGCGGCTTCTCGAACTCGACCTTGGCGGTCTTGACGTCGGTGATAAAGTAAGGCGAGATGTAGCCGCGGTCGAAGCGCATGCCCTCGGTGATCTCGATCTCGTCCTCGAGCGTCTTGCCCTCCTTGACGGTGATGACGCCCTCCTTGCCCACCTTCTCCATGGCGGTGGCGATGAGCTGGCCGACGTGCTTGTCGCCGTTGGCCGAGATGGTGGCGACCTGGGCGATCTCGGCCGAGGTGGTGACGGCGCGCTTGTTGGTCTCGAGGAACTTGATCACGGCGTCGACACCAGCCTGGACACCGCGGCGGAGGTCCATGGGGTTGCAGCCGGCAGCGACGTTCTTGACGCCCTCTGCGTAGATGGCGCGAGCGAGCACGGTGGCGGTGGTGGTGCCGTCACCGGCGATCTCGTTGGTCTTGTTGGCGACGTCCTGGACGAGGCGCGCGCCGAGGTTCTCGAACTTGTCCTTGAGCGTGATGGACTTGGCGACGGTGACACCGTCCTTGGTGATCTTGGGGCCGCCAAAGGGCTGCTCGATGATCACATTGCGACCCTTGGGGCCGAGCGTGACCGAGACGGCGTTGGCGAGCAGGTTGACGCCGTTGAGCATGGCGGCGCGGCCGTCGTTGCTGAACTTGACCTCCTTGTGCGCATTCTGGACGAGCGAGGTGGAGAAGCTGCGGCCGTTGTTCGAGGCGGCCTTGCGGGCCGGGGTAGCGGCGTTGCGGAGGAGAGACATGATGACGGGGAGGAGGGGGGATTGCGTGTGTGTGATGTGGGGGAAGGGGAAGAAGGTGGAGAGCGTTCAGGACAAAGCTTGGTTAACACGGTCTGTGCCGGCAGGACTGAGCGGGCGAGGATAGGGTGGGGTTTGGCGGGCGAGCGAGAAGAAGTAGAGTTGCAGCGCAGCCCAACGCTGAGAGACTCAGGCTGAGGCGGCGGGAAGATTTGGAGGCTCGGTTGCCGGGGCAGCAGTTCTGCGTCCAAAGCCACCCGCTCGGAAGAGGCCGCCATCTCCACTTGATTGGCTCCAGCCGATGAGCTTCTCAGCCTCCTCAGCCCGGCTTCCAGTTGTCAACTTTTTTTCGACTTTCTTCTAACGGCCTGGGACTCAGCTCGAGCCTCGACTTTCCACTCGCCACACACACAACTCAGGCTTCTGTCTTTTTCTTTTTCTTTTTCTTTTTCTTTTTCTTTTTCTTTTCTTTTCCTCCACCTGGGGCCGCTGTAAAATTGCAACGAGGGTTGGAAGATTGGCCCAGTTTCGGCTTTGTTCCGCCACCTTCTTCGTGTGTGCGGGGGCGTCTACTTTTTTTTTTTTTTTGCCTTTTTCTTTTGTCCGGCTTTTCACCGAGTCAGGGCCGGCTGTGATTACGAGAAGACGAGAGCGGCTCAGCGCCTGTGTGGATCGATCACGGTTTCGTCCGATTTCGTTGCTACAGCCGGGCTTAGCGGACGGTCGTGATGGATTCATCCTCACAGCGACTCTGGAAAGTTCCAGACTCGACCTCTTTCTTCTCCCATGTGAGCGGTAAACCCAGTGTGGAGAAGCGCCGCATCGACTGTAGAAGCTCGTAAGCGGCAAGCATGCGTGTCGCTCATGACAAATGGTTTGCCGCTAGACTAGCTGGTCAAGCTGCTGATGGCACAGAACAGCAGCTGTCCGAATGAGTGGGACGGCTGAAGGTACGCTCGGTTACGGGTGACTCTTGTGTGAGAGTGTGTGTCTTGCCGCTGCTGATACTTTGGCTCCCGAGAGCTCTATCCGGGTTCCGAGGTGGATTTTCGAGCGAGCCGCTGCTGGACGTGGGGTGAGGGTCGTGTTTCTTCTTGTGAATCAAGCCTTTCTTCTCCACCAACTGCCCCCAACCATCCTCACCGCTACACATCGTCACAATGGTACGTACATACCCCTCACTGACCGGCGTGAGACCGAATGCAGGAGCGTCGACAACACCCAGCGCAGCAAAAGCCAGCAGACGGAACGACGATCAGGCGAGCTAGACTCTGGGCTGTCGTACTGACCTTGTCGATCTCGTGCACTCTATCCTTTCATCCGGCCGCGACCTGTTTGGCGACTCCAGGCTACCCAGTCCACCATCCGATCCATCAAGTCGGTCGTGCCTCTGCTCGACCGCGTGCTTGTGCAGCGCTTCAAGCCCGAGACCAAGACCTCGTCTGGTCTCTTCCTCCCCTCCTCCGCCGCCTCGTCGCCCCTCCCCGAGGCTAGCGTGATCGCCACCGGCCCCGGCGCCCCCGACAAGGACGGAAAGATCGTCCCCACCTCGGTCAAGAACGGCGACAAGGTCCTCCTCCCATCCTGGGGCGGAAACTCGATCAAGGTCGGCGAGGACGAGTACCTCCTCATCCGCGACTCCGAGATCCTCGCCAAGATCAACGAGTAAATCTCTCTCGCCATCTCTCACGCTCTCTGTATCCGTAACACGCAATCAAACACTCCTCTTTCAGCATACCGCCATTCTCGACTCGATTCTTTCAAGTGCAGCACGACGTCGGATCAGCTGGTCTTGTCGTCACTACTTGTGCTCGTGCCCGGGATGCCCACAAGGTGTCGACTCACAGCAGCCAGTCCGCCGTACGCGCCCGTTTCGAGTCCACCCACTACGCCCACGAACGAGCCACGCTTCATTGCGCCAAGCATGCCCGGCCTGGACGCCTTTGCGCCCTCGCCCGCCCGCGTCTCCTTGTCATCACCACCTGCAGCCTCTACCTTGGCTTCGGGCATGACGGGATTCGTAGCTTCGTCGTACGCCTCGCGCGAGATCGCAGTGAGCGAAGTCGTCTTGAGCGCACCCGCCAGCGATGCGCCCATGTACGGCAGCAGATTCGCCGCAAATGCCGGCGCCGTTCCGCCCTGCCCTTGCCCAGCCTCTTTGCTTGCTGCTGCGTGCGCCGTCTCGGGCCAGGGATCGTTGAGTACCGCCACGGAGCCCGACAACGCCCGACCCCGCTGCGTACCTTGCGAGATCTGAGTCGTTGAGCCGATGCGACGCGCGTTTCTGTCTACCGAGAGCGCCCCACCCGGCTGCTCAGCTGCGTCGATCGCTGCAGCGAGTTGCGTGCGGAAGCGGTGCGCAAAGCCCGGCAGCATCGCCGTGCCGCCCGATACGAGCAGGTTCTCGCACATGACGCGCCGCAGGTCGATGGGCAACTTGCTAATCGCCGCAACCGTCATCTCAACCAGCCCCGGATCGTCGGCATCGCCGCGTTCGAACAGCACCTCGGCTGCACGCTCGCGCACCCAGCCCGGAATCGCGATCACCCCAACCTCGCTCTGAGCCGCAGACGCTCCCAACGCCGAGCCCGTGTGCGGAGCTGGCGCCTGTATGCTCTGGATGAGCGACGCGGAGCCGGTGGGGTCGACCGACTCGGGCGTCACGCCAAATGTGAACGGCGTCGCGCTCGAAGTAGCCGAGTACTTGCGGCGGATCGTCGAGACTGCCTCCTGCTCCACACCTGCATCCACTGTCGCCGGTGAGGAATCGAGGTCGAGCACCGAGAAGACATCTGCCAGATCGGACAGGGCCGGATCGTAGGAGCTGACAAAGAGTGCTTTTGCCTTGATCTGCTCGATGCGCTCATCGGTGAGCATGGCTGGGTCAACGTCGCGTGTGCGTTCGCGCAACGACCTCGTCGAGTCCTGCAGCCCGGTATGTGCCGCGACGAACTTGGCGTAGCGCAGCAAGAGACGCCTGAGCCTCGCATTGAGCCGTTGGCCCGCGCGCGCGCTTGTAGCCACATGGCTCGCCAGCGGCCGACCATAGTAGATGGGCATGAGCGTGGCTTCGAGGTAGCCTACCTCAAGCACGAGGCCCGTGATGCGACCCACGGCGAGCAGGCTGAGCAGCGGCGCAGGCACGAACGAAACCGACGGCACCTGGAGATTGTTGAAGAGCACCTCGCAGATCATGTCCTTGACCGCATTCGGCAGCATGGGGTTCTCGACCACCAGCACCTTTCGCTTCTTGGGGTCCGTCATGAGGTGCTGCGTGAATGCGCTGCGCAACAGCTGTGTCAGCTGCGCAAGCACCAGCGCCCGCCTGCCGCGTCGGAGCTGATCATCAGCACACCGCTCAAAGTCGACGTCCCACAGCGTGTCGCCTGCGCCGTACAGGCCTGCAGTGGCCGACGAAGCATCGAGCCGAAGGTACGACGTCGATGGCTGCGAGAAGGAGACCGAGGGTACGATGGCGCGCGGACGAGGCTCGCCGCTGAAGCCAAACTTGGAATATCGGCTGCCGACGTCGAGGATGATGCGGTCTTCGGTGCCAAACAGCGAATGGCGTCGGGTGGCGCCCGAGTAGGCCGAAAGGGATGATGTGCTGCCCGATGCGCCCGGCGCGGCCACGGCGGATGAGCTCGCTCTGCTGGACGAAGTGCTGGCGAGCTGCTCGAACGACACTTTGCGACCTTGCGACGATGATCCAGCGGCAGACGGCCGAAAGCGCGCATCGGATGCAGCCGAAGAGTCCGGCTGCTGCGTGCCCGACATGCTGCCGGTGAATCGGATGTTGTGTGCGTGTGATGGTGATGCAAGACAAGATGAAGAGCAAACGCTCGCCGCAGAGACCAACACTTTCCTCGTGCCTTCCAGCCAAGGCACTTCACGGGTCTTCTTGCTGACGCTGAGAATTCGTTCCGAAAAAAAGGGTCCTGGAATTGCCTCAAAAATCAGGCTCAGTTCGGACTGACCCGCGTTGGCCTGTGCCCCGTGCTCGAGAGTGTTGCTGAGCCGCAATGCCTTGGCGGGTTTACACCTCCACCTATCCTCGCAAGTCTTCGTGCGGAGGCCGACAGGAAGCAAGTCGGAGACACCGACGTTTCTCATCGACCATCACACGCCTCTCTGCCTCTCTGCCGCCGTCACCATGTCGAGCGTCGGCGCGCATCCGCTTCCACCTACGGACTCGTCGCTCACAGGGCAGCGCCCCTCTGCACACACGCAACGCTACGATCGGCAACTCCGGCTGTGGGCGTCGTCAGGACAGAGCTCGCTGGAAAAGTCGCGCATCCTCGTCATCGGCGCATCGGCACTGTCGGCACAGATCCTCAAAAACCTCGTGCTGCCGGGCATCGGCTCGTTTGTGCTGCTGGACGATGCGATCGTCGATGCCGCCGATATGGGCGTCAACTTCTTCCTCCAGCCGGGCGAGAGCGAGGGCAAGTATGCGGCGGAGGAGATGTGCCGCCTGCTCACCGAGATGAACTCGAGCGTCGCGTCCGAGGCCAAGCTCGAGAATCCGATGTCGATGCTTCAGGCACATCACGGCTTCTTTGCCAACTTCACCTTGGTCATCTCGGTCAGTCAGACACACTCTTTCGACTTGGCGTTGTCAGAGCTGCTGTGGTCCTTGGAACCGCCTTCGCCCCAAGTGCCGTTGCTGCGCGTGCGCAGTGCCGGTATGCTGGCGCACATGCAGATCAGCCTCAAGGAGCTCGGCATCATCGAGACACATCCGGACAGCGTCGTCGATCTGCGCATCACGCGGCCCTTCCCAGAGCTCGTAACGCTGGCTGAACAGTTCGACCTCAATACCACCGACACCATGGAACACAGCCACATCCCTTTCCCCATCATTCTCGTCAAAAAACTCGCCGAGTGGCAATCCTTGGTAGGTCCATTCGCGAAAAGAACTGTCCCTGTCAATGGCTCGCGAACGGATGACTGACTTGGCTCGAGGGTGTCATACAGAACGACGGCGCGCTGCCAAGCTCCAAAGATCGCGACGCGTTCGTCAAGCTCATCAACGCATCTAGACTGGCTGGCAACGCGGATGCCGAGAACTTTGACGAGGCGGTGGCGGCGCTCGGCAAGCATCTTTGGCGCCCGCTCGCCTCCAAGGGTGTCGGCGGCGGTGGTGTGCCCGACGAGATCGAGGCCGTGATGAACGACGCAGCATGCACCAACCTCTCGGCGTCGTCGAGCAACTTTTGGATCCTGGTGCGTGCGCTGCGCGAGTTTGTCGCGGCCTCTCCCACCCACTCGTTGCCGCTGTCCGGCTCGATCCCAGACATGAAGGCGACATCGGCGGCATACATCAAGCTGCAGAACACGTACCGCGGCAAGGCACTACAGGATCTGGCCGACTTTAAGCAAATTGTCTCGCAGACGTGTGCTGCTGCGGGAGTGGAAGGTAGCATTGGCGACGACGAGATCGAGGCGTTTGTCAAGCATGCCGGCTACCTCAAGCTCATCCGCGGCCGCAGCGAGAAGCAGCGTCACGAGGCTCCAAATCAGGAAGCGGCCATGATGGCCTTCCTGGATCCCGTCAACCCGTGCACGTTCCAACATCACATTGCGTTCGCTGCCGTCGACCAGTTCCGCGAGAGCCACGGCAGGTATCCGGGCGTCGCCTACGCTGCACCACTCTCGACACCTGTGGCCATCCCGAACGGCGACAGCCTGCCAGACGACCGCCGTGCTGCCAAGAGGCAAAAGTCGCAAACCCCCACCGGCGAGACGGACGCCAGCCACCTGGACGTCAAGATGCGCGACGCTGCCGCCGTGGTCGACACCAAGGCGGACGAGGCCGAGCTGCTCAGCATAGCGCGCGAGATCGTCGCAGCCAAGTATGGCATTGTCGAAGATGGCGACGAGTGGGAAAAGATCGAGGACAGCCTCAAGGAGCTCGTGCGCTCCGGCGATGCCAGTCTGCCGCCCACCACGGCGCTCATGGGCGGTGTGGTGGCGCAGGAGGCCATCAAGCTCATCACCAAGCAGTACGTCCCCGCCGACAATACGGTCGTCTACGACGGCATCCAACAGGCTATCGGTGTATTCAAGCTTTAGAATGCTTTCTTCATCTGCTTGCCATCCCCTACTGTCTGTGAGAGGTGCGAGGGAGAGGGAGAGAGCGAGAGCGAGAAACGAACGCCAGGATTTGTTAGAGCGTAGTCAAGTGGCGAGCACGTGACTTGAACCAAAAAGTGTTCAGCCCCGCATGGCGGAGGAACGCGTGTTTTTTGGGCGGCAGGTCAGTCTGACGTTCACGACATAGGCTGGCTCAGCGGCGCGTTCTGCCGAGTGGAGCCAACGCAGAGCCAATTTGGAGGCGCGTCTGCGCGCGGTTGCAGCTCAGCCTAAAGCAAGCGAAAAAAAGGGCTGAGCGGAAAGCAACACAGCAGAACAACACTCAGCCGCGGTGGCCATGCCTGCATCTTCATCACCACCGTCGTCACCATCACCACCAACACATACACACACGCACGCACACGACCGGCTCTCGCAAAATAGGACAATCAAGAAGCAGCTGGGATCATGCTCCTCGAGTCGCTGGCTCGTCTCTGATTCGACCCTACGCAACCTCTGACCGTACCTACACCTAGCCCGGCTGCGGCTCCCCCTTGGCATCCACGTCGCCAGCCAACCAACAAGTCATCTCCGTGGTCGTCTTGCGGCACAGCATATAGCCCAGCATGCGTATCGAGGAACTCATCATCGACGGCTTCAAGTCGTATCCCGTGCGCACGCACGTCTCCGGCTTCGATGCCTCGTTCAACGCCATCACTGGCCTCAACGGCTCGGGCAAGTCCAATATCCTCGACTCCATCTGCTTTGTACTTGGCATCACCAACCTCACCGCCGTACGCGCGAACAACCTGCAGGACCTCATCTACAAGCGTGGCCAGGCCGGCATCACCAAGGCCTCCGTCACCATCGTCTTTGACAACACCGACCGCCAAAAATCGCCAGTGTCGTTCGAAAACTGCCCGCAGATCACCGTCACCCGCCAGATCGCCATGGGTGGCGCCAGCAAGTACCTCATCAACGGCCACAAGGCCACGCAGCAGGCGGTGCAGAACATGTTTCAAAGCGTCCAGCTCAACATCAACAATCCCAACTTTCTCATCATGCAGGGCAAGATCACAAAGGTGCTCAACATGAAGCCCGCAGAGATCCTCTCCATGATCGAAGAGGCGGCTGGAACGCGCATGTTCGAGGACCGCAAGGACAAGGCCATCAAGACCATGGCCAAGAAGGACCAGAAGGTCAAGGAGATCACCGCGCTGCTCGAGGAGGAGATCACGCCCAAGCTCGACAAGCTCCGCGAAGAGAAGCGATCCTTCCTCGAGTACCAGAAGGCCACCACCGAACTCGACCGCCTCACGCGTCTCGCCAAGGCCTACGAGTGGCAGCAGTTCTGTGCAAAGTACGAAGAGCGCAAGGCCCTCGTCGACCACAAGGCCCAGGACGTACAGGACCGCCAGGACGAAGCCGAGGCGCTCAAACGCCAGATCGAGAGCATCGAGAAGGAGCTCGCACAGATCGAAAAGAAGAAGGAGGCAGAGATGACCAAGGGCGGCAAGCTCCAGGCGCTCGTCAACCAGAGCAAGGAGCTCCAGCACGACCTCGTCAAGCGCAAGACCAACGTCGATCTCAAGATGGGCTCGGTCGACGAAGAGCGCAAGAAGCTCCAGGCGGACCAGGCCTCGCTCGAAACACTCCATCAGACGCTCAAGGACAAGGAAGCTGAGCTCATCGACCTTTCCGGCTCCTTCTCCAAGCTCAAGGCCGACTACGACGCTGCGGTCGCCGACGTGACCAAGCAGGACGAGCTGCTGCAGACGCTGCTCACCGGCATGGCATCCTCGTCCAAGTCCAAGGCCGGCGAGGCCTCGGCAGGCGGCTACATGGGCCAAATCGCCTCGGCGCGCGCCGAGGAGTCGGCGGCGAGCACCGAGATCGAGCAGTCCAAGCTGCGCATCGGCCATCTGGAGAAGGAGGTCAAGCAGAAGGAGCCGCTCGCCCGCAAGGCGCAGAAGGATGCAGCGGGACTCTTGGGCGAGCTCGAGTCGTCGCGTGCGGCAGTGCAGCAGCTCGAGGCGCACATGCACAAGCTCGGCTGGGACGACGATAAGGAAAAGTCGCTGCTGCAGTCCAAGTCCGAGTGGAGCCGGCGCGTCGCCGATCTGCTCGAGCGCAAGGAGGCGCTCAAGTCCAGGCTCGCCGGCATGGACTTCCAGTACTCGGATCCCGAGCCCAACTTTGACCGCTCGCGCGTCAAGGGTCTTGTCGCGTCGCTCGTCCAGCTCGACCAGGACAAGCACAAGTACTCGACCGCGCTCGAGATCTGCGCGGGCGGCCGCCTGTACAATGTCGTCGTCGAGGACGAAAAGGTGGGCTCCAAGCTGCTCGCCCACGGCCAGCTGCGGAAGCGCGTCACGCTCATCCCGCTTAACAAGATCAACGCGTTCGTGGCCAGCGCCGAAAAGGTGGGCGCGGCGCAGAGGCTGGCGCCGGGCAAGGTGGACCTGGCGCTCACGCTCGTCGGCTACGACGACGAGGTGAGCCGCGCGATGGAGTACGTGTTTGGCAACACGCTCGTGTGCGCCGATGCGGCGACGGCCAAGCGCGTCACCTTTGACAATGCGGTGCGCATGAAGAGCGTCACGCTCGACGGCGACGTGTACGACCCGGCGGGCACGCTCTCGGGCGGCAGCAAGCCCAGCACGGGCGGCGTGCTCGTCAAGATGCAGGACCTGATCAAGATCGAGCGTGCGCTCAAGGAGGCGCAGGCCGAGCTCGCCAAGGTCGAGGCGCAGATGCACGCCGCCAAGGCGCACATGGCCAGCTTCTCCAAGGCCAAGCGCGATGTCGAGCTCAAGCGGCACCAGGTGACGCTGCTCGAGTCGCAGATCAGCGGCTCCAACGCCACACGCATCATCGCCGAGGTGGACAAGGCCAAGGCGGCGATCGGTGAGCTGCGCGAGGCCATCGAGGCGGCCAAGACGCGCCAGCAGGAGGCGGCCAAGGAGGCCAAGCGGCTCGAAAAGGAGATGGACGAGTTTGACAAGAACAAGGACTCGAAGCTCGACGAGCTCAAAGCGGATCTGAAGCGCAAGAAGGCCGAGGTGGCGAAGCGCAGCGGCGAGATCAAGGCGCGCCAGGGCGAGGTGCGTACCTTGGAGCTCGAGCTGGAGCAGACGCGCGGCGAGATCACGGCGTGCGAAAAGACGATCGCCGAGGGCGAGCGCGCGATCGGCAAGGTGGAGAAGGAGCTGGCGGCGATGCAGCAGGAGCTCGAGACGCTGCAGGCGGGCGTGGAGCGCGTCGAGGCCAAGCTGAGCGAGGAGCGTGCGACGCTGTCGGGCTACGACGACGAGCTGGCGGCGCTGCGGTCCGCGCTCAAGTCCAAGAAGCAGGAGATCGCGGATGGCGCGCTGGCGATCAAGCAGCTGACGCACGAGCGCGAGAAGCTGGTGACGGACGTGGCCGGGTTGGAAAAGTCGATCGCGCAGCTGGAGAACCAGTTTGAGTGGATCGCTTCCGAGCAGCGCTTCTTTGGGCAGGCGGGCACGGTGTACGACTTCGGCAAGCACAACATGGCCGACGTGCGCAAGCGGTGCAAGAAGCTCGAGGAGACGCAGCAGGGGATGCGCAAAAAGGTGAATCCCAAGGTGCTCTCGATGATCGAAGGAGTGGAGAAGAAGGAGTCGACGCTCAAGACCATGCTCTCCACCGTGCTCAAGGACAAGGGCAAGATCGAAGATACGATCACCGAGCTGGACCGGTACAAACGCGATGCGCTGCACAACACCTGGACCAAGGTCAATGCCGATTTCGGCTCCATCTTTGGCGAGCTGCTACCGGGCAATACGGCCAAGCTGCAGCCTCCGGAGGGGCAGGAGTTGACGCAGGGACTCGAGGTCAAGGTGCGTCTGGGCACCGTGTGGAAGCAGAGTCTGACCGAGCTCTCCGGCGGGCAGAGGAGTCTGATTGCGCTCAGCCTCATCATGAGTCTGCTGCAGTTCAAGCCGGCGCCGATGTACATCCTGGACGAGATCGATGCGGCGCTCGACCTGAGCCACACGCAGCACATTGGCCAGCTCTTCCGCAACCGGTTCCGCGGCAGCCAGTTTATCGTCGTTTCGCTCAAGGAGGGCCTGTTTACGAATGCCAATGTGCTCTTCCGCGCGCGCTTCAGGGACGGCACCAGTCTCGTCGAGAGGACGGTCAACGCGAATCGCACCACCGCCGCCGACGAGGTGGACAAGGAGAACGCCCACCCGAACGCGGCGCCGCGCAAGAGGGGCAAGGCTGCCGGTGGCGCAGGTGGCGCGGGCGGACGTTTGGTGGCGGCGTAATCGCCGGCGTCCAGCAGCTGCTGGAAGCGTCGCGATAGTTCTTGTAAGATGCTGCGAATGAATCTGTATTTCTATGGCCATGCTGCCCCCGGTCGGTGTTTAGAGCGTGTGTAGCTCCGTGTTGGTGAAGATGGCTAGACTGCGATGCAGAAGCGGCAAAATCTCGACGCGATGCGCGTGTCGATCTCACAGCTTTGAAATTTCGGCGTCGCGCGGGGATTCGGCTTTGGGCGCGGAGATTAGGATGGACCCTTAAAGTCCTGCACGGACGCTGCTTTGCCTCTCCACCCGGTGAGTGCGAAAGGATATAAGGGCCGGGCTTTGTTTTGGTTCTTCTCGATGCGCATCCAACTTCACACCCGCACACACACACACACACACACATACGCAACCAGCGCAACGAACCAAAAGATGGCCACAGCGAAGCAGCTTTCCAAGATGACAGTGTCGCCGCGGCGATGGTTTGCGCGCGGTCATGCCGACCATGGCTGGCTCAAGACGTACCACACCTTCTCCTTTGCCAACTACTTTGACCCCACACACATGCAGTTCTCGAACCTGCGCGTCATCAACGAGGACCGCGTTGCCCCCGGCACCGGCTTTGGCGCCCACCCGCACCGCGAGGCGGAGATCTTTAGCATCGTGCTGGGCGGCGCGCTCGAGCACAAGGATAGCATGGGCAACACCGAGATCCTCAAGCGTGGGGATGTGCAGTTCACCAGTGCCGGTACGGGCATTCGGCACAGCGAAAAGAACGGCGGCAAAGACGAGGTGCACTTTCTCCAGATCTGGTACACCCCCGACATCCCGCGTCTCGAACCGCGCTACTATACGGCGCATTGTAGCGACGAGGAAAAGACCAACGCCTTCAAGACGCTCATCCAACCCGCTCGCACCTTGGGCGATGTCAAGCCGGGTGATTTGCCCAGGGGAGGCGTGATTCCAAGCCATGCGGATCTCGTCACACGCATGAGCATCATCACCCCCACTAGCAAGGTCGACCACGTCGTGGGGACGGATACCGGCGCAGAGGGCGAGAGGTGGCTGTACGTCCACCTCGCCCAAACTTCGGGGTACAAAGACCCCCGCAGTCGGGGTACCAACGCGTCCGAAGCGCAGCTGACCTTCAAGGACGCCAGTGGTGCCGATGTTGTGCTGGCAGAGGGAGACGGTGCGTACATCAAGCACGCAAGCGTAGGCGACACGCTCAGCTTCACCAACACTGGCGGCGCCAACGCCGAACTAGTGCTGTTTGATCTTCGTCCCGAGGCCTGAAGCCCCGCCCGCCTTTCTACCACTCGCTTTGTAAAAGTAGGCTTTGGTTGGAATGCCAGGTGTTTAGATGTAGATGACGGGATCGACGAGGCGGTTGGTGCGGCGCAGGCGCGCACGCACCATGGCGCGTGCTTTGAGTCGAGCCATACTGACGCGTGTGGGATCGACCTCGTGCTTCTCCTTGCGTACAGGTGGTTTGATGGTGGCGGGAGGTTCCGAGTCGAGGCCGCACTGGGCGTCAAAGTCGAACTTCTGACCGCGCGAGAAGAGCTTGACGTGTCCGTCGCGTACAGCGGCCCGGTCGACAAGGATGTACTTGACCGACTCGCTGCCGTAGGATTCGTAGAAGGCGTCCAGCAGGATCTCCTCCATGATGCGACGTAGACTGCGTGCTCCTCCCCCCGCCACCCGCTCCACCTTCTCCCCCACCCCCACCTCCACCTTCTCCTTCTTTTTCGATGTGGATGCGGTTGATGCGGTTGATGCTGGTGAAGGTGGGGACGTGCCGAGAGCGCGGTGGACGACCTCTTCGATTGCGCCGCGCGTCATGTGGAGTGTGATGCCGTTGAGCTGGAACAGCGACGTGTACTGGTCCACCAGACTATTGCGCGGTTCGGTCATGACGCGCACCAGGTCGTTGTGCGTGAGCGGTGCCAGCACGACAGACACCGGTACGCGGCCGATGAATTCGGGGATCAGTCCGTACTGCTCCAAATCGCCCGGCTCCAGCCGCGCCAGCAGCTCGGCCGTACCCAATGCACCGCCGTGCGACGCCAACCGCTTTCGAATCGTCTCCTCGATCCCCACAAACGCGCCCGACAGCACGAAGAGGATCGAGCTCGTGTCCACGCTGAACGACGCTCCCTGGCCCTGCACCCCTCCCGCCGGATCGCGACCACCCACACGCTGCCGCCGCGAGTTATACCAAGCCCCCAGCTCCTTCCCCCCCTCACCCGGGTTGAGTGGTGACCAAGCCTGAGGTTTCGCTTTGCCCCCACCAGCTGCTGCCGCACCGCTCTTATCGGCCACCTGAATCGTTGTCCCCTCTAGCATCCTCAACAACGCCTGCTGTACGCCCTCGCCACCCACATCTTTGCCCCCCGCTCCTCCTCCCACTGGCCCGCGTCGGAGCTTATCGATCTCGTCGATGCACACGATTCCGCGCTGGGCACGCTCGACGTCCCAGCCGCTTTCCACCAACAGCCGCTGGATGATGCTCTCCACGTCGTCGCCCACGTAGCCGGCCATGGTGAGCGGCGTGGCGTCGACGTGCACAAACGGCACATCCAGCGCCTGCGCCAGCGTGCGCAGCAGCAGCGTCTTGCCGCTCCCCGACGGTCCCAGCAGCAGGATGTTGGACTTTTCGAAAAACGGCAAAGTCCCTGGCTGCGAGGACATGAACGAGCCCATCCCCATCCCTGTCGACGCGGTGGTCGCTGAGGGGGCCGAGGAGGTGGGGGTGGACAGCCGTTGGTGGGCAGCGCGAAGCGCTCGCCGTGTGCGCTCTTCCGCCAAGCTCGCGGCGTGCGCGGCACGGTCCGAAGGCGACTCCCACTTATGCACGTCGGCCTCGGGCTTGGCTGTTCGTGTGCGCGGGGCGGGCTTGTTGGGCGGACGGTGCGCGATCGAGTTGGACGAAAAGTACAGCGGCGCCTCCTCCTCGCTCACCTCAGCTGGCGAGGTACGCTTGGCGGCAGGAGTGTAGTCCGACAGCACGGCGTCGTGCATTCTCGACGCCGCCTCTGCCAGTGCCGTCTCGCTGCCACCCTGACCGAGGCGCTGCTCCGCCTCCTCTGCTGGCGTCTTAACCGCCCTCCTCGGTGGAGCGTCTGGGGTGTCGCCGAACTTGCGCACTGTCTCGCTGTTCTCCTCGATCGCCTGGGGTCCGCCGGCGTTGACGAGCCACTCGCGCTCGGCGCGTCCGAACATAAGGCTGCGCGTCGCCTCGCCGTGTGGATCGCGGCTTCGTTCCGCGGCACGTTCCTGCTGGATCGCATGGTGCGCCTTCCAGCTCTCCCCGACCTCATCGCCTTCTGCCGGAGTGTCATCGCGCTGGAACTTGCCCAGTCGAAGCGATCGCGATGCAGGGGTGGCGTCGGGTTGGGCGTCGGCCAGTCGCTGCTCGTGCTCCTCGCGCATGCGCTGGTTCGACGCTACGCGCAGATAGTGGTTCCACACCCCCACGGCCAGCACCTTCTTTGCTTTGGTCTGGCCGACCACGTACGTGTCGAGGTACTTGACCAGCGAGCGCGGGCTCACCGAAGGCATGTCCGATGCGGGCGCGTGGAACGATCCCGCCGTCGACTCTGCGTCCGCAAACGACCTGCAGCTCGAGTGGAATGCCGAAGATTGTATGCCAGGATACTGTGCTGGGCCATGTGAGCCGCTTCGCAATGTTGGTGAACTCGAAGCATAGAGTGATCGAGGTGTTGGATCGGTATGACTCGACGTTGTCGCGGCCGGGGGGTGGATTTGATGCCGACCATGCTGGCTGGCAGTGCGCACTGCTGCAACGCGCGCTATTGTGGGCCGCACCGCTGCTGATTGTGGTCTGAGCATCATCCTAGTTGCGAATGCTGTGAGGATGGTGGTGTCGCAAAAGCAAAGCATGCCCATCGGCGGCTCAGAGTGTGGAGAACGCGTGAGTGCGCGAATCTGCACCTCTGCTGCAGCCTCCTGCCCGCCCCGACACCCGGTTTTTTCCCCGGCGCCGAACTCCGCATCCCCTCCGGACCCTCTTTGGCGTCATTCCTCTCGAGCTCAGTGGTGATGAGTTTGGTCGAGCATGGCAAGATGCAAATGATGGCGAGGGAGAACTACCCATCCGGCCAGCGACGACTTTTGATCCGGTGCAAACCTTCACCCAAAGATGAAGGACCAAGAAGAAAGTCACTGCGTCGCTTTCATTTGCAAGGCCAGGATGCACTGGATCCACCTCGTCGTTCTTCTACTTGTCAGCATCCAGATCCGCCTCCTTTGCGACTTGCCTTGCAGCCAGCGCCATCTTCGCTGCCAGTTGCCACATTCCACCTCTTTGTGCGTGAGAAGAACAATACGATGCAATTTCAATGGTGACCATGCAATTCGAGCCGCTCCAAGTGATCCGAGGCCGTGTGTGAGTCAACTCGGGCGTATTCCTGAGAAGCTGTAGCAAGCAAGCTAGTAGCGCCGGTTGAGCGCTTAAGCTGATCCAAGCCCCCCCATAGCATAAGCAGTCTCGATGCAATTGCTTCATACGGTAGCGACGAGGGTGTTCTGTGCAATTGTCCTTCCACAAACGAAAGCGACGCATGTGGATCAACACTTCCACGCATACCTCATGCCAAAGAGGGTATGAGCTCACCTCACTGAACGATAAAGTTGATCCAAGTCCTGCGACGAGGTTGTGCTGTGCACTTYGKKRTTGACCCCCCCCCCCCCCCCCCACATGAAGGGCAACACTTATCGTCTAGCGCAACAACGCATACGATTCACAAAGCAGACCACSCACACCGCCTTGAGCATCGCATGATGCCATTCGTAAAATTTGCGACGAGAGTATGCAGAATAACAAAAACACAACCATCCTCGGACCAGTACCCACCCGGCTACAGCTTGAGTTCCTGCAGGATGCGCTTGGCAAGCATCTGGTACTGCCACGGATTGCCACCGACCCTCCTAAACTGCAGACCATTCACACCCAGCAACAGCGGTACCTTGACGACAAAGATCTCGAAGCGCACTGCGAGCTCGGTTGCCTGAGCCGCACCCATGGTCTTGGCCATCACCGCTCCACCACCACCTGTTGCAGGAGAGGCAACCGAGGTGTCGCCGGCCACGCTCGCATCGAGCATGAGGTTCGAGTCGCGCGAACCAGAGCGGCGCAGCATCGAGTTGGCGCCCATCGAATCGGCGCGCTGCCTCGGCGACCGCGTTAGCAGCGACGGCTTCGAAGGCGTCTTGGGCGGCAGGGGCGGCGAAGCTGCTGCCTCTCCTGCCTGGGCAAACGCTGCACTGCTCGTCAACGACGGCGTCCGACTGCGAACCGTACCCGCCCCGCGCTCTCCACCACCACCGATGCTGTCGGCCACAGAACCATCCCTGCGCCCCGCACGATCCTTATCTTTGCTTCGACCCGATACAAACGAAAGTCGGCTCGGCTTGCGCTTGGGGCCCTTGCCACCTTCCTCGGACGTGGGCGAGCGCTCAGCCGTCTCGGCCTCTGCCGCCGCTGCCGCCGCAGCAGCGGCCACCGTCTCGAGCGGGATCCTCGCATTGCCCTTGCCCATCGAGTCGGAGCCCGAAAAGTCGAGACTCGGCAGATGCACGCACTCGTAGCCGCCGCGGATCTCGCGGTACTGCACGCCGATGCGGTCGAGCACCTTGACGAGCGACGCATGGATCACCGTGCGCGGCTTGGTCGACGTCGTCTGCACGCTGAACAGGCCCTTGAGGAAGATCGGCTTCGACGCGCCCTCGGCTGCCACGCTGCCGTTCTGCGCGCTCCCAGGCGAGCCCGCCGTGCCACCGCCGCCGCCGCCAAAGCGCTGGCGTCGCGTGGCGAGCACCGGCAGCACCTCGGCCTGCCCGGGCGTCGTAGGCCCCATCCAGCCGGTGCCCGAGTTGCTCGGACTGATCTCTTGCGCCGGCGACGTCTGACCGCCCGGCCTGCTGACCGCATCGCCCGCTCCTGCAGCGCTGAACATGTTGAGAGGCGCACTCGTCGACGTCGCCATGCCTGTGCTCGGCCGTCGCGCGTTGGACGCAGCCGCCGCCTTGGGCGACATGGACAGCCCCGCTGCACGCCCCACCGACGCTGCGCCCATCGAGCCCTCTCGCACGTTGCGCGCGTTCGGACGCGACACTGGCATGTCTCCAAGCGTGCCCGAGCGGCGCACCGTGGTGGCATTGTTGAGCGGCACATCGTCGTCGTCCTCGTGCGTAGTGGCGTGCTCTTCCGCCTCGTCGTAGTCGTAGGCATCGCCCGACGCACGGTTGTCCTCCTGCACCCCACTCAGCGCCATGTGCGCACTGCCGCGGCGCTGCTGCTGCGCATTGTTGCCCAGCAGCATGCCGCCCGTGCTCATCCGGCTCTGCTTCTTGCGCTCGCGCGCCTCGGCATCCAGCGGCTGCGACGGCGAGCGGCTCATGAACGAGCTGAAGCGGCGCGCCAGCGTCGCTCCATATCCGAGCGTCGAGCTGGTGTTGGCGGCCGAGGGCGACGACGCCGCCGTGCCCGCTTCCGACTTGGCCGGCGTCTGCAGTTGCGCAGCATTCTTGTCCGCGCGTGCAGGCGAAAAGGTTGAACTTTTTCGCCCGTCCGCCGCGGCTGCGTCGGCAGCAACGCCAACCACGCCAGCAGCGACGGCAGGCGTGGTGAGAGCGACGGGCGCGCGACGCGATGTGAGACTCACGCTGCGCTTGTGGTTGTTGGCCATCGCCATGCTCGTGTCCGGCACCATCATCGAGTGTCGATGCGACGGCGGTGCGACCATCTCTGCGACGGGCGGGGCGACCGAGAACGACTGCCGCTTGCCAGCCGTGCTTGCGGCCGGCACCGGCGTCATACCGCCGATGCTGCTCTGCGCAAACGCTGCCTCGTTCGGCGAGGGCAGGCCCTTTTCGCGCAGCGCCGCCTCCATCTCCTCGGCGTTGGCGCGGGCACGCGGCGGCCCAGCCATGATGCCCGTCGGCCGCGACTTCTCACGTGACTCGAACACGGGCGTCGGCGACGCAGGCACCGGCATCATGGCGGCCACTGGACGTGGTGGCGCCGGCCCTGCCAGCGCCGCTTCCTGACGCGACGGATCGTAGGCGCGGTGCGACACATGCGGCGCCTCGGGCACGCGCAGCGCTTCTTGCGGAATGTCGGCGGCGGTAGGCATGGCGCCGCTCGCGGCTGCCCTGGCGCCCGTACCGGCACCCGCACCCGCACCGATACCGGCGGCGCCCGAAGGCGGCACGGGCGGACCATTGAGCGAGAGATTGGACGATGCAAAGAACGAATGACCATACAGACGCTCGCGGTCCATCTTTTCCTTGACGAGAAAGTAGATCGAGATGAGCGGGTGGAAGCCACGCGTGGGATCCAGCGGCTCCTTGCCAAATGGCAGGAGGCCTGTGCCCGAGCCTAGGCCGTTGGAGCCGTTGGCGGAGCCGATGGACGAGTCGTCCTTGCTGCCGAAAGCCGCCGCAAGCGGGTTGGTGGTGAGCTTCTTGCGGTAGAATTCGATGCCCGAGAAGCGCCGTGAGCCCGTCTTGGACTTGACCGTGTCGGAGCCGCCGGCGGCGCTCATGCTTCCGCGCGTGGAGAGACGGTTGAGCGTAGAGGAATCGAGCGAGGAGCCGGAGTTGGCTGCGGTGCTGAGGCCGTTGAGGCTTGCAGGCAAGTTTTTGAGCTCCCAGTGGTGGAGCGAGGTCTGGTAGGCTTCGCTCGTGAGCACCTCGGTGAGCTTTGCGGTGATGGCCTCGGGCGTGCCGAACTCGAAGCCGACCATGCCCTTGATGACCTCAGGATCGAGGTTGTGGGGACGAAGCGGCGTGCGGTCCGGCAGATGCGGGTCGGGCGCGCCGTCGTAGCCCTTGACGATCCAGGCATGTGCGAGCACCTCGGCGAGCGTGGCGCGGTTGGCGGGGTTGGTGACGAGCATGCGCGACAAGAGATGCTTGCACTCGCCGCTGAGCCAGGCGGGGTACTCGACCTGACCGCGCTTGATCTTTGCATGGAGGGCAGGCATGCTCTGATCGTCGAAGGGCACCTTGCCGCACACGAGCACGTAGAGCACGATGCCGAACGACCAGACGTCGACCTCTGGGCCGGTGTAGACCTTTGCGTTGAGCAGTTCGGGCGCGGCAAAGTAGAGGGAGCCGCAGAAGGTGGAGAGGTGGGAGTGGGGCGAGAAGAGGTTGCTGAGGCCAAAGTCGATGATCTTGATGTTGCCAGTTTTGGAGATGAGGATGTTTTCGATCTTGAGATCGCGATGGACGATGCTGTTGCGGTGGCAGTACTCGAGTGCGCTGCCGATCTGGCGGGCGAACTTGCGTGCGCTGCGCTCGCGGAGGCGACCGTGGCTGATGATGTAGTCGAGCATCTGGCCGCCGTTGACGTATTCAAAGACCATGTAGTAGTGGTTTGTGTGGATGATCATCTCGCGCATGCCGCAGACATAGGGATGGTGGAGGAGGATCTGCAAGGAGCCTTCGCGGATGGTGCGGATCTCCTTGGACTGGTCCTTTGCGGCTGCTTTGGCGAGGAAGGAGGCGGTGGGCGGAGGTGGCGGCGGTTGCGGCTTGCCGTTCTCGTCGACGGCGGGGCGGGGCGACTGGGCGGCGGCGACGGAGGTGTGGCGTGGGATGATCTTGATGGCGACCTTTTCGCCGTTGCCCATCTTGACGCCGAGCTTGACCTTGCCCATGCTGCCTGCGCCGAGGGTCTTGCCGAGCGCATAGTCGCCGAGCAGACGCCTGCCGCGTCGTTCGCGATCGCGGTCTCGGTCGCCGCGTTCCTTTTCCCTTTCGCGTTCGCGCTCGCGCTCCTTTTCCTTGAGCCTCTGACGTTCGCGCTCACGCTCGCGTTCCTGCTCTCGCTCGCGCTCCTGTTCACGTAAGAGCATCTTTTGCTGATGTGCCTGCTGCTGCTGCTGCTGCTGGTATTCGAGCTGGCGCTCGCGCTCGCGTTCTTCGTGCTCACGTGCTGCGCGGAGTTGCAAGTGCTGCTGGGAGGAGCGATCGACGTTAGTGTCGCGTGAGGAGGCAAAGGTGTCGGTTGCGTCGAAGGTGTCGGAGCTGCCTTCGTCGACGCGGGAGTGGCCTTGGTGGTGTCGCTGAACCGCCTCGATGCGAGCGGCACGCGTCTCGAGCACGCTGGAAGGACGTGGGGGCTCGGAAGCCATGCCGCGACGGTGGCGCTGTGCGGGGTCGGGAGAGGCGGCGAGAGCCTCGCTGTGGTTCTGCGCGTGTCCGCGAGTCGGGGTGAAGGCGGCGTCGGGCACGAGACCGTTGGCGTCGCGTTGGTCTGTGACGGAAGGGTTGTGAGACTGGCGACGTGCAGCTCTTGCGGCGTGGTTGCGACGGATCTCGTCGATGCTGTTGCGATTGCTGTCCATCATGGCGCGATGAGGATCTGCATCTGGCGGGGAGAATGGACCCATGGAGATGGAGTTAGGCATGCGCAAGGGCTCGACGGAGGAGGAGGAGGTGGAGGCATCGAGCGGAGCCTGCCTTGGTGGCGTGCGAAGAGGAGAGGCCGAGCCAGGCGAGGGAGCGAATTGAGACGCTGCGAGCGGACGCGGGATGTGCTGGGGTGCCAAAGCTGCTAGGTTGGGAGCTGCCGAGGTCGAACGAGGGTCGACGGTGGAAGCGGCAGCAGCGTGAGGTGCGGCCGGGTTGGTGGCCGGGAGAGAGAGCTGCTCGGCGTTGGTGGGACGCGTGGAGGGCAATCCTGGCAGCGGCTTTGTGATGTCGGAAGCGGATGTGCGAGAGGAAGCGTCTGGACGGCCACCTGGCTGCACGAGGCCGTAGTTGGAGTTGGGAAGCTTGTCGAGCGAGCGACCGTTGGGGCTGGCTTGGTGGTGTTGCGAAGCGGCAGCAGGTGGAGTGGGTGATGCGGCCGCCGAGGATGTCAGCGTCTGCGTGTCGAGCTGCGAATCCTCGGGCACGCTCGTGAGGGGAGCATGCTGGTCGACGCCGACGGTGGGGGGCATTGCGGCAGCGAAGGCGTCCGACATGTCGATCTCGTGTTTTGGGGTGTGCATGCGATCGTAGAACTCCATGGCGTCTGTGGAACCGGGACCGCTGGGCTGTCGAGGGTGCATGTTGGCTGAAGCTCTGCGGTGACGAAGAGTGCGGCGGCAGATGGAGAAGCGGGTGAAGCCGAGGCAAGGGGGGGAAAGTAGGATCTAGCGCGGAAGGGAGTGGAGGGAGAGCATTGATTGCGGTGGTGTGTTGTAGCTGTGCGAGATGACGGAGTACGAGATGGAGAGAGTGGGTCCAGAATAAAGAAGATTACGGGCGGTGTGCACGGCGACAGCGGCTAGAGTGCGGTGCGCGTACGGACCGAGAGCGATGCCGAGATAGGAGCCAAGGTTTGTGCCAACGGTTGGGATGGCGTTTGCGGAGTGGATGGCGCGCGTGTCGGTCGGTGCACAGGAGTATTTTGGTGGGTGGTATTGCAGCACCAGAGCTACTGGAGGTGAGTGGCGGCGCGCGTGTGTGGTAGCCGGACGTCGATAGCGGAGATGGCAATGTGGGTGAACGAACGGTGCACAAACGCGGATGTGCGTGCGAGGTGAGATGGTGAGAGGAAAGGCAGATGGATGGCGACGAGGAGCAAGCAGGCCTCGGAAGCTCGAGCCGATTTCTGGTTGCGGGCGGAGGCAGAGGCGGAGGCGAAAGCGGTGCGTTACGGGAGGCGCGCGGCTCGTGGCTCGAGGCTGCAGCAGCAGGAGAGGTGGGTGCACTGCTGCTGTGCCTCTCGCGGTGCACGCCGACGTCCGGTGCTCTGGGTCCCAAAAAGGCCTTTCCAAAAAGCCCTCCAAAAGAGGCATCCAAAATGGCAAAGGCAGGCACGCGCTCAGCTTTTGGCGCTCAGCTGCCGAAAAAGGGTTGCCAGCCAGCCAGCGACCCATCGATCTGCCCCATTTCTGGCTGCCCCGCCTCGCCTCGCCTCGTCTCAATTCCGGCACGTCGAGGCAGCCAAAGCGAATTTCCACAGGCGTTGGTCCTCTATCTGTGTTCGGCTGGTGCAAGCTGCTGCTCTCCATGCTGGCCTGAGCGGAGACCTGCCGAGCTTGTTCCGCCGGTCTAACAAGCGCAATGTTCCGCAATTCGGCGTTCTCGCGACAAGACACCGCAAGCTGCTCGTGATTGTCAAGCTGCCTCTCCGCCTTCCGCTTGCAAGCGTTGCTGCTGGTCCGAGTGGCCGCAGCCGAGCGCGCATTGGTGGCACATTGTAGTCTCCTTTTTGCTTCCAGCTTGCCAGGCGCATCTCGCATCGCTCCTTGCGACGCCACATCTCTCTACATGGATCCACGTTTTCACCAAGCACTGCACTCACCGACACAGCCGTCCGCACGCACTCACTCGGAAGACTTCAAGCTACCATCTCGTCAAAAGGGGATGGTCGTGGTGGTCAAGGTTGGAGAGTGGGACTATGCCAGCCCATCAGTGCGCTGGCATGCAACTCGACGCTCCCTTTCAGGCGTGCACGCCACGTGCCACAACACAGGAACGCCGCTCGCACCTCTTCTACAAACAATAAGAACATACTTGTATGCAGTAGCTGGCAATCCGAACATCAACTGGCACTATGGCGGAGTGGTTATCGCGTGGCACTCGAATCTTTCTGCATTCGAGGGGAATTCTTCCCCACTCAACAAAAGCATATGCCATTCCCTCTGGGAGCACAGGTTCAAATCCTGTTGGTGTCGTCTTTTTTACATTTTGTGATCCAAGTTCGGTCTAACACAGCTGACACTTTTTTTTTTGGCGTAAATGGACGCGTCGGCGTGTCGAGAGGCGTTGTCAGCTGCTGTTCTTGCCGCGCGTGTTGGTTCGAGTTGGGTGGAGCGAGCGAGCGAACGGTGACGCGCAGCTGCCAACCTCTCGACTGAGCTCGCCCCCACCTCTTTCATCTCTCCTCCTCCTCTTCCCGGTTCCCACGACGTCGGATCAGCCGACACAATACTCACCCGCACCATGCCGGAACAGCCGAAACTCGCAAACTTCTTTGGCGGCGGAGCGAGTGCCAACGCGGCTCCTTCATCGTCGTCGTCGGCCAAATCGCGCCAGCTCGACCTCAAGTCGGCATTCGCCCCGAAAGCGTCCGCCTCGACCAAGCGCGAAGCGACCTCGACGCCGCCTGCCACCTCGACAGATCCAGCGCCAGCTCCGGAGGCGCCCAACGCATCCCCATCACAGCCGGCTGTGCCGCAGAGAAAGAAGCGCAGGATCGTCGAATCCGACGACGAGGACGGCCCCGACCCCGCACCCACACCAGCCGCACCAAAGGAGGCACCACCCGTCGCAGCCATCTTTGCCAAAAAGCCAGCGACGACCACTCCCAGCAACACAGCACCCAAGCAAAGCAACCCAATCGACGCCACACGCAGCGATGCCGAGTCCGACGATGCCGGCTCGGAAGTGGAGGAGCCCGAGGACGACGACGAGGACGACGCCGACGTACAAGAGGAAGAGCAAAAGGGCGCCAAGAAGCTCGCTGCGATCTTCCAGAAGCCGTCGGCGGTGCGCGACACCAAAGTGAGCTGGAAGCAGGGCGAACCCGTCCCCTACGCGGCGCTCGCCGCCGCGTTCAGCGAGATCCAGGCGACAACCAAGCGGCTGGAGATCACCGAGATCCTGACGCAGTTTCTGGTGCGCGTCATCGAGCGGTCGCCCGACAACCTGCTGCACGTCGTCTACCTGTGCATCAACCGGCTGTGTCCCGACTACGAAGGGCTCGAGCTCGGCATTGGCGAGTCGCTGCTCATCAAGGCCATCGCCCAGTCCACGGGGCGCGAAGTGCCACGCATCAAAAAGGACCTCGAGTCGCTCGGCGATCTCGGGCTGGTGGCGCTCAACTCCAAGAAGAACCAGCCGACCATGTTCAAGGTGAGCAGCCTCAAGGTGCCGTCGGTGTTCAAGCAGCTGCGCGAGATCGCGCTCGTGGCGGGCAACAAGAGCCAGGATCGCAAGATCGGCATGATCAAGAAGCTCCTCGCGGCGTGTCAGGGCGAAGAACCCAAGTTCCTCATCCGCTCGCTCGAGGGCAAGCTGCGCATTGGGCTCGCGGAGCGGTCGGTGCTCGTCTCGCTCGCGCGCGCCGTCGTCATCTCCAAGCTCGGCAAGTCGATCGCAAAGCTGCCGCAGGAGACGCTGGCGAGCAAGCTCGAACAGGGCACCGAGGTGGTCAAGGCCGTATACTCGGAACTGCCATCGTACGATCTCGTCATCCCGGCACTGCTCAGGGGCGGGGTGGAGGGGCTGCGCGACGAGTGTAAGCTTACGCCCGGTGTGCCGCTCAAGCCGATGCTGGCCAAGCCGACCAAGGCGATCAGCGAGGTGCTGGACCGGTTCGAGGGCCAGCCGTTCACGTGCGAGTACAAGTACGACGGCGAGCGCGCGCAGGTGCATCTGCTGGCGGACGGCAAGCTCGCCGTGTTTTCGCGCAACTCGGAAAACATGTCGGTCAAGTATCCCGACCTGGTGGAGCAGATCCCGCGCTGCATCCGGCCCAGCGTCAAGTCGTTTGTGCTCGATGCAGAGGCGGCGGCATGGAAGAAGGCCGAGCTCAATCCGGACACGGGCGTGCACGAAGCTGCCAAGCTGCTGCCCTTCCAGGAGCTGAGTCGACGCAAGAGGAAGGACGTCAAGGCGGCGGACATCAAGGTGAAAGTCAAGCTGTTTGCATTCGACCTGCTGTACCTCAACGGCGAACCTCTTCTGTCGCGCCCGCTCGACGAGCGTCGTCAGCTGCTGCTCGAGCATTTCACACCGGTCGAGGACGAGTTCGACTACGCAAGGGCCGAGGACGGCACGTCGGTGGAGCAGATCGAAACGTTCCTCGAACGCTCGGTCAAGGAAGGCTGCGAGGGTCTCATGGTCAAGATGCTGCGCGGGCCCGATTCGACCTACGAGCCCTCGCGCCGCTCCATGAACTGGCTCAAACTCAAAAAGGACTACCTCGCAGGCACGGGTGACTCGCTCGATCTCGTCGTCATCGGTGGCTATCTCGGCAAGGGCAAACGCACCAACGTCTACGGCGCCTTCCTGCTCGCATGCTACGATCCGGACTCGGAAAAGTTCCAGTCCATCTGCAAGATCGGTACCGGCTTCACCGAGGCCGACCTGGACGCGCACTACGCCACGCTCAAGCAGCTCGAAATCGGCGCGCGCAAACCGTACTACGACGTCGGAGATGCCAAGCCCGACGTATACTTTGACGCCAAGGTCGTATGGGAGGTTCTCACCGCTGATCTTTCCCTCAGCCCCGTATACACGGCTGCCAAGGGGTTGGTGGACCAGCGAGGCATCAGTTTGAGATTCCCGAGGTTCATCAGGATTAGGGACGATAAGGCGCCCGAGGACAGTACGAGTCCCGAGCAGATCGAAAGCATGTATAGGGCGCAGGCGGTGAACAGCTCCAAGTCCAAGTCGGCACTCGATGAAGACGATGGCTTCTGGTAGTGGGCGAATAAGAAATTTTGCATTCGACGCCAACTAGGCGCGCGCGTGCGAGGGGTGCGGCGGTTCATACGGTAGCCACATGGCCGATTCGTACGAAGCCGGCTGGGAGAAGGCCGCATTTGGCAGTGATGCTGGTGAGGAGGCGGTGGGAAGGAAGAAGGCGGTGGTAGTTGGGGCAGGCAGGATCGTGATGCGCTGGGCAGCGTTGGTGATGTATGTTTCACACGATGCCTGCCCGTGCTCTGGTGTGAGTGGATGCACCACCACATGCGGCAGGGCCACGGCTCCCGTCCGCAGCGGCACCGCCGTCAGCGTGAGTGTGACGCTCGTCTCTTGCTGCGATGCTGCAATGTCGAAGCTGCCTCGTTTCTGTCCATCCACCAGCCACGTTTCAAAATCGGGTACCACATCCCAGATCATCTTTGCGGCGACTCGGTCACCCGACGCCCACTGGCGCGATACTGTGATAGCCACAGTCAACTGTACGGGCTGACCGACGACCAGGGCAATGTCGTCGCTCGGCGGTGCGCCCACATTGAGCGTGACGGCATTGACGTACTCGACGCTGGGTACGTCGACGGGGATGGTCAGCGTCTGCCATGTGTGGTCTGCATCGCCATCACGCCCAGCCGAGGCTACTGCGTCGAGCGCCCGAGTCACCGTGCCGAGCACATCGGCAAACGATGCAGGTGCCTGTCCCCACGTGCGCCATTCGGTGCGCCACCAAGCCGCATCCACCTCGCCAGTCCTCACACCGCCGGTGATCGAAAACGCAGGCAAGTCAACGCGCTCGCCAACGTACGCCCGCAGTGCATCGTGCACCAACCGCGTCGCCTCGTTCCCCCACCCTGGCGTCTGCAGCGCGCCAACCGCTAGCGAAACAGCCTCCTCGTGCAGCGACCGGTAGTTGACCGTGAGCCGTAACCTCCCCCTCTCCCCCGGGCTGGTGGGGTTGACCATGCGAAAGAGGTATGTGGCTGGCTGGCGTGGCGTCACGGTTGCCTGACGCGCCGACCCGCACGCCGTGATCTCGAGCGTGCCCGCTTGCGCACCGTCGCCATCGTGGTCGAGCCGAACAGGCTGCAGCCGGATGCTGCCGGCGCCGGCGGCCGAAATGGTGAACTTGGACAGCAGCGAACCGGTGCGGAAAAAGTCCTGCACATTCACGCCCAGTGGCAGAGCGGTGCGCAGCTGCACCCGCGTCGTCAGCACGCGCCTCTTGCCCGCCGCTCTCTCGCCCGCTGCGCTGATGTACGACATCGTCACAACAGCGTCCAGAACCCCCGACTCGGGCACATGCAATAGCGGCACGGTAAAGCGTACCTCCTCGTCTGGCTGCAGCGTGGTCAGCGATACACCGTCCGCACCAGCCTGGATTTGAGCCGTGCCGTCGCTCGCAAGGACAGAGGTGTCGACGAGCGCAGTGCCGTCGGCAGCACCCACGCGCACCTCGGCGCTGTCGATACGGTGGCGTCCCGCGCGCACTGTGACTTGCACCTCGCGCGTGCGGTCCAGGTGGATCCTCCTCGGCAGCGCTAGCGCCACACTGGGCGCCGCACCGTCCTTGGGCACGCGCACCACCGTCGGCACCGCCGCCGCCGCGTCGTACTGAAAGATGAGCCGCGCGATGCGGATCTGAGTCACATCCACGGCGTACGCGCCATGCGCCGGATGCGCATTGAACAGCTCCACCCGGTTCCTCCCCGGCTGCAGCGTGGTGGTGCTCGAAGTGTACCAGAGCGACTCGGCGTGTTTCCCGACCAGGCACACGCGGACGTCCTGCACCAGCTGCGCACACGGCAGCATCGACGTCACCTCCACCGTGAGCACCGATCCGTCCTCGCTCCCCACCAGCCTCGCCACACCGCTGGGGACAACGATGGCAAACAGCGGAAACCCGCTCACGGGGATCTCGCGTTCCATGGCCGACGACGCGCGCCGCAGCTCGTCGCACACATGCGCCGGGTCGGTCCACTTTTCTGCCTGCATCCCGGTGATCTTCGCGCTGGCACGCGTCTGCACACTGGCGCGCAGCACCGCCAGCGCCGCTGCGACCCACGCGCGGTCTCTGGGCAGGCCGAGTTGGGCGTGGCACTCGAGCTGCAGTGCCAGCGCATGCGCCTCGAGCAGGCCGAACCGCGCTGTGGCGTAGGCATCGCTGATGGAGCACAGGCTCGTGTGGGCCGCAGCATAGTCGGCGCGCAGGTAGCGCAGCGTGGCCATGACGAGACGCACGTGCAGCGTGTCGCGGTGGCGCGAGGCGGCTTTCCAGCCCGCGGCGATGCGCTCGCACAGCGCAAGGTAGTGCGAGTCAAAGTGCTCGCGCGACTCGATGGCCTGCTTGAGCTCCGGCCGCGACGGCATGCGCTTCTCGTCGAGCTGCAGCGCCGGGCCCAGCCCCGCAGCACCCTCGCCGGATGCGTCGTCTGGAAGCGCAGGGAGGTCTCGATTCCTCGCCGTCTCGCTAGCCCCGCTGTCGGAGGGGCGGGCAAAAGGGTCGAGAGCGGGGAGGTGGCCGGCTTGGATGCCGATGCGGTCGAGTTGGCGACGTGCGAGGTCGAGGAGCTCGGACTTGTTGGACTGGAACGCGGGCGTGAGCTGGTCCACGCCCTGGTCGGATGTCGCAGCGCTGCGCTGTATCAGCCACGCCTGGCACTGCTCGACGACATCCAACGCGGCCGAAAAGACCCACGACTCGATCCACTCGCTGCCGAGTCTGGGATTGCGGCGCAACATGCGCCCTACCGCAGCAATAAAGAGCGGTGCCTCGCGCATCACCGCCGCCACCCTGCCCATCTTGCCCAGCAGCGCCGACTTGCGCGCAAACAGGTAGCAGCGAAAGTCAAAGAGCGAGATGTCGTTGCGCCGGATGAGTTGTGCATACGGCTTCTTGTGCACATCCAGCAGCGGGAGCGAATCGTCGTTCACGTCGTCGCCTCCGACGGGTGCGAAAGCCACGGCGCCCGTGTGCATGGCCTGGGCAAAGACGATCTCCAGATCCTCATACTGGCCCACGGCGTCGTCTTTGAGGCCGACGGCATCGAGCGTGCGCGCCAGCGAGTCCTTGGCGAGAAAGTAGCTGCAAAAGTCCCACCCCTGCTGGCCCCTCGTGACGCCGCAGCGTGCGATCTCTTGCTCCTGCGCCTCGATGGTGGTGGTAAAGGTGGCGGAGGCCGCCTCGCGCATCTTGGTGAGCAGCTCAGCCCAGATGGTCGGGTCCATCGAGTGCAGCCCGGACCGGGTCAGCGGCACGGCAGGCACGGGTGGCAGGCGGGAGATCTGCACGACGTGCTCCTTTTTCGAGGTGCTAAAGTCGGCGCGCGCCTTTTCGAGCACGTTGGCCTTGGACTTGTTCATGAAGCGGCCCATGCCGGTCTTTGCCTCGGCGGCGGGCGTGGCGTTGGCGAGGCCCGAGATGCCCGCGCCCTCGGGCGGCGTGATGAGCACGATCAGGTACTCGGGCTCCGTGGGCACGATGGATATGGACGCAGGCAGCGTGGCTTTGGACGCGCCAGCCGAGGTGGTGGGAGTCTGTGGGCCTGATGCCGTCACGGGTGGGGTGTCGGAGCGCACGGGCGGCGTGGCGGACCGCAAGGAGCCCAGGCCGAGCGAGGTGCGCGAGGACGAAGCGAGCGTCGGCGTGCCTGGCGCTGCGCTGCTGGCGCCGATCCCCGGCTGCCGTGCATGAAAGAACGATAGACTGCTGATCCACGACCGGATCTCGTTGCGCACGGTGGTGCGGTAGTGCTCGCTGTCCTCGCACACCACGAGGTAGAGATGCACAAACGGCCTGTCGAGCAAGCCCGCGCCGCCGGGCTGTTCAAAGTAGCCTGGATCGCCTCTCCATCTGCGAATCTCGTCGGTGAGTGGTTTGAGGGCGACGTCGAGCGTCTGGATGGTGCGAATGGTCGATCCGGGCGCGAGCGAAGACGACGCCTGAGCAGGCTTGCCCTGCTGAGCTGCCCTGGCTGCGACGGCATCGAGCGTAGACTGACTCGGACGCCAGTGCAGGTTGCGCAGCGGCAGCTGCTGTTGCAGGAGGTTGATGAAGTGCGGCGTGAGAGGAGCCGCCAAGAGCGCCTGGGAAGCCGCAAAGGTGACGGTGATCCTCTCGTTGCCAGGCGACGGCTGCTCGGCCATGGTGACGCAGTGCAGGGCTGGGCGGGAGCAGGCTCTCGCGTCACCGCCTGCTCCTGTATGCGTGTGCGACGTATGTGCGCCAGGGCGGACAAGAGGCGATGCGATCGGGTCTCTAGGTCGGAGAAGGTGGATAGTGGTGTTGAGAGTGGGTTAGGAGCACAACCATGCGACACCGGCGAGGAGGGTCTGTGCATCGGAAGAAAATAGTGGCGGTAATTTCCTAGGTCTAACATCCCCATTTAAAAATGCCAGCCCGATAAGATAGCCCGCATGCAGCCGCGCACAGACCCTCACTGCATGCCTGCCACGCCGAGGAGATCCTGGTCGTAGTGTCCATTTGTCCGATGCGGTCTCGGCTTGCGATGCTCGGTTGTGTCTTGTCGATGATGGCCGCTAAGCCAAATGACGCTAAAGTCGGCCTGCTTCGGCACCATTGCTCGGACCGAGAAAAGCAAGAAAGCGAAAAAAAAAGCGATGCGCTGTGCTGCGATGAATTGCGATGCCGACTCCACATTTCTCTTTTTTTTTTTTTTTTGCCCTTTTCGAGCCTTTTTTTTTTTATGCGTGCACATCGATGTCACCCGACTGTGACTGAGCCGCTCCATTGTCATGGCTCGAGGAGCAGGAGGATGGCCACCTTGGATCTGCTCCACCACCATCGTCCACATCATAGATCCCAGCATTTAGGGAGGCATCCTACGTGTCGACATCGCACGCGCACGCGCACCTAGCATCTTCCCGGCATCCAGCGTCCCTTGGGCTGAGAGGGTCGAGGTGCTGCTGCGCTCGTACTCGTGCCCATGTCCAGCTCGACGCAATCGCCACGGCCGTCCTCGCCCATCGCCACGCGGCGCCCTTCCGGCCGTCGAGCCTACTCGCACGCCTCGCGCGTCTCTGCAGCTACTGATGACGCCACCGACGACGGCTCCGAGGCCACCGCGCCCGCGCAGACCATCCGCGATGTGTCGCAGGCGTTTCGATCCGGCAGGCCCAGCCCGTACCACATGGCGGTGGTCACGCTGCTCGGAAGCCTAGCAAGCGGAATGCCCCTCGCTAGCATGTTCAAGGTGTACACCTACATCATGTGCGAGGTGTACGACCCCTCGATCCGCAACGAGCCCCTCTCGCACAAGTCGAGCCGCCTCGTCGCCGCAGCTCGCAACATGCTCGCACCGGCATCCGCATCCGCATCTGCGACCGCATCCGCATCCGCATCTGCGACCGCATCTGCGACCGCATCTGCGACCGCAGCCATGCTCAAATTGCCACCGGCGCCGGAGCTTCCCAATCCGCCGCGCTGCTCGCTGCCGTGGGTGCAAAAGTCGACGTCGTCCTACTCGGCGGCCATGGTGACCGTCGGTGCGCTGCTCGGCCTCATGACGCTCTCGCGCGCCTCGCATCTGTCGCGCCGCTTCGGCAGGCGCCCGCTGCTGCTCATCGCGCACGTGGTGATTGCGCTCGCCATCCTCGTGTTCCGCGTGGCGGTGGTGCTGCCGCCCGTCGCAGGCGCAGTGGTGCTCTATGCCGCCGTGGTCATCTCGGAAGCTTCGGCAGGCGCGCCTCTGCGCATCGCCATCCAGAACTACGTCGTAGACACCACCTCGGAAGCACAGCGCGCTGGCGCACTCAGCTTCATCGAGGGATTCGGTCAGATCGGCGCTTTCCCTTCGAGCGCGCTCGGCGGTCTGCTCGCCAGTCTCACCAACGAGTTCTTTGCGCCCTTCTATGCCGACTGCGCGCTCATGATCCTCGCCGTCGCATACATCCTTGTGATTGTGCCCGAAAGCAAGCCGGGCGCCGAACACACGTTTGTCGACCAGTGGATCCACTCGGACGAGCTCGAGGCGGATGCGCAGTCGCAGTCGTCAGGCACACATCCCGATAACGCAGGTGAAAGCGCGGAGCAGAACCACTCCAACCTCACCTGGTCCTCGTGCCACACCGACCGCGACTCGTCCAAGCTCAAGTGGCGCTCGCGGCTGCGCAAGCTCAACTTTCTGCGTCCGCTCGCCATCTTTGCGCCGAGGAGGAGGCACTTTTCGCCCACCACGGAGCACGATGTGATGCACGCACCTCTCGACACGGCGGACCACGATCAGCGCCCGGCTCCGGGGCAGCAGGCGGAGCTGTCGACGGCGGTGCACAAGGTGCAGAGCCGCATGGATTTCCGGCTGCTCAATCTGGCGGCGGTGGTGGTGTTTGAAGAGACGTACCAGGCGTTTATGGTGCCGCTGCTGCTGCTGTACAACAGCGAGCGGTTTGGCTTTGACGTGCTGCAGAACGGCTACCTGGTGAGTGTGCTGCAGAGCACGCGCGCGCTCTTCCTCACCGCCATCTTCCCGCCGGGTGTGGCGCTGGCGAGGAGGTACGTGACCAAGCTCGCGGTGGCGCGCAGGAGGAAGCAGGTGCGAAAGCTCAAGCAAAAAGCCCAGGCGCACAATCACGCGCGCACGCCGGGCGATGCGGGTACAGCAGCCAACGACGAACGTGCACCGCTTGTACGCGGCGCTTCGAGCAAGTACGGTAGTGTGGACGCTCGCGACTATGGCAAGCAGCCGAGCAGTGCGGGTGCGGAAGGCTCGGTGCAGGCTCGACCCGCACGCCGACGCCCGTCGTACCGGTCCGCAGCGGCATTGGGCAGTCTCAAGGCGAACAAGCGCACTTCGATGGCGTCGCAAATCAGTGTGGGCAGCAACAACTGGGAGACGCATTCGATCTTTACCCACTCGCCCTCGGACCTGATCAAGCGCATCCAGCGCGGCAAGCTCGACATTTCGATCATGGTGGCGTCGTACACGCTTGCCACCGCCTCGTTTCTCGTCATGGCCAGCTCTGCCAAAGCACCCACCACGAGCGGTGGGGATGGGGATGGCAAGGTGTGGTGGAGCAGTGCGTGGATTCCACTCGTGCTGGCGGTGGTGTTGCTGCAGATCTCGGCGGGCTCCACGTCGGTGCGTACGGCGCTGGTGGTGAATGCCGTATCGGAGGACGATCAGACCAAGGCGCTTGCGGCACATCAGATTCTCGTGACGACCGTGGCGGCGGTAGTGCCGCTGCTCACGTCGTTCGTGTACGGTGTGGCGCTCGAGCGGGGCCACCCCGAGCTGGTGTGGCTCTTCAAGGCGTTGTTTGCCGCGCTAGCGGCGGTGGGTGCACTGGGGTTGTTTTGGAGCCATCGAGGGTTCTATGAAAAGGCGCATGACGAGGACGAAGATTCGCACAGCGACGACGACGAGTCGCACACATAAGAGCACGATTGATGGTCATGGTAGAAGCGATTTTGCAATCCATATACACATCTCGAAGGTGGTTGGG